TGAGAATTTTAATGATGTAACCCCTTATAAAAATTTGAAATTTCGAAACATTTTCGAAAATGTACTTTTTGACCAGACATGACTAGATCGATTCGGCTGTTGGTTCTGATCAGGAATATATATGATATATAGGGTCGGAAATGACTTCTTCCCAAGTTACAAGCTTATGATTGAAATTAGACCATTCTTTGGCTAGATATTTATCTATATATTTATATGACAATTTTTTGTAAAAATCTATGCTTAAAAAACTCATAACTACGCCAAAAGAACATTAATTTTAATTCGGAAAGCTGTCCTATGTTAGTTTTAATAAGGTTAATAAATCTGCATACTCAATTTAATATTTTAAGAAATTCAAAATTTTCCTAATTTTTGACAATTTTAACGATGTAACCCCTTATAAAAATTTGAAATTTCGAAAAAATGTTAAAAATTTAATTTTCAACCGGAGATATCTAGATCGACGCAGCTGCTGGTGCTGATCAAGAATATATATACTTTATAGGGTCGGAAATGGCTACTTCTCAATGTTTTAAGCTTCTGACTAAAATTAGAATACCCTGGAAGGGTATAATTTAATTGTTAAATTAATTTATGCATCTGTTAAAGATGGAGAAGGTATCGTGACAGAAATATTCAATGATATATTTATAGCTTTCTCTGATTTATTTATAGTTTTATAATTAATTACTTCATAGATTATATTTTTAATCTTATCTTTAATTAAACACAGCAATTTGTTGATTAGACTTGAAATTAGCAGCGCAAGTTTCTATTTATTCATATCCAAGCTTATAGCTTTTGTTAACATTAAAATATTGACGATTTGACCCAACACCGGTAGTTGCTCGTTGGTACTTCGCAGTTGGTAGCTGGCAGTTGTCCGCCGGACAGGTATATAGGTAGGTGTGTGCCTGTGTACCTGTGTTTTCTCACACAAAAGGGATAATAAGATACTTTCCGAGTCCGCTCCACAATTGCGATGACGGCGGGATGATGATGATGATGATGATGATTGTGGCGATAATGACGGCGATGATACGGCAGAAATGAGCGGCCCGAATGGATGCCAATGGAGAGCAGCAGGAAGGGCACAACGGAGCAGCAGAGCGCAGAGCGCAGAGCGGGTCAGAGAGGAGCTGCTGGAAGAGGGAGGCAGAGAATAGAGCGCCTGTCAGCGCTACCGTTCGTATAGGGCGGGGGTGTGGGTGCGACGCCCGACAAATTGCCATTTACACCACTTGCCAAGACAGCAGTTACATCTGCAGGCCAGAGCAACAACAACAACAACAACAGTAAAGATAACAGCGAGAACAAGTGGCGCACACACACACACACACCGACACAGCTGCTACTTTGTGTGTGGAGTACATACATTTACTTTATAACTGGGCTATACGGTTGTCTCGCTTTCTCTTACCAAGGGGCGGGACGAGCTCTCACCACGCCCCCTTTGTCAATGGCAGCCACACTCAGGAGAAAGAGGGAGAGAGTAGAGAGTGGAAGAGAGTTTGAGTGCGGGTGAGTGAGAGAGAAGCACATAGCGCACATAGTCGTATCTCACGGATGCAGATACACGCACTCACTCGGTCACATTGTTGCTGCTGCAGCAGCTTTGAGTAGCTGCCGTTGACGTATTTTGAATAAATTTTAATTGAATTCGCACAATGAAACTGTTTACTTAACCTGCCACTTTGCCAGATGAGCTTCATCTCTGAGCGCCAATGCAAAGATACGCTTACATAGCTCCTCGCCTCGCCCGATCCTTCGCTGCTCAGCCGCTCAGCCGCTCAGCCGCTCTGCTCCTCCGCTGGCTGCATATGTGTCGGTTACCAAAAAGGAGCTCCCAGTGGAGATGTGCGGGGGATGTGCTCGGGTCTTTGTTTTAATTACAGCTGCCGTCGGATTTGGTTTGTTAGCTGCTGTTAAATCTGCAGGAAGCCAGCTCTCCAAGTTTGCCGAATAGATATAACCCAATTAGACCCTGCCTCTGAGTGCCACGCCAAAGTTATATTGATATTGATTAATAACAATGGCAGCCCCCTAATGAACCATCGATTAAAATTCCTTCGATAAATGTCAGGTGAATTAATCTGTTACCTGCCACCGCACCAAGCCTGGCATTAAAAGTGCTCAAGTGCGGATTAATGAGCTCATTTTGACACCTTGTTTAGCTTGTATACTCGAAAACGTGAATTGAAATTTCTAAAACTAGTTTTGTTTATTTTAGAAAACTATTTTTTATGCAAAAAGCTTAATTTGTCATCTCGTTTGTATCGAGGTTTCGAGACATGCCTTCCAAAAGATCTTTGTTATGCTTTTGACAGTGTTTTGATTAATTTTGTTGAGCTTTTATTTAAGGTCTCTAAAAACAATATGTAGGAAAACGTAGTATTTTGAGGCATAGGTAATTTAAACCCTTTTTTTATAAAATCAATATTATCTCTTGCTCCCTTAATAAATGATTATAATTAATATTAAAATATCTATTAAAACCTTTTCAATCATATCTATATTTTTATTGAAAATTAAGTAATGTGATAACTCTTAAGTACTTGACACCATTTACAGCACTCGTAGTTCAAGGAACATCAAGTAAATAAGGAAACACAGAGGACTGCAGCTCCTTTGGCGGTACACTCAGCTTCCGGTGCGCCACGAATCACGTGTCAGGTAAATGTGGCGCACAACACTCCTTCATTAAGTTAATAACAGTTTTCCAAGTACAAAGTGAAATGGCGAAATTCCGCTATACAATTTTTGTTGTTCACAGACCCCGGTCTCCGGTCCCCCGTCCCCTCGCGATTTTTGTGAGGCAACTGCAACTGTAACGCTGTAATTTGCCATCGCTTTGCCTTTTGATTCCTCAACGGTTTTGTTTGGTTTTGAATTACAGCCGCCAAGCCAGGTCTCTCAGTCCACGCCACCCTCAGCCTCAGCCTCAGCCTCACCCTCACCGAATTGTGTTTTACATCTTGATTATCTTCCGTTTGTTTATACAGGACTCACACACACACACACACACCACGCAAGGACACCCCACCATTAGCCGTGACGGAAGGAAAGTGAAACACAATTTCCATTCAAATCCATTCAAGGATAAGAAGTCAATCAGTCTTCAAAGTGTAAAGGATTTTGCACTTTGTTAAATTCAAAGTCCAACCTTATGCTGATTCTACACTGAAAGATATTGACTTATGAATTGATGAAGAATTTAATATTTATTTTACTTTACAATTAAAATAACAACAGATATGATGTCAAAGTATTGGATTACAGAATTATATGTTCCTCTAATTTATTTCCTTAACCAAAAAATAACTATTAAATCGTTCAAATATAAGTTCAAAACTATCTTTTATGTTAATCTTAATCAAAATAAAATAGGAAACCCAATGAAAACCTTCTGTAAAACCTATTTCTATTCCATTTTCCTATGTATTCCATTCCAAAATAGATACTTCTACCAATTTTATACCAATTTCCTTCTGTGCATCGCTCAACCTCTTGTCAGTGTCGTAAGCCACACTGCCACAGAGTAAGAATCAGACTAAGCCCGTTGCTCCAGCTGCCTGTGAACTTAATCCAAGGCCTGAGAAGCAACCCCAAGACGTTTGCTGGGCCAAAGGAATATCAAATTGAAACTGTGCGTACCGGCTGAAGGCGTCTTGCTGGCACGTGACCATGGGCTGGCCGAAAGGATCCAGACAGACTGGTGGCTGGACGCTGGCGGGGAATGGGTTGAGCTGGTTGTTCTTCAATTACCCTTTCGACGACGCTCGCTCTCTCATACTCGTATTATGATAATCGCATCCTAATTGCGAGAAAATTACGCCCACGTGCGGCTGTAACCTGATCAGGATTGTCATCAAAGGCTAAAGCTGAAACAGGAGCAGGAGCGGGAACAGGAGCAGGAGCAGGAATTGGAGCAGTCAGCTGACGAAGCATAGCCCAGGCATGAAACGCTTCATTGGATGCCAAAACATGACTACGGGTACCCACTACTTACACAATAAATAATATAATATACAACAAATAAAATAATACTAATGTTATATTCTCCTGCTGATCTGAAATCAGAATATATCAGAGATTGAGGTGAGAATTTGGCAGTGTCTGAGGTTGTACAACTCCATTTTCACAGCCACTTTTGACACAGGTTATATATTCGAAAATATGTCACTATTCAATTAGTTAAAACTCTTTTTTGTTAACCGCTTTTTAAATAATTATTACAACGACGGATTCCACGAAATGTTGCTTGCTATATTTATAGCTACATTTGTTAGGCAACATTTTTATAGCAACATTTAAACTGCTTTATAATACAAGCAGCAACGATAAGCAGTTTAACTCAGCTTTATCTAATTCTGAAATGATATTACACTGCATTGTCGACTTGGGAAACTGCTTTGTCGAACTGTTTATTTTTATAAGTTAAAATACGCCTTCTACCGGCAGCAAAGCGAACTATTACAACTACATTTTCATCACAGCTTACCACACTTCAGAAGCATACTGCTTAAAAGTATGCTAGAATTAAATACCATCTCATTAATAAGCGACTTTTAAAAGTATGTTATTAAAAAATATGCAAGATTGGCGCAATTATTTGAATCTGCTTGGTTAAATTAATTGGTAACTTGTGAAAGAGCCAAAGTATGTGGAACTCTTTAAAAATAGTAATAACTTAGCTTGGTGATGTACAAACATTCTTATTAGATGGCTTTAATTACTGTACATATTTTCCACCTTACTTCTTATTTTAATTTTCGTTTTAAACTATTTGTTTATATTTAGTATTCAATGACTGTTTCAGTGCAGTTCATGTGAAGCCCGCCATTAAATTCTGTGATTACTCAGTGCGAGTCACCAAGAGATGCGATACTTGGAGAAGCTTTCGCGGAGCTTCCGAAAAGTCACCCCCGTTGGTCGAGTGGCGACTTGGCAGCTTATGTCCAATTTAACGCCGAGTTCACTCAGTCCGCAATCGTCGGTTTTGCCAACCAAACGTGCTTTCATTTTCTATCAAACGACGCTTCGCACACCGTTCCTTTCCGTACACCTTCCGATTCCGACTCCGAGTCCGGATCCGTGACAGGATTGGGATTCAGCTGATGGTGAATCGGGGCTCGTCAATTGAATTTCGCATGAGAATGCAACAGGATTAGCAGCACGGGAGAGCTAGCTAGCCACTAAGGACGGATCCTGTGAGTGTCTGACGGATGTAACGGAATTTGGAGGAAGACCTGCCACCACATCGATACGGTGCGAAAGGAGCAAAAGGATCGCTCGAGGAACGTTGAATTTCGGGAATAAGGAGTCGGGAGACAGGAGCAACAAATACCTGGGAAGAGGACGAGAACAATATACAAACAAACCGAGCTTGGGGCCCATTCAACAACCTCCTCTCGACGCGGCCGTATCGATTTTCCGTTACATCGTTATACACACACGCACTAACCCACTTCGCACTTGGCCCACTGCCATTACGCATACGCCCCGTTGCCACCCCCGAAAAGAGAGGGGCCACCGCACACTCACACACACACACACATCAGAGAGTCAGAGAGAGAGAGAGAGAGAGAGTGAGTGAGCGAATTTGTTGCATCTCGGCGGCACTGGAAGCATGTTTCATTTGGCACTCGCTAGCCGCGGACGGACTAACCATTTAGGTGAGCAGCAGGAGCCGGAGAGTGGGACGAAGGAGGAGGAGCACCACAGGCACCACAGGCACCACAAGCACCACTAGCCGGACGGACAGCTCAATTGCGGGCAATTTACGAGCATAGTTAATCCGCGGGCACACAACCCAAATAAAATCGCGCATTGTGAGCTTAATTCGCCGCTGCTGCTGCTGCTGCTGCTGCTGCTTCTGGTGCTCTGGCTCCCTCCATAGAATTCCCCACTCCGCCGAGTCCTCAGTCCCCTGAACTCTTGTCTCTTTTTTTCGCACACAGGGCTACAGCAATAGCCATTGTAAATAGCAATCATCGTCAGCATCAGAGATCGCGACAACCGCCTGCCATCCGGGACTTTCACTCTTTTGCAGAGATCACTTGAGAAATCCCCCTTTGAGACCGCGTTCCACCAGCAGGTGTTCAGCATGGCGAGGCTTCAGTTGCAGACAGGACAGGTGGCAACAGCGGCGGTGCTGCTGCTGATGGGTCTCCTCCAGGTGCTGATGATGGGCCAGGCAATGGCCCAGGGACCGCCACCGTTGCAGGTGTGCCCCGAGCAGGGCGAAATCTCGCCCTGCATTTGCACGGTGAAAAAGAATGGGCTGGATATACTCTGCGAGACCACAGACCTGGCGCACATCACCAAGTCCATGGGCACACTGAAGGGCAAGAGCCCGATCATCTTCTACTTGAAGCTGCGCCACAACAACCTGCCCAAGCTGCAGGGCTTTGTCTTCCTGGCCCTGGACATTCGTCACCTGACCATCCATAACAGCAGCCTGGCGGCCATCGAGGAGAATGCCCTCAGCTCGTTGGGTATGTAGAGGGAGGAGATGAGTTCTAGCTTGTTGGCTTCATTTTGGTTTACTTCTCTGTAGGCAACGGACTCACCCAGCTGGACGTGTCTCTTAACCAAATGAAGACGGTGCCCTCGCAGGCCCTGCAGCATCTGTTCCACCTGTTGATCCTCAATCTGAATCACAATAAAATCAGCGTTATTCACAACAACGCCTTCGAGGGCCTGGATACCCTGGAGATTCTGACGCTCTACGAGAACAAAATTACACAGATTGACCCCGAGGCTTTCCGGGGACTCGAGGGGTAGGTTTTGTATAGCTTTCTTATGGATTTTGTGATAATTTTCGCCTTTCTTCTGTCTTCTAGCAAATTAAAACGTCTCAATCTGGGCGGCAACGATCTAAGCAGTGTTCCGCAGAAGGCCTTATCCATTCTGGACACTCTAAAGAAGCTGGAGATACAGGAGAACAAGATTCGTACCATTAGCGAGGGCGATTTCGAGGGTAACTAACAAAGAAATCTTAATTACATTAATGTAATATTACATTTAATTCATTTTCTATAGGCTTGCAGAGCTTGGACTCATTGATTTTGGCCCACAACATGATCACCACCGTGCCTGCCAATGTCTTCTCCCATCTCACCCTGCTCAATTCCCTGGAGCTGGAGGGCAATAAGATCAGTGCCATTGACAAGGATGCCTTTAAGGGTCTGGAGGGTATGTTCCAGTTGCTTAGTTAAAGACCATAATCTCTCACCTGGCCTTTACAGAGAATCTGCAATATCTGCGTCTTGGTGATAACCAAATTCACACCATTCCCAGCGAGGCACTGCGTCCATTGCATCGCCTTCGCCATTTGGATTTGCGCAATAACAATATCAATGTTATTGCCGAAGATGCCTTCACTGGATTCGGAGATTCCCTTACATTCCTCAACCTGCAGAAAAATGAGTAAGATTTTCATTATTCCACCAAGTCTTTCTTTGATATTTTAATAATTAACTTAGTAATGCAAGAGCTATTTCTTATCCTTATAAATCACATGACTTTTTCGTTCTATAAACTCCTTTCGTATTAGACTCTTAATTACTGCAAGAAAACCTATAGAAATCAACGTTTTTTTTAATAAGCTGCGATCTTTGGACTAATATTTGCATTACTATATAAAATTTTTACTAATCTCTGGCAGATTATGACTGCAAAGGCTAAAGCTTAAGTTGTTTTCAAAGCATTAGCAATAAACAACATTCCAATCTTATCTTAGATTGAATCACATCCAAAGCTTCTTTTCAAGCAGAATAGAATATATATATTGACTTAACATTTAATTCCTTAATTTCTACTTTATTTTAGCATCAAGGTGCTGCCTAGCGTTCTTTTTGAAAACCTCAATTCGCTGGAGACACTGAACCTGCAGAATAATAAGCTGCAGCGCATACCGCAGGACATTATGGAGCCGGTCATCGACACCCTACGCATCATCGATATCACCGGCAAGTCATGGGCACTCCAAAATCCATAATTCCAGTAAATTCTTATTTAAATTCTAAATCTCTTTCCTACAGATAATCCACTGAACTGCTCGTGTGAGCTGACCTGGTTCCCCAAGCTGCTGGAGGACCTGAAGAACAAGGACGACGAAATGTCGCAGAAGAAGAAGCCGCTGTGCCACATGGGGCTGGACAACCGCGAGTACTTCGTGCAGGCCATGCCCACCGAGAAGATGCACTGCGCCGGCCTCAATGTGAGTCCCTCGCCGACCAGCGGCGGTCTGATGCGGATCCTGCAAGTGAACATCCTGGCCCAGATTGCCGTGTGTAGCGTGGCGTTTCTGACTAGCGTCTAATGCCTGTCCAGCCATGTTCTATGTGGGTCAGTTTCAGCTTCAGTTTCAGTTCCACCCAGACACTTAGACCCCAGACCCACAGAGATCAGTGATAGTTCCAGTTCCATTCGGTCTGATTCGACACAAAATCAGTGGCAAGCCAAAAGATAACTAAATCCAAACCAGATCCCAACCACAGACCACCCTTCGTTCGTCTACAAACCAATTCCGTGTTGTTGTATTGTATGTTTTCTTATAGATTGTAGAGAAACCGTGAATTATGCAACTCTGCCAATAATTAGACTCAGAAAGCACGCTTTTTGAACCACCAGCAAGTCAGCCAGCCAGCCAGCCAGCCGGAGAGCATCCCAACCCACCTTGTTGAACCGAGGCACCGGCGGCCGGCCATCCAAGATCCATGATCCAAGATCCACCCCATCCAAAACTTGCACAGTAGCTCGACTCGAAGGGGAACCCGCTGGGCGGCAAAGAGATGGGCTCACCAGGAGGAGTTCCAGGCTCAGGCCCAATCCCAGGCTTCCCAGCTTAGATGTAAGGCTTGATTTAAGCACAAGTGCACCGGCGCTAGAACCCAAGCGAAACTCAAACATATCAGAATATTGTTAAGTTTAAGTGAGAGGGTTTAAACAGATATTGTGCATGCGTATATGTGCACCCATTTACCATTATATTATGTGTAGTCTATCGTCGTCTTGTCGTCGGTGTTGTGAGATACAATCATTACTACTCACCTGTTTACAGTCCTTCCTCCGCACCCGAGACCCCCAAAAGCAAATCTCACCTAGTCGAAGTATCGAAGTATCTGTAACCCAAAAGCAAATTCCCTGCAATTACTAAACTGTTTCTCCCCATTTTGGGTTCAGCGGAAGGAAACCAATTGAAGAAAGTAATATTCATTTGCATCAATCACCAAGAACTGATTATGGAATAAGTAGTTTGTACTCTTTATTTGCCGCAAAACAAAGGGCAAGTACTCCATCCCAATCCCAACTCCCATACTCCCATTCGCCCCTTTCCCCTTCTACCCACACAAATCGAGAATACATATCGTTATTATATTGTTATTATATCGTGACATATCAGGAGCTAGCAAGCTCAACACGGCTAAAATAGTGACATTTTATAGAATTTACATTTACTTACATTTACGAGAAACATTTTTGAGGCATCAAGGAGACGAGTTTGATATTTACGCGGCAGAGCGAGAGATTTGGAATTAGAGCAACAATTTGTATATGCGCAGAGTGTGTGGAATTTTTGAAATTTTTTTATACATATACTTTTATACACACATACATACGTACCTTTTCAATTATGTCTATGCAAAAGCTAAGTTGTAATTTGCTAAAAATTAATTGTAATTGCACTCCATCCGCTGTTGCCTCGCGAATCGCATCCCACCGCCCCCTCCATCCGTCGGCCGGCTTGGGTCAGTAGCCAGCTCCCGGTGGTCGGGGCAGGAAGGATCGAATCAGGAAGGCGAAAGCGGAAACGGAAGCAGCGCCAAGAATATCTCCAAGCGAATGCGCTGCACCGCCGATTCGGGTCAGTTGCCAACGGCCAAAGCCATTCCCTTTGAAATATTCAGCCCGTACACAGTGCTCTCCATGCGAGCTAAGATGTCCGAGAATTCGGGTAGAATTCAAGAATCTAAATCTAATAAAGAATCCATGTTGGTTACAAATGCAAAAGGTGAGAGTTTTCTTTAAGGGAAATTGAATTAAGGTAGTGGTGCTAAATGTACATGGAAAGCTCTCATGTATGTAAAGCTGAAAGGAAGTAAAAATTCAAGTCCTGCCTGGAATAATAAACCCTTTTTTGGTTACAAACGCTGGAGATAGCTTCTTTTATTTCCCAGCTGAGCCAGCTTAGTCATATGGCCCGAAAGTATAGGGTCTTTGGCACCTCAAATCCATTAAAGGGACTTGCTATGGGCACTGTATAAGCACCCATGTTGGAAAATCCTATAAGGTCACCGCGGTTCAGGTTGGGCAACAGCAGGTCCTCGGAAATCTATAAAAGGAGTGTCACATTATCTAATAATCATTCTTTAATTGTTAACCTATTCCCACCTTATCCAAGGCATCACAACTGGGTCCCCAGATTAAGGATTTAAACTGCGGCAAGGCATCGGCTTCGTCCTGTATAGGGAATTTATAATAATTTATAAAAAGGTACCAATAAAAAGGGATATTTTCTGACATATGTATGTACCATATGAACCTACCAAATAATGCTCTGCAGTCACCACCTGATGATCATACAGAATGCAGTTGAAGGAACCATAAACACCATCGTTAAGGTAGTACATCACGGTGTCCAGTTTACCAGCCTCGTTGCGAACCTCCCGCTTGGCATGAATCTTGCAAATCAAAGTATAAGCAGCTGCCACAAAGAAGCGTCCGGGTTCTGCAATTATTTGGACACGCTCATCGGGAAAATGGCGCTCCACCGAAGTATTTACAATCTCCGAAATCTGCAATATAGATTCTTTAATTACTATATTACTAAATAATATTATTTAGTCCGGAACTCACCCTCTCGAACTTCCCATCATCACTGCCTGGAAACCCACCACCAATATCCAGCAAGTCCATGTCATAACCAAGCAGCTCACCAAACTTAAACAAGTTCTTGGCCTTCTTGATGGCCCGATCGTAGGCCTCCAGCTCACTGCAACCGGAGCCCACATGGAAGCTGGTCCCAGTTACCTTCAGGTTCAGGGACTTGGCCAGTAGCATCAGTGCCGTGGCATCCACATCCGCATTGCAACCAAATTTATCGCCCAGCGGACACTGAGCCTCCTTGGCCTCGCTCTTGAATCTGACAATCAGACTACAGAAATGGTTACTAGAATTCGCAGAGTATCTTTTGGGGCAACTTACTTGGAGTTGGGATAGTGCTTATGCAGCTTGTAGATCTCAAATTCGTTGTCCACCGTTCCGTTGGCCACCTGGTGCTCCTTGGCGTACTCCAGGTGACTGACAGGGCGACAGGGATTGGCAAAGATTATCCGCTCGGGTGAGACATTGCAGCCTAGGACCTATGAAGTACAAATTGTTGTTATTTAAGAAACGAACTAGCTTAGAATTTAGTTTAAACTTTAGTCTAGATCTTTGATTTCATTTCGATTTAAATCCCTTAGTCTCTCATTTGGTTAGTTATTTTAAAGATGCTTTAACAAAGAATCCATTAAACTGTTGCTAACTAAACTGAACTGAGCTCTATAAAAGTGTCTTTATACAACAATATGTTGATAAGACAGCATGTACTTTTATAATAGTGTACTTTTTAAATATACCCTTTTTTAAATGGATCTTTCCTTTTTATTGAAATTTATGAACAATTTCCATGAGGAATATTTTTCATTAAAGATACATAACAAGTTTTTTTAGTTACAGTGTCTTTTAGGTATTTATAATCCCTTAAGTCTACTTTGTTATTATCACAAATCATGCTTGTCATAGGGAAGACTTTAAAAGATTAGTAATGGTCTGCCGTCTGCTTAGCTTCGAAAATATATATGTAAACTAGACTTATCAATGAAATATAGAAACCTAATACTCCTTTACTCTGATTAAAAACTTTATTGTCTAGAGTCTAGACTATTTCCTTTAGGTCACTCACCAGCTTGAGTTCGTTCTTGGAGGCGCAGTCGAAGCCGGTGCCCAGATCGGCCAGCAACTGGACCACCATGGGATCATCGTTGCACTTGACGGCATAGTAGGGCCTGATCCTGGGCAGGAGGCGCTGCCAGAGACGATGCTTCCGCTCCACACTGGACAGGTCGCAGATGTTAAGGGCCTGGTCCAGATCCTGCAAGCCGGACTCCTCGATGACCCGACGAATGCTGAGCTCGTGCTCGTAGTAATGGATTTCCGGAACCCCGCTGGCCATGTCGCCACTTGGAACGCAACTGAACGATCTGAGATGCGGCACTTGAGCTAATCGCTCTCACAATTGTTATCAGTCAAAGACTCCCGTCCGAATCGCAACAGACTTGCCGAACATTTAGGAACACGCTCCGCCCGAGGTTCGTGAGCGTGGAACAATGAGGCTCTAATTAGCGGCAGAGGTCAAGCGATAGAGTGCGACCATTATCCCCGAAATGCCCAGAAAGTCGGTCTCTGAATATATTTGCCACAATGTGTAATTTACAACCAACAATATTTGGCATCGTAAATAATTTTAATGCCCTCGAATCGCGGCACGAGCATGTAAAACTAATAAAATGTAAATTTTCAACAGCGATTTCCGGAGTGGCCATCAAGTCGTGCATAATTGACACTTGGCCCGAGGACACAGCCCACTTCACACACTCGCACCAAGGACAAACCGGAGCAGGGCAAACCCCTACACACACCCCTAGCAAATTCCACGGCAATGACAACGATAATAATAGCAGAATAATAATAGAGTGCGTGCTCACCAAGGGATGTGGCAAGGACGCAAGGACGGAGGGTTGCGGTCTGTTGTCCTGGCCAATTTAGGGCCAACCCCCGAGAGCCCATCGAACGGGCAATTAAAAATTAAAATCAAACTTTTTGTAATCGATATTGGCAATTGCGCCTCTTCATCGCGAAACTTGGAAGTGTGCGCCATCAATCAACCATTAATTGGCCCAGCCCATCAATATTTTTTGGCCTTCAAAAAGGATCTTGGCGAAAGGATAGCGAAGAATGACAACTGTCAGCAGCAGGAGACAAAAGTATTGAGCGATGACCGGACCAAAATTGGGATCTTGTCATGCCCGGAAGCAAAAGGAGGAATCGGATATATCCGAATCATTGCGATTTGATTGCAATTTGCTGCGAGTGTCATCATTCAATCGATTCCAGATTTCGATTCGACTTCAAAACTAACCCGAAACCGCAGCACTCTTCACTGTGAGCGATGTGACTAATCGACGACAGGCTCTAAAGTGTCCTACTCACAAAAAAATTAAATAAAATAAAACGGAAACTGAAACTGAAACCGAAACCGAAGCGGAACCGGAACACAACATTTCTAGCATGTTGAATTGAAAACTGGTTTCGCCCTTTTTATACAAGTAAATGCATTTAAATCATTTGGCATTTAAATCATTTGAAATTTAAATTATTTGGGGTTTAAATCATTGGCTTAATTTGCTTGAAATTTACATGCAAATGTCATTAATTCAGTCGCCAGTCCTTTAAGTTCCCATAGCAATTGATTTAAAATTCACATGCATTTCAAGTGTATTTTTGTTGAAGAACTAAATGATATTCATTCTTTTTTCAGTTTAGTTGAGCTGTAAAATGCTTTCTGATTGTTTGTTCCAATACTTAGGAGCTACTTTAAGTTTCTTTAGCAAAAGGAAAAGGTCAAATCGCCATGAAATAAATCAAAATGCAAATTTAGAGAGACCCTAAACAGACCCGACTTAAATTCTATTTCAGACTTAAAGAAAAGCTAACATTAAGTGTTTACATGTTAACACATTTAAAATATTTAAATACTTAATTTTATTATCCACATTTAAAACATTTTATCTGCATTTGAAAATATAATAGTTTAGGGTATAAACATATACTCGTGTTATACCCTTTCAGGGAACTATAATTTTAGTCAGAAGCGTCTTACGCTATGAAGAAGTCATTTCCGACCCCATAAATCATATATATTCTTGATCAGCATCAACAGCCGATTCGATCTAGCCATCTATGGAAGAAAAAAAAAATTTTAATTTTTTGAAAATTTTATAAGGGGTTACATCATTAAAATTGTCAAAAATTGGCAAAATTTTTATTAATTTAAATTGAAAATTTAGAATGCAGATTTGTTGACCTACGAAAAACAAGCAAAGAAATGCTTTCCGAATTAAAATTAATGGATTTTTGACTTAGTTATGAGTTTGTTAAACTTTGATTTTTGGCTAAAATTTGAATATCGTGATTTAAAGAAAGTGAAAGCTTAAGCTTAAGCATCGGCTTTCTGAATTATCTTGATTATGATACATATTAAACAACTATTGGTTTTAAATAAATTCTCCTCCCAAGATCTTAAGCAAAGACAAGCTTAATTTTAGGTTCAACAAAAATATAAAATAATCATCTATTTCAAAATTATTTTCAAATATTTAAACATATTCACATGAGACATAACAATATCACTTTCTAGATTCACCAAGAATAGAATTCGTTACTTTTCTGGACCTATTATTTTATTTCTATTAAGTTCCCATACCTTTCTATTAACACTCTATTTATAACATATATCCGAGGGGATTCTCGTATATTTCTCCATAGTTTTATCGCCACCTCCCGTGAGTTTAACGACAACCCTCTCTCCGGAAATAGTTTCATAATAAACTTGCCATGACTGGCAGCGCCTAGCTGGCGCCCCCGACAGCCACACGAGCCATTGTAATCAGGGGGAGCAGGTCTCACCTTTGGCCCATCATCAGCGCGCCGCCTCCCCCTGAGGCACTTGACCGGCCAACCAAGGGCCTTCGGTTGGGAGGAGCAGCTCGGAGCGGAGCAGGCGGCGGAGGTAACCACTCCAAGCCGGGCCATTACCGCATTACGGGCGCCCCACTCGAGATTCCCAATCTGTGCGTTCGGCTTAAACTGCGCCTGTGCCGGCGACGGCTCTCAGCTGGGCACTTGCACTGCTCCCCAAGTACACAAAAAGAAATTATTGGAGATAATAAAATATGGGATATACATTAAACTAGTTGTAAAATACGTGAGAGTAAATAAAAGCTTTTAATATAGAGTTAAAAAAGTTAAAAAAGGATCCCTCTCAGAGTAGTCTATTCTCTTGCAGAATATTAAGTAATATCCTTGATATTTCATATATTTCACATGAATTAGATATGTATCCCGAGTTTTAAATTAAACTTAAGTAAAAAAGATATATCAAAAGTTAAAAAATAATAACAAGAAAAGTTCCCCTTAAAAGGGACAACTTTGGTTGCAGTTTTGGAGTTTCCCTTTTGCGGCACAGACATCCTTAATTATAGTTGACTTTAAGATAACTTCTGATAACTCAGAAAATCTATATTAGCCCCATCTTCAACTAGGAATTTTTCCCTGTGCACCTCTATGGCACTGCCATGAGTCATTTGGGCCACGCGCTTGGCCAAGGGAGGTCCTTGCTCCACCTGCGAGGGTTCGGCGCGGCGTTTCCCTGTTCAGTTTTGTTTGGTTAGGCCAACGGGCTGCAGCAGCAATGAGGCACATGCCCGGGCTCATTGCCACAACTCCGGCTAAACGGCAACAATAGTCACGATAATTGCACCGTTCGACTTCGAAGGATAAATCGGCAGACACACAATCAGAATGTCGCATTTGCTGAGGCGCACCAAGAAGTCCTGTCTGAAGGTTAGTTGTCGCGCGACTTGACTTGGCTTGGCTTGGCTTTTGGGGCGGGCGATCAATAAAAAATCGATGCGGGTGCCACCGCCGAATAACAATAGACCGCGAAGTTCGCATGCCTGAGCTTTCAGTGGGTTGTGCCGGGCGTTAATCATACGCCGCGTTGACTTCCGCCCGTTAAGTTCACATTCCCATTGATTTGTGTGTCGTTGCAGTTGCTGCGCCGGATATCGACCTCGAAGCAGCTATTTGTGCAGCGCCTGGACGAGGAGGATGGCGACGAGGACGATGTGGAGCCGGAAGTGGTGATGGACCTGCAGCGGGGCCTCGAGCTGGATGTCAACAGCAATTGCCACATGACGGAGGCCATCTACGAGGAGCTGCAGCTGGAGGAGTGCAACCAGAACGAGGCGCCACCGGAGTTGGCCAGAGAAGCGGAGGAGCCGCCGCCCCAGGAGGGGAAGCTCGATCTGAGAACAAAGTACTTGATGAACTACGGAAACTATGAGGTGCTGGCCACCGCTCCGTCCGCCATTGAGTTCGAGCGGGTGCCCTACAAGGAAAACGTGCGCTATCTCCGGCACACGCCCTCCAACTCCAGTCTGGACCTGCAGCTGGAGGAGCAGCAGCAGCAGCAGGTGGCACAGCCGACCCCGAGGCAGCTATCTGTACAGCATCCTCCCAGACAGACGCCCCAGAAGATGGTCAGTCACCGGCTGCAGCACCAGCATCCCTGCAGCATCAGCCTGGGCTCCAAGTTCGAGGGCAACTACCACAGCGTGGTGATCATGGAGCCGCCGCACGACGACTTTCCCATCGTCAAGTGGGACATCAATGGCAACTCCCTGGACGACGACACCTGCGATCGGTGGGAGGACTTTGACACGAGGTGGCGGCAGGCTGCATCGGCCACCACCAGACCATTTTCGCAATCGCAGTCTCAAAAGTCCAGTCACCAGTCCAGCTCCTGCACCTTGGAGACCTGGGTGGACGATGCGGAGCCGCTGAGCCTGGAGCTGCACAGGCACGAGAATGCGGCCAACTGTAACCTATGCCTTAGGAGCTTCTGAGTCCGGGAGAATCGGGAATCAGGGTACCCATATATATACATATATATTTATATATAGTAATGTATAACCTCCACACTTTGCGTCCAGCGATAGAGCACAGAAACCAGTCTTGTGAGAATTACCTTCGTAACATATATGTATTCGACTCGGAGAGAGTCGCCAGACCGCAATTTTCATTATAGAAAGTTGTTTTCGAGAATATCCATTAACAATAAAGCGTGTTTTTTGGTGTGTGTGTGTGTGTGTGTGTGCGGCGCTCCTTTGGCTCCATACCTTGAATAATGCACTCGAGAATGCTTCTCTGAGGGAGTAGTAGTAGTAGCTTGGTCCCAGCCGATGTCCCTCCCCCGTCCATCGATCCATTCCGGCGCACGACCCGCACGTGCTGGACGTTCGTGAGAATCCGGAGACCTCTGGCTTTCCCACGAGCCGCGAGCAACAGCGATTTTCAGTGCGTTTTTCGGTGGTGCAAGTTCAACTTGCCGCCCAGCCGGGCACCATCCATCCACTTGGCCTGGCCAGGGGTGGGTTCTCCATGCAGACTCGAGCCTCCGTCCCACGCTGGCACTGACACTGGCATTGGCCATTAAGCACTTCCACTTTGCTGTTTGCCACATTGGAAACCTGAGCGACAGCATGCCGAATCAAATTAAAAGCACTTTTTTACAATTTTCGATTTTGTTCATTCTCTGAAATGGATATGGCGCGGCATTAACATTGAGCATACGCCACGACAATCGAAAATAATCGAGAAAGATGGAGTGAAATGTCGTTGCAAATATTTATGAAGGAAGTAATAATCACACGGGAGATATTAACGTGTGAGCGGCAGGAAAAGAACTAACTGAAACTTTGTATTCTACAAATATTTTGGTAATTTACTAAAGTTTGGTAATTTATTAAGGAAACTTATATGAGAAACCTGAGCTATAGCCTTGACAAAACAACTGGAAACCCCTTTTTCAATGTTTTTGTTGTCTTTCATTTTTCAAAGGAGTATAGAATACATGTATAAGGATATACAGAATACAGGGCATAATTCCGAGGTAATCGAGATATTTATGAACTGTACTTAGAATTAATTTAAAATAAAATATATTGCATACTTTCAATTTTGTTGTCCTTTTTCTTTGCTTATACCATATAATGAGATATACCTTAATTTAAAATTCTTATTCCAGTCCAGAAGAACTCACTTATATTAAGGAAGTTTTTACTTTGGACTCAATTTACGATACAAATTACTTTACTTTACTATGAAAATTGTGATAGCTTATCTAAGTTTTGCAAAATACAGCTTAATACATTATTAAGAATATCCGCCATCAGCACAATTTCGATACCTTGCAGGGTGTTATAGTTTTAGTCAGAAGCTTAAAATGCCGTGAAGGAGTCATTTCCGACCCTATATAGCATATATATTCTTGATCAGCATTAAAAGGCGAGTCGATCTAGCCATGTCCGGTCAAAAAATTAATTTTTGACATTTTTCGAAAATTTCAAATTTTTATAAGGGGTAACATCATTAAAATTGTCAAAAATTGAAAAAAAATTGAATTTTTTAAATCTTAAAATGAAGTATGCAGATTTGTTAGCGCTATAAAAACTAGAACAGGAAAGCTTTCCGAATTGAAATTATTGAATTTTTGGCTTAGTAATGGGTTTTTTAAACTTTGATTTGTCACATAAAATGTTTATATATTTCCGAATATACTTAGCTTAGTTATGATCGATTTCTGATTCGATCCTTTTATTCAAACTGCAAGGGTGTATAAACTTTGGTAACTCGGAGTTAATTTTCTTTCTTGTTAATATCTATATACCCTTGCAGAGTTTTATAATTTTAGTCAGAGGTATACAATAATTCTTCAAACCATACATAATAATACAAAAGTTATCGCGATTATGTGGCTTACACACAGAAAAAACTTGGTCGCAGAACTTTTGTCAATTGAGCGAAGTTTCTTAGAACTGGAAGGGATACTATGAAAATCTCTAGGAGTCCCTTCAAGCCCAGGACCTTTCCTGATGTCCTTGTCAGCAGGAGCGATGCCACCATAAGTGCCTAAGAAATTGTGCATTATAGGGCCAAGAGATTGCCTTAGAAGTTTAGCTAAAAGCTAATGAAAAATTCTTAGCAATTCGATTAGAAATATATGTATCAATAATGGGAAATGATATACTCAAAAAGAAGTTCAAATATATGAAGTTAAATCAGTGCCTGTTGAATGTTAACCAAAAATGTAAATATTGATTTGCCTCAGACAATTTCTAGGTCAACTCCGGACACCTGCTCCCGCATCCGTTCTTATCTCGGCTCCCGGCTAACCTTGAGCCAGCACTGACCTAGAAATGTGGGCCAACACACGGCCCCGGGCAAAGATAAAGGTCAACGACGGCTGTTGCACTTGTTGGGGCTTTGCCACACGACCGGCGTCTGCTCGGGCGCGTGCTCCAGTTTGAGTCCCATTCTGTGAGGCAGCAAGGCGGCCGCTCCAGGACAAGTGGCGACAGCGACGACGACGGACGTTACCAGTTAGCCGCCCACGGCGCCGATTAGGAGATGTTGTGCCCGGCAGATGCTGCCATATAATCATTGTCATCAGATGCAATCGCAATCGATGACAGAGGCTTGCTCATTTGCCGGGTCTAGTGCCGCTCCTTGTCGCACTCTCTGGCAATGGTGCTGCTCCTGCTCTGCTCACTCCCGTGGCGTTGCTCCCTTGTTCATTTGGCTGCGATCGTACCTACCCCCAATCTCGGCCAGCACGCGTTGCCAAGGGGTGGTTGCTGCTGCGTCTTATTGGACGGCCGCCGGCGGCGGTAAAAAGGGGTTGAGCGGCGGCAGCGACGGCGGCGGAGGAGGGCAGGTCGTCCGCTGGACGTGTGCTGCAGAATCAGTCGACCGCCGTTCGCGCACACGATAAGTCACGTGCTCAAAGTAGCTCCGCTCCAGCTTCGGCTTTATCTCCAAGTTCAGAGCTCGCTCGAAAAACCAACAATAGTGTCAAGTGCGCAGGAGCAGCAAACGGACAACGAACCAAGCAAACAACACCCACACACAACACTCGCCGCACAATGGATCACAACATGCACGTGAACGCGCCACTGCATCACTGGGGCTATGCCGCCGGACCGCCAGTGGCCATGCCCGGAGTGGGCGCCTCTGCGCCGCAGAGCCACTGGGTCCCGCCGCCATCCCACCACAGTCATCACAGTAACCACAGTCACGGGCACAGCAGCCACAAGCGGACGCTTTCCGAGAGCGATTGCGACGATCTCTACTCCGAGGAGTCATCCAAAGAACAGTGCGTATACGTGTTAATTATGTGTATTCTAAGAAGTGATTCATTTCCAGCGTTTCTTTACCCAAATGTGTTTTAAATTAAACAAATGTTGCTTTTAGTAATTATTAAAATCAATATTTTACTTAAAGAATCTGAAAAAACTTATTAAGTAATGCTTTAAAAAAACAAAAAAAGCAAAAATACTTAGATTTGTGAACTTCCAATCTTCTTTAAGCATTTTTTGAAGAATTTCAAAATTTAAATCTTATTTTAGCATTATTCACAGAGGCTAGGTCTCTTTAATTTGAAATATATTTGTGTTTAAATATAATAAGTGTATCCATATATTACCTAATTTCGAATCAATAATCCTTAAGAAAAGTCATAGCGTTTAAGATATAGGAGTACCCTTTCTTTTCCTGGATGCTTAAATTAGTTTTACTAACTCTAAAAATTACCTTCTTTCTTCTTCTAGAATTTCTCCGAGTGGACCTGGCAGCTGCCAATTGATGACCCGCAAGAAGCGCCGCGGTGTCATCGAGAAGAAGCGCCGAGATCGTATCAACTCCTCGCTGACCGAACTGAAGCGCCTGGTGCCCTCCGCCTATGAAAAACAAGGATCTGCCAAGCTAGAAAAGGCTGAGATCCTTCAGCTAACCGTGGAGCATCTTAAGGGTCTCCAATCGAAAAGTAAGTTTGAATTTATTAACTTCAAAGGGGCTGCTTATCTATAATTGAAAAGAGCACAGCTTTTGTAAGAGCTTCCTAAACCCTATTTAGACACATGAAAATGATTGGAAAAATCCCTAAATAATGATAGTAACAGATAGTTAGACAAAGATCCTTTAGCAATAAAATATCATGAGAACCATTCCAGCTAAGGCTTCTGTAAAAAAATCCCGCTGTGGGAATCACTTAAATACAATATGCGGCAAATTATCACAAATCCGGGTAAACAATACCCTAACCTGTTGTCCCGAATCGGGTCGTGTTGTGGGAAAATTATGATTGCCACCCTCAGTGAGCCCAAGTGAATCTCGAATCTCGGGTCTTCCCACGCTGCCCACTGCACCACCATTACCAATGCTGCAAAAGCTAGGGCTGGGCGCGGGCTTCCACCCCCTGATAGTCCGTGACAGTCCCTGTTAGGTTATCCCGCAGAAGGACACCGGGGGTTGTTCTTTATGCATGTCGCGTGGGAACAACTATTTTAATTGTTTGCTCGATCCCAGATTAGACAGCTTATTGACTTTCTCCGCCTCTCCTCCTTCCATTGCAGCTCTCGACTCGCTCACCTACGACCCGCAGCGCGTGGCCATGGACTACCACATCATCGGGTTCCGCGAGTGCGCCGCCGAGGTGGCTCGCTATTTGGTGACCATTGAAGGCATGGACATCCAGGACCCGATGCGCCTGCGCCTCATGTCTCACCTGCAGTACTTTGTGCAGCAGCGCGAGCTGTCGGCCAAGAGTTGCGCTAGTCCCGGCGGCTGGACTGCACCCAGTCCCAGCACCGCTGGCTATCAACCCAATTGTGCTGCGGCTTCGTACCAGACCTATGCTGCCCCAACTAATCCTGGTCCCTATGTGTCCAGCAGCTCGATCCACTCTGGTTATCCCACGCTAAGCGCCTCGCCTTCTCACCAGCAGCAACAGCAGCCACAGCAACAGCAGCAACAACAGCAGGCACAGCAGCAGCATGGAGGACGTACCAGTGCTTCTAGAGCAAGTGCAGCGGTTGTGAACGAGGTTCTTCCTAGCCATGACCTTCACTCAGAAGCTAGCAGTCAGCAGCAACAGCAGCAGCAACAGCAGCAACAACAGCAGCAGCAACAGCAGCAGCAACAACAGCAGCAACAGCAGCAACACCAGCAGCAACAGCAACATCAGCAACGGACTCAAACCACAACTACTCCACAGCCTGCCCAGCAGCAGCAACAACACTACACCCACGACCACAGCGTGGTTCATCCAGAGCAGCAGATACCCACCTACATCGAGCTAACCAACAGCAATCGTCCGGCGGAGGTGAGCTCCGAGAGTCTCAGCTACAGCACAGCCCCACAGTACCCGGTGAGCGGAGGCCAGGACTACAATAATGCCAGTGTTCTCCAGTATGCCACGCCCAATGGAGCCAAGCCCTATAGGCCCTGGGGCGCTGAGATGGCTTATTGAAGGGAAAATTATGAGAACAATGAAAATGATCAGGGAAACCCCAAAAACCCAACAGGAACCGAAGAACTCTAGTCAGAGCAGACCCAGTGTGATAGTCCTAAGTTTCGCATCCTACAGAGAAGAGATAAAACCAGCCAGCAAGGATAAATTAACTAATTAAGTGATTACAACTAATATTTATATAAGTATATGAACCTTTTGTGAATCTATTGTAAATAAGCGCAATTGTTTAGAAACTAAAATATACAATTAAAAAATAATTTATTTAAAGTCTTTTGTCAACATGATAATGAATCTTAAATCTTAGAATCTGGTTAAAATCAAATTATCATTAACCAATCAGACCAGGATCTCCAATAATGCTTTTGATCTTTGTGTTTATTGTCATGTTAATTACAATATTATTTTCGTTCGAAATTGCACAAGTGTAATAGAAATGAGGAGACACTGTTGAGACTCTTTTTGCAATCATAACGATTAAGAAAAACTTCGATCTAATTAGATCTAATGGGGCATGTGGACACCAACTATCTGCCCCGCTGGTGGACCGGAGGCGTCTGCTCGGCCATTGCAGTGACCACCACCCAACCGCTGGACCTCATCAAGGTACAGCTGCAGACGCAGGCCAGAGCGGACCGGAAACCTGTCACTGAGATCATCGGCAACATCTATAGGCAAAGTGGAATTTTGGGCTTCTACAACGGCATCTCGGCCTCCTGGTTCCGCCAGCTCACCTACACCACCACCCGCTTCGGCCTGTACGAGTGGGGCAAGCAGTTCGTCAACTCCGAGGGCGTAGGTGCCAAGGTGGGTCTGGCCATATTCGCCGGCCTCTGCGGTGGGATCGTAGGGGTGCCCGGTGATGTTATCACCGTGCGGCTTCAAAATGACAGCAAACTGCCGCCGGAAAAGCGACGAAAGTAAGTAATGTTACTTTGTCTCAGCTCTTTCAAAAAATGTCTAAAATTAAACAAATTCTAAGCCCCTTCTCAACCGAAACTGATCTCGCAGCTACAAGCATGTCTTTGATGGCCTGTTCCGCATTATCAAGGAGGAGGGTGTGCGCAGTCTCTTTCGCGGCACCCTGCCCGCTGTTTCAAGATCCGTGCTCCTGACCATTGGAACCAATGCCACGTACGACCAGGTGAAGCAAAAGATTAGGTCAGTCACCGGAGCGGCTGATGGCCTGCCGCTGCACTTCACCACATCCACGATAGCCGGCTGCATTGCCGTCTCTTTAATGCAGCCACTTGATGTAATTAAGACGACGTACATGAACGCCAAGCCGGGCGAGTTCTCTGGGATCGGCGGAGCCGCCTTGAGCATCGCCCAGCAAGGACCATTGGCCTTTTACCGTGGATTTATTCCGGCACTGATTCGTGTCAGTCCCAATACGATCATCACTTTCATTCTTTATGAGCAGGCGCGACTGCGCTTTGGCTATCTGGAGCCCGAAGACAAGTTATCATAGGGGGATCTGTGTGGAATTCATCCATGATCCTTAGTTTTTATAAATCCGTTTCATACGCATTTACTCGCTACTCAAAACCATATTGCGTTTATCCATTGGACCGGAAATAATCCCTACCCAATAAGCTGCCACCGTGCTCGTTAGCGACACGCTGGACCGCGGATTTTGGGCTGACCACTGGTCAAGCCAGCGCTGGGGGTCAACTATTGCCGCTTATGGTTTATGAAATTTGCATATGCATATGGGTTTCTGAGCCACTAACTAAGCAAGCACGTGAGCACCCGATCCGCGGCAGTTAGTTAAGCCGGGTGCACATTCGCCACCCGTAATTAGGGAGCGGGGTTAGCAAGGTGCTGGGGTCGCAACCCCGAGAGCACTGGACCCGGAACCGCAGGAACCCGAATTTCCACAGGAACTGGAAACCCGACGAGACCAAGATCTGGTCAGCACTCCAGAAATATAAGAACCCCGAAGGGAATTCTGTCATAAAGGTAAAGGTAGGTAAACTACTTCGTATTGTTTTAGCTGATCTGCTGGCTTAGGGTGTTTTTGTGGACAAAATACATAAATTAACTATCTAGAATTCAACATGTTTTTGTGAAAGTCGTTTTACCTAATAAATGTTTTCGGTTTTAGGTATTAGAGTTGGCATGGAGTGCTGTAAATGCTACGAGAGAGAAGAAAAATATTTAGGAAACTTAAAATACAATATAGTGCCAGTTTCATTATTATTGTATCCTTGGAGCTTTGATAAAATGTATATAGTTTTTGACCTAAACATTTATTATATTAATCCGTTCCCAATTTATATTATTTACGAAACTATTTCTATATGAAACAGCCAATAGATTTTAGCCAGTTTATTTCTAAATAAGGATAAAGTTCTGATGTTTTTTTTAGATTTCCTAAACTCCAAAAAAGTATAATTTGGAGCTAGACAATATAATCCCTAGAGCTTAACAATTCCTAGATCCCATGGGAATCATTTAATTTAATTTAATATATTTTTTAACTACTCAAAATGACCCACTCCAAAGAATCACTTGAAACCTATATTGCATTGCAACCGAGCAACCAAAATCGCTGTCTATGGAATGTGGGAAAAATTCGAAATCACCCCCGGAAAACGCGCAAGAAACAATCTTTTGCGCATTAATTTACTTTTGCCGGTTAAACACATATAAATGTTTTCTCTGCCAGGACTTACCACTATGTGAGAGACCTCTGAGCTTTGACTTCCCACGCGACATGCTAGCCACCACCATCACCACCGCCCACAGGACCATACCCGAAAAGGTATCGAGGGTGTATAGGGGTGGCTCTGCTCGGGATCGGCGTCAACACCATCGCCTTTGGCATAATACACACGTCAAAACTTCCAATTAGAGACAATCATTCGGATCTGGGACAGGGGTACGAGGGTACCTTGGGTCTCTGATATCAACCCGGGTGGAGGGTGGTTTTATCACAGAGCCAAAAGGCTACAAAAACCATCGAGTCGTTCGAACTGGATTTCATTCCTCGGATTACCAGCAGAGCAACAGGATCAGGAGTAGCAGTAGCAGCACCAGGAGAACCTGCCGTAGGATGGTGGTTGCATATCATTATAATTGTGCGGTGTCATCGACAGGGAAATGATTCCCATTTTTATTGCGGTTCGGGTCAATTAAGTGGAATATTTCGCGACAACTTCGAGTTCTGAATGGTTTTTCGTGTCAAACATCATAAAAACGCTCAAGTAATATTTAATTTATGCACATCTGGAGCAGGAGCACATGTGGACGTAATGGAAATGGAATTACAATCATGTGCATAAAGGACATAAAGGATTCATTGGTGCGTTGTGTGGGGTTAATCGAACACAGTTATAGGAGTAAATGGGAGTTAATAAATCCATTCGATTTGAATGCAATAATCACTGAACTTGAAAATGTCTTTTATTTATACCCATCCCCCCTTCTGGCATACTCTCTCGTTCTCTCCTGTGCTCAGCCCCTTTAAAAATAGCCAGCATATCAGATCTAGCGCTCGCACTATCTCACACACACACACACTCCCTGAGCACGGCCGGAGAACGAGAGAAACTTTATAAATTATTCTCGTAAGTGCCTCGCTCTGGCTTGTCATGTGAACTTTAATTTTGTTTTGATTATTTCTTTGCGGGTAACATCACCAGAAGTCAATAATTGAGTTTGTTTGCCGGCTGAAGTTTGAGCAGCGGCCTACCCGTCGGATTGAATGTGTGCGTGTGGTGCATCTGGCGGCATATACCGAGTGCCCACGTTTATGTGATGTAATAATATACATATAAGCTGAAAACTGACAGGGGCAAGAGATACTGCTGAAGACGATATGTGGACTAGGAAGCTGTTTATCGGATTTATCAGAATGACGCCGCCGGCTCATATACCCAGGCGTAAGTGGCATTGAAAACAGTCACAGAAACAATCTTTACAATCATCACAAAGGCATTTAAGATCTGAAATATAGAAACTATATCTCATTGAAGGAATTTCCACAAAAGGAAGTTAAGAAACAAGATTATCTAAAAGTTATATCATGCTTTAAGGATTCGTAAATTAAGTTAAAGTTCCTTATATCTGGTGAATTAAAAACATTTTACCTTGCTTTAATCCCTTTGGCAAACACAAAAGCATGTCGTAGTTCAGTTCCATTATTACTCGTTTAAATCAACCAGACGACTTTCAACTTAGGCATTTATTTGGAACTCTAACGATTAACTTCAAAATCAGTGCCACGGCACCTGGTTGCCAATGGTGCCCTTTTTGTAGAACTTGGCCGTGGCTGAGGCTGTTGTTGCCAATGTTGGAGTGGGCGGGGCTGGTTCGTATGTGGGTCCGCTGCCCTCCGCCTTTAGCACGGCGGCGCAACGCCATTGCTTGTTGTAGTTCATTCGCCACAGGCGAACGCAGCCGTCGTCACCTGTAGAAATTAGCATTGTGGCCAACATATTCCAGCATACGCGCCACACGGGGCAGTTGTGCTCGCTGAACTTGACGGTCTGAATGTCCAGCTTCGAGTTGCCAGTAGCGTCCCTAGAAGGGCCAAGAATCGTTAACCATCAGATAATTTTAAGAACTTATCTTGCCCTTACGTTACACCACGCAGATTAACAATGTAGAGATCCTTGCTGGCCACGGCCAGCATGTGGAAGGTGCGGCCGGCGTTCGGGGCGAAGGCCACATCAGTGACTGGATCGGTTATATCATTCACAGTCTCAATTTTCACACACTTGCGGGCATTCTCGCTGTAGGCAAATAAGAAAACCTTACCAGTAGGCGTGGCCGCCTCATCGCTGCCCGCCTGCAAAACAAATTAAGTTTAACAGACGTCTCAATAAAAGTTAATAAATATTCCTTACCGCCAGCAGCTGAGTGACCATGTAGGTGGAGGTATTCCACGAGAGACAGCTCAGCGGCAGTTTATTTGCGATCTCGTGCTGCACGGGCCACTGCGAGAGGTTCATGATGTCCGGTGCCTCGTAAATACGGATGATGCCATCCGCAGAGGCGGTTGCCAGTAGCAGTCCTAGGTACTTTGGAGCAAACTCCACGTCAGTAACGCTGGTGCGCGAGTCCACGAGCGTGGTGCGACGAACCCAGCGGCGTGTGGGAGCATTGGTCGATGATACCTTCTCACCAATCACCTCCTCCCAGACAGAGGCGGTGCGATCAAATGAGCATGTGGCCACCACCTGACCGAACTCTGGATGTGCCCAGGACACCCGCCAAATGGAGCCGGAGTGGGCCTTCCAGCTGCTGGTCACACTCCACTTGCCCTGTCCGTCCTCGTCCCAAATCTGTGCGCATAAAATCCGAATCAAACTTGTTGTTTACCACAAGGAAGCACCGGTATCACCTTCACTGTCTGGTCGCTAGAGCAGGTAGCCATGCGACGGCCGTAGTAATCGAACACCACATCATGTATCACGTCCTTGTGATCTGCTATTATCGGTTCCACGTCAAACATTCTCAAAATCCTTGTTTATTTGCCAAATGTTTATAAAATGCACGCGCCGAAATGCCGTCCCGCAAACTTAGTGTTGGGTAAGGAGGACAGAACAGCTGTTGATTGCCGCTAAGAATTATTCGGTATATTAGTATTTTCCTAATGATAAAAGCTGTTCTGAGAGAGAACATTTGTCAAGGGCGCGTATTGCTAATGACATCGTTCGAACTTTTTCGGTTATACTTTTATATCATAGATGAGGTTTTTTATTTCCCATACACAGCAAAGCAATAAAACACCTCAAATCACAGAGAACTGATTTCCCGCGCACAACAAGTGTGGCCAAATATAATTTTTAGGGCAACTAGACATGACACTAACGCTTTGTAGACGAAGACAGAAACGGTCACACTGGTGAGCCATTTCTAATTTCAACGTCTTGAAACGCGAAAATAAACTATTTTGTGTGATAATTTGCGGGTGTCGCGGTAATTGGAACGGTCGAACATACCTAGCATCGTGCCTGGGGATTCCCTGAAATCCGCGAATCGTGAAATCAAAGCCCAAAAAGCAGTGACAGTGAAAGGAGAGAGTTTTGCACCCGGAAAAAGAACAGTTACACACAACAAAATTGCCAACAGAAAGAAACGTGCGAAGCGCAATACGATGGAGAAGAGTAAGTGCGGTAATCTAAGCGCCGAACGGCTAATTACAGCCTGATTCGCATGTATGCAAATGAGCGGGGTTATTCACCTCGCTAATCGCGCTGCCTACAGCATAGATCGGGACCCGTGTTTGTTTATCATTTGAATATTTGGCTAAAGGGCGGAATCCCACATCAAAGTGCAACGGGCAGCATATTTTTTTCATGTTCAATATGCTCGCCTTCCTTTCGCGCTCTTTACCACGGGATTTCTCTCGCAATTCCTCTCTCACTCGTTACTGACCTTGATTCCTATTGGATTTTACACATCGCGCGATGCCCGTGACGTATGTATATGCGTGTGTGTGTGTGTGGGCGAGTCAGCAGCATATCTGCTAGTGTGTGTGTGAGTCAGCCGGCATCAATTACCTAATAATAAATAAATTGAAGATGTGAATCTCTAGAGAAAGAGTCCACAGAAAGAAAACGTCTTTTGCAGATTAGACCGCATATATTTCGTAATACTCGAAATATTTGTTTACATTTTTATTTTAACTTGTTGAACCTTAGTAAAGTGAAAACAGAATAATACCTTTCATTTCTGTATTTAATTAAAATAGTTCTTGAACAATCTTACTTTTTAAAATATAAAATTGTATTAAAAAGGAAATATTAATATTAATATTCTCTCACTTAATTAATTTTGAAGCCATAATTAAAAGTAAAATAATTTTTTGGTAACTCTCCGAATATAGTTCCATATCTCCATATTTCTTCTTTTAAAAATTAGTTAGTTATCCTCTATGTAAATCTCTCTTCCACTGATTTGTTATATGAATTTGTTGTTTTAACTTAATTACTTGTTGAATTTAAAATTTTGCTTTAAACCCAAATGGATTCTAATTTTTTTCTGTGCTAAAATCTTAAAGATACTTTTATAGAACCTCTTGCCAAGTAGTCTTCTATTTTCGTTTGTGTATAAATCCCGGAAACAGGTTACTTTACATTCCCTTTCGAATTTAAAATTACTATATACTATATTGCCTTAGTTCTTTTTATAGAACCACCTGCCAGAGAAGCCTGTTTTTGCCCGTGTAGAAATCCCTGAGATAAGCCCATCGAAATCAGGCGTCTCACACGCGACCAACTTTCGGTTCTATTGTTATTATTTGGAACCGATATCAGTAGACGCCTGATTCTGACTGGCCACGCGCCAAACATGAATAATTCGTGCCAAATCGAGGAGCGAAACACACAAAAAGTTTCCGTGCGATAAGATGTCCGTGAAAGATTCGGCGGGACCTGTCCCGTCCCGTCCCTCCCGTCACCCTCACTTTTAAGTATTAATCATAATCGGTCGCCAAGGCCAATGCCAAAATCGGAAGATTTTTCAGTCGACTTCCACGGCTATCTGAGATTAAAGCCGGGCGGCGCGGCGGGAATTTCTTTTATGACTTTTAAAAATCCTCTGCTGATGCCTCTGGGATTGGCGGATGGAAAAAATGAAAACAAATCAGCGGGATTCGCGTGTTCTGCTCGTGGCAGCGCTGACTGGATCCCGTTATTCATTATACCGTTTCAAGTGCATCGCTGCTCTAATCAATTTCAGGCCTTTTTCGCTGCCCATTTAACCCTAATCAGCATCGCTTGCCACTTACGACAGCAAATTGAGAAATTATCATTGTTGTTGTTATTGTTTTTTTTTTGTGCCTGGAGTGCATTACCGTCAGCGGTTGGGTCAACTGCCAGATTAAATCCAGGTGAAACAGCAACAATAACAACGGCAGCAGCGACCTTGACATTGAAAGCTCCCACAATGGCACAGATACAGTTAAGAGAGAGCCACCACAAGAGAGAGAGAGGGAGAGGAGACAGAGAGAGAGAGAGATAGAGATCGGAAGTGGGGGAGACACACTGATGCCAGGCCGGTTGTCAACAGCTGATCGCCATCGATTTATCAGTGTTATCGCAACTGCAAGCTCTGTTATCAATTCGCAACAAGAATGGGCCTTATAGGCAACAGTGAAACCTCATAATAAGCTATTTTTAAATCAAATATATTCATATTTTGAATACACATTTTTTTCGTAAACATTCTGTTAGAAACTATTTTACTCACTCACTTTTTTAGAAAGTTGTTTTAAAAGATCCCGATCAGTATCCATAGGATCCTATCTAAGAATTTAACGTGTCCTGACGAATTCTTACATCTAGACTCCAGGTTATTCTCCAAAACTACAGCTTTCTATAAGAAGATTTACATTTGATCATAGGTCATCAAATATTTATCCGTTTTTTTTCAACATGCTTGTAAGATCACTTTCAAAAATCTCCGCAATAACAAAATAAAATCTTTGTATTATATATTCCAGTTGATGCGACCGTGACACAAGCACTACTATACTTTAATGTTTTGAGATCCCTCAGAGATTTCCCAGCTTAATTCGAGTTGTTCGTATTAGTGAGGTTCAATTGTACATGTATTATTACCGTGTACTCGGCGGCACCTGCAACAACAATTGGCTTGGCGACCCGCGAGACCCGCCGTCGATTAACATTCGAGCGCAACAACCTGTACACGCACCACGGTACACACTCACACGAGGCCCAGAGCCCTGGTCACAGCTACCATATATGCATATGTATGTGGCTATAGTTGATATTGATAGTGACGACGGCGAAGTCGGCGCTCCGCCGGCGACGACGACGTCCAGGCATCGATAGTGCTTGCTGGCCGAGCATGGCCCAGTTGAGTTCCAAGCGTCGGTCACTGCAGAAGCCACCTAGCAATCGTGCGGAACCAGTCTAGGAAGTTGAATCCGATCCGACCTCGTCCACGAAAATAAGAAACTAGACACTGAGGCACACGCAGAGTGGTAAAGCGAGATCAAACATAAACGTAAACCTTAACTAAAACGACACTAATTTAGGGCGTGTCTAACTATAAAATCCAGTCAAGGCCCCGTGAAGTGTTGTTCCCAAAGATAATCGGGCAGTTAGAGTAAGCTTTTCAGTACTTTCGGGTATTGAGTAAGGCGAAACAGATGCGAGTGGTGGTTCTTATCGTATCAGATCGTTGCTCATAGAAAAACATACGACTCCAGTTGGCTAGAGGTGTGTTTATAGAGCGTTTTCAGGCCGTGCACCTGTTAGATCGAATTCCATACGGAATCCTAGATCGTGACGGGATTTCCGTGTTAAGCGCCAGTCCAGGTGTTACATAACACTTCGAGATCGATTCCCCTAGTCTCTAATTCGCCCTTCCGTGCCTTTCGAAGCCTCCTCTGCTGGCACACTTACATATTGTAATGCCAAATCATTGACCTCTTCTACTACTGGCGTAGCCAATTTGCATTTCCACATACCAGCTGGGGGTTTTTTGCTGTCTTCTGTCAGCTTGTATTTTTTCATTTTCCTTTCCCACTCGTCTGCGTTTTGTTTTAAAATTTAAATGCGCTGCACATTGTACCCCCAATAACCGAAAAACATTTTTATAGTTTCAAGTTGTATCGTCACTCTGCCTAAAGGGTATTATTAGTTGAAACTTGGGCCGATCATTAGCGAGCAATTCTCTGGCTTTTGACCCAGCCGGAAACACTTTAAGCTTCTGTATTTTTGTATAGTGTTATGCATTCTTTGAATCGTTGCTATATAGTACTTGTTCGATTTGAATCTAAGTTTAGGTCACCTTAGTGAACTGCTATTGATTATAATAAACTAATATAATATAATAATCACCTTTTATATAAATGCTTTAATATGAAAATAATGAAGTGTATTCATTCCATTATGTTTTGTTTTATCAGTATAAATTTATTCTCGCAAATTTTGCACTTCAGTTAGAGTATCTCGGTTTCTTTATTATTATTGCTTCTTATCTCCCTTGCTTCATTGACCTGGCAACGTTTTATTTTTGGATTTCTTAATTGTATCTCTGGCCAACTAGTTTATGCATAGATTAGCATTTTGATTTTGTTTTGTTTCGCCGATTTGGCCCACAAATTCGTGGCAAGGTTTTTGAACTTGAAAAATGCCCAAAACGAAACGAAACTAAACCGATGCCTGCGTCCGTCCGTAGAGTTGTGCTTTCACTGCTCCGCTAATGTAATATATTTAAAGTCAGACGGACGACAGACAGGCATAAAGGCTGCAAGATTATCTAATCCGATTTGAATTCATCGATTTAAAGCAGCTTTTTGGACATAGCCGATGTTGATCCCACTATTCGGCACCACTCTGGCTGCTTTTCTCGCATTCCTCTTGACATTGATCTTTGGCCGCGGCCAGAAAAGATTGAAGCCCGTCGTCGTCCCATCGGCAGGCACAGGCACAGGCACTGGCACAGCCACAGCAGCAGCAGCTAGCGACAGAGACAGCGGTCCCAGCAATCGTAAGAATCCCACAACTTTGTTAAATCGCAACACACACACTCGAAAAACACTTGAAGGGCACACAAAAATCGCACACACCTAGCTGATAACCCAATTGAATTAGAGTATAGCTCACACTTGAGATTAACCTGTGATTAACTTGTGTATTATTGCGAATCTATAATTACAGACAGCTCCAGCGTGATTGCAGCTACAGCAACGACAACAACAACAACAAAATCCAGTTCCTTAGAGGCAGGAGGAGCAACATCCGCACCCACAGCACCATCGGCGATAAAAGCGGGAGACAAGCGGTACACCAAGGTTGGCGGCATCAAGAAGGTCAAGTTTTCTAGCGAGAGTCTCAAGTCAGAGGTGGAGGAACTCTGCGTCCAGCTTAAGGATAACGTATTGACCGATCTCAATACCGACAACATCCGCATCACCTGCCATCAGAACAATAACAACAACCTTTGCAACAAGAACAACAATAGCTTTGACATAAACATAAGCAAGATGAGCGAAGCAAATGAGGCGACGTCGAATGAGACGGCAACCCAAAACGCCGAGGGCGAGCGGCCCAGCTTCCTGGTAATGTCAACCCATATATACCATTTACTAAGAGCATATTGTGATTCTCAAATCTCTATTACGTTCAACAGGTGGGTGATGAGATCGACGAGAAGGCTGCCGAGGCGGGCGAGGCCTGCGACGAGTTCCCCCAGAAGATGCAGAGCGACATTCGGCAGAATGGCGATATTTCGGAGCGTCGCAAGCGATTGAGGTGAGCATACAAAAGATCTCAAGGAACTAATTCCACTCAATAGGTTGGTACTGATGAGGTTTCTTTACTCTAAACTAAAGCATACATTATGTATAAGCTTGCTGAATGTCTTACATAAAAGACCTTTGTGTAATTTAAAGCATTCTTTATAAAAAGTCAAATCTAAAGTGGCATAAAAGCATTTGTAAATATTTCTATAATTGTTTACATTTTGATAAATTATAGCCAAAATTAATATTCAATGTTTCCTAAATAATAATTTACACAATCGGTGTTAGACCGAGCAGAGCAATTTGCTGGCACGCGAGGCAATGACTTAGGTAACACTTCTTTAAAGATAATAATGCAGAAGAATTAAGTGTTTAAATTATAGTTTAACTCATTCAATTTGAATAGCTTTAACATCTAATAGTATCAGCTCTAACTGATCACTTTTTCTGCCTGTGTAGCGCTGGCAAAACAATGAACAGGTGACTACGTCACAGACAAACAACGCCCGTTGCCGCCAAACAAATCGCGTGAGTTTAGGGAACAGAGACAGCGCAAAGCTCTTGGCCATGTGTGCGAGTGAGAGCCAGTCCCAGCTTTCCGAGAACTTTTTTCGCGCTCTGCGCAAACATACAGAGAAGCCACCGGAGAGACGTGGAGAGAGTGTCGGTGTGGACGCCGCACTTTGTTTTCATTCATAATGTGTCAAAACTTGTTTCGCCAGCGACTCTCTCTTACACTCTCTGTCTGTCTCTCCGTTTCTCCGTACCATGCGGCGTATGAGCGATGGTGGCCAACACCAAGCGTGTTTTTGGCCCGCTCCGAGGTTCAGTTCCCAGGCAATCGTCGGCTCCGTCGGTCCGCATTCCGTGATATCCCCCAGAAGTACGAAGCCAGAAGCCCCCAGACCCGCTGCCCAAATAAGTTTCTCGCGTGTGCGGACATCGTTCGACATTGATTTTTGTATTTTTTCGGCCAGCGAACGCCGAGCGCGGTGAAAGTGGTGCAGTGTGGCATTAAAATATTGTGAGTGCGGCGGCCCCGCTTATTAGTCACACTTGCATAATTGCCAGGAGACGATCCCCCACGCTACAGATACGGAGATAGTCACAGATACGATCCGTTACGATCCGATATCATTCCCCGCCTTGACTTTGCCCCTTGGATGCTATTGGCCCTCGTGGAGCTAATTAGAATGTTGAAGCGTCGCGCCAGCAAGCGTTTCGTACTTGTTGAGTCCGGTGAGGATAATGCCACGGCATCCGGAACGGGATCGGGAGCGGGAACGGGATCTACATCGGATCCGGTAATACCCCACTTTGTGGCCGTCGACTGTGGCCAGGATGAGGCCAATAACAACGGCGAGATGACTGCCAGCATCAGCAATCACAGTGCCAACATCAACAGCAGCCAGGCGTCGTTGTCGTCATCGCTGCTCACCGTGCCCGGACCCCCGGTGGGAACCCTAAAGTAAATCGCCCCTAACCCCTTGTATTTATTAGATACGAACGGTTATAATATGTTCTTATTGCAATACGAGATTCGTTGACATGTTGTAAACAATGGAGAATTATTTGCAAGAACTCTTAATCGGAGGGAGAGAGATCCGAAACCGGTTCTGTCAAATCTTCAAGCTCATTGCCCGCCCCTCGCTTTCCTCTCCACCTGTCGCATCACGCCATTATTTACACTGATCAGCACAACCTGGGACTTCTCTGAGTTAATTTTATGGTTTCTAAACTATTAAACCTTTTTAAATTATCGTTTTTTTAAGTGCCAGTAGTAAAGCATTATTAATTTTCTGAAATAACTGAATATTTATTTTACTCTAAAAATGCACTAAAGTCTTAGTATTAATTAATGAATTCCATTTGTTATTTTCCAGGCCTAGCATGTCGCGAGGCACTGGCCTGGGCCAGGATCGCAATCAGGACCGCGACTTTCACATCGCCACCACCGAGGAGTTTGTGAAGCGCTTCGGGGGCACCCGGGTGATTAACCGCGTCCTGATTGCCAACAATGGCATTGCGGCGGTCAAGTGCATGCGCTCCATCCGACGCTGGTCCTACGAGATGTTCAAGAACGAGCGAGCCGTGCGCTTTGTGGTGATGGTCACGCCCGAGGATCTGAAGGCGAATGCCGAGTACATCAAGATGGCCGATCATTATGTACCCGTGCCCGGCGGTTCTAACAACAACAACTATGCCAACGTTGAGCTCATTGTGGATATTGCACTCCGCACTCAAGTGCAGGTGAGTCCGGAATCTGGAATCTGGGGGCCAGGCTGCCATAGTGGTTGGTCGGTGTCTATTTAGTTTGGCAGGTTCCACCTCTATCCACCCCGGTCGCTCATCATACGATTTGTATTTGCACACTGTCAAAGCCAAGCGATCGCAACGAGGCATACCAATGGAGAACCCCTATTTGTGCTCGTCTGTGGTTGTGTCGGCAACACTGGGCAACAAAGAGTGCGAAATAGTCTAGGGCCTGGTTATTTATGACACTATGACACTCTGTACAAAGATTGGCCTGAGTCTGCCCTGCCTAATTTTCCAAATTGCATATCGTATGTATGTAATATATAGGTGTATATATCTGCTATCGCTCACTTTATCTGTATGTACTAACAGCAACACTCGTAAGCAATTTTAATGTTTTTTTTTCATGGTCCTTACTTTTACACTTTTTAATGATTTTACGTGTCGATTGGCACATACAAAAGTTAAGATTAAACTTAAAATGTTACACCTGAAAGCAACAAGGTTTCTTTATAATATTTGTTCTTTGTAGCCAATTGTTTACTAGTAAATGACACTCAGCCTTTCTAAATAATGTATATGGACAAATATCTCTATGAAAATCAATTTCGTTTTACAAAGTCTCTTTAACGTTTTTTAATAAATAATGTACTATAAATACTTTAAAGCACTTGAGACCTCTTATATTTTTAAGAAATCAAATTGTATTTCTATAGACTTTGTAAGGGCCTTTTCCAAGTAGCAATCTTAAGAGAGGTAACAATTATAAATCAAGATATATATGAATAGTCATTCAAGTATTGTTTTCAAAACAAAACCCTATATACATACCTGTAATCTATACTCTTTAATCAAGTTATTCTTTCTCCTTGCTAATTTCCCCCCCATAACAACCTGAGCCTGAAGTACATATATATACGTATCCCCGATTTAAATGCATTTAAAACACTCACATCGTAGTGGAAATTCACTCTTTGGTGTTTACTTTCCATTATAAGTACATAGGTACAGAAGGGTGCTTGAGGTTAATTAGCAAACGGCAAGACAGGCACCTTGTTGCCCAGTGTGAATTATCTATTTTGTTTTGCTATCCGCGGCAATGACGTCACAATTGATTTTTACCCAGGCCATAAAGCTCCATAATTGTTACCGCTCCACTCCGCTCCCAGTCCCACTTCCACTGCCACTCCAGTGTCCTTGGGGCTTGACTTATTGAATCAACATAAACTGATTGTGAACCTATTTTCTGATTTCTGCCGATTGCAGGCCGTCTGGGCTGGTTGGGGTCATGCTTCCGAGAACCCCAAGCTGCCGGAACTGCTGAACAAGGAGGGTTTGGTGTTTCTTGGCCCTCCGGAGCGTGCCATGTGGGCGCTCGGCGACAAGGTGGCCTCCTCGATTGTGGCCCAAACGGCCGATATTCCCACGCTGCCCTGGTCCGGCTCGGAGCTGAAGGCCCAGTACAGCGGCAAGAAGATCAAAATATCTAGTGAGCTGTTCGCTCGAGGATGTGTGACCAATGTGGAGCAGGGCCTGGCCGCTGTCAACAAAATTGGTAAGTAGATTCGCCAGTCAGAAGATTAACATATCTATAATGTATGAGGTGATATTAATGAATCATCTTTTCTTACAGGCTTTCCCGTGATGATCAAGGCCTCCGAGGGCGGTGGCGGTAAGGGTATTCGTCGTGTGGACACCGCCGAGGAGTTCCCCGCCCTGTTCCGACAAGTCCAGGCGGAGGTGCCCGGCTCACCCATCTTCGTTATGAAGCTGGCCAGGGGAGCCAGGCATTTGGAGGTGCAGCTGTTGGCGGATCAGTATGGCAATGCCATTAGCTTGTTCGGTCGTGACTGCTCAATCCAGCGTCGTCATCAAAAGATTATCGAGGAAGCTCCAGCCATCGTGGCACAGCCGGAGGTGTTCGAGGACATGGAGAAGGCGGCGGTGCGTCTGGCCAAGATGGTGGGCTACGTGAGCGCCGGCACTGTGGAGTATCTGTACGATCCCGAGGGTCGCTACTTCTTCCTTGAGCTGAATCCTCGTCTGCAGGTGGAGCATCCTTGCACAGAGATGGTTGCTGATGTGAATCTGCCCGCCTGCCAGCTGCAAATTGGCATGGGTATCCCCCTTTACCGGCTCAAGGACATCCGACTCCTGTACGGAGAGTCTCCATGGGGCTCTTCCGTCATCGACTTTGAGAATCCGCCGAACAAGCCACGTCCCTCCGGCCATGTGATCGCTGCCCGCATCACTTCCGAGAATCCCGACGAGGGCTTCAAGCCCAGTTCAGGTACCGTGCAGGAGCTAAACTTCCGGTCCAGCAAGAACGTCTGGGGCTACTTCAGTGTGGCAGCCAGCGGAGGATTGCACGAGTTCGCGGACTCGCAGTTCGGGCATTGCTTCTCCTGGGGCGAGAACCGACAGCAGGCACGCGAGAACCTGGTGATAGCCCTAAAGGAGCTGTCCATTCGTGGAGACTTCCGTACCACGGTTGAGTACCTGATTACCCTGCTGGAGACGAATCGGTTTTTGGATAACAGCATCGACACCGCCTGGCTGGACGCTTTGATTGCCGAACGCGTTCAGTCCGAGAAGCCGGACATCTTGCTGGGCGTCATGTGCGGATCCCTGCACATTGCCGATCGCCACATAACCGAAAGCTTCTCCAGCTTCCAGACCTCACTGGAGAAGGGTCAGATCCAGGCGGCCAACACGCTTACGAACGTGGTGGACGTGGAGCTGATTAACGATGGCATTCGCTACAAGGTCCAGGCGGCCAAGAGCGGCGCCAACTCGTACTTCCTGCTGATGAATAGCTCGTTCAAGGAGATCGAGGTGCACCGCCTCTCAGATGGCGGCCTGCTTATCTCCTTCGAAGGTGCCTCCTACACCACGTATATGAAGGAGGAGGTGGACCGCTACCGCATCGTCATCGGCAACCAGACGTGCGTGTTCGAGAAAGAGAACGATCCATCGCTGCTACGCAGTCCCTCTGCCGGCAAGCTTATCAATCTGATTGTGGAGGATGGCGCCCATGTGGGCAAGGGCCAAGCCTACGCTGAGATCGAGGTAATGAAGATGGTGATGACTCTGACCTCGCAGGAGGCCGGCACGGTGACGTTTGTGCGTCGTCCAGGCGCTGTTTTGGATGCCGGATCCCTGCTAGGCCACTTGGAGCTTGATGATCCCTCTCTGGTAACCAAGGCGCAGCCCTGCAAGGGTCAATTCCCGCAGCCGGAAAATGCTCCAGTACCGGAAAAGCTAAACCGCGTGCACAACACCTACAAAAGCATCCTGGAGAACACCCTGGCTGGCTATTGCCTTCCGGAACCGTTCAATGCCCAGCGTCTGAGGGACATTATCGAGCGGTTTATGCAGAGCCTGCGGGATCCTTCGCTACCGCTGCTGGAGCTGCAGGAAGTTATCGCCTCCATTTCGGGACGCATTCCCATCTCCGTGGAGAAGAAGATCCGGAAGCTGATGACCCTGTACGAGCGAAACATAACCAGTGTGCTGGCCCAGTTCCCCTCGCAACAGATTGCCAGCGTGATCGACAGCCATGCCGCCACGCTGCAGAAGCGTTCAGACCGGGATGTTTTCTTCCTGACCACCCAGAGCATTGTGCAGTTGGTGCAGCGTTACCGCAACGGAATCCGCGGTCGGATGAAGGCCGCCGTGCACGAGCTGCTGCGTCAGTACTACGACGTGGAGTCGCAGTTCCAACACGGACACTACGACAAGTGCGTGGGGTTGGTGCGGGAGCACAACAAGGATGACATGCAGACGGTGGTCAACACGATATTCTCGCACTCGCAGGTAGCCAAGAAAAACTTGCTGGTAACGCTGCTCATCGACCACCTGTGGGCCAACGAACCCGGTTTGACGGACGAGCTGGCCAACACGCTGAGCGAGCTGACCTCCCTGAACCGAGCCGAGCACTCCAGAGTGGCACTGCGATCCCGCCAGGTACTGATCGCTGCTCACCAACCGGCATACGAGCTGCGGCACAACCAGATGGAGTCAATCTTCTTGTCGGCGGTGGACATGTACGGCCACGACTTCCATCCGGAGAACCTGCAGCGCCTGATTCTGTCGGAGACCTCGATCTTCGACATCCTGCACGACTTCTTCTACCACTCCAACCGGGCTGTGTGCAATGCTGCCCTAGAGGTCTATGTGAGGAGAGCCTACACCTCGTATGAGCTGACCTGCCTCCAGCACTTGGAGCTGTCCGGTGGCCTGCCGCTGGTGCACTTCCAGTTCTTGCTGCCCACCGCTCATCCCAACAGGTTGTTCTCGCGGATGTCGTCGCCGGATGGCTTGGATCATGCGGCCGCCGAGACTCTGGGTAGCTCGTTTGTGCGCACCGGCGCGATAGCAGCATTTGACTCATTCGAGCACTTTGAGATGTACTCAGACGAAATCCTGGATCTGCTCGAGGACTTTGTGTCGCCGGCCATGGTTAATGCCAAGGTGCTGGAGGCCGTAGAGGCGGCTGACTCAATCTCGGACAGCCGGCACAGCACATCGATCAATGTATCGCTTTCGGATCCCGTTACACGAGCCAATGCGGCCGAGGAGGCCAAGTCTACGGAACCCATTCACATTGTGAGCGTGGCCGTGAGGGAAACGGGCGAGATGGACGATCTGCAGATGGCGCAGATCTTCGGCAACTACTGTCAGGAGCACAACGAGGAGCTCTTCCAGCGCCGCATTCGTAGGATAACGTTCGCAGCCCTGAAGAAGCGGCAATTCCCCAAGTTCTTCACATATCGTGCTCGGGACAAATTCACGGAGGACCGTATTTACCGGCATTTGGAGCCTGCATCAGCCTTCCATCTGGAATTGAACCGCATGAAGACGTACGATCTGGAGGCCCTTCCCACGGCCAACCAAAAGATGCACCTTTACCTCGGCAAGGCCAAGGTGTCGAAGGGCCAAGAGGTCACGGACTATCGCTTCTTCATCCGCTCGATCATACGCCACTCGGACCTGATCACTAAGGAAGCCTCGTTCGAATATCTGCAGAACGAGGGTGAGCGTGTGCTGCTGGAGGCCATGGACGAGCTGGAGGTAGCCTTCTCGCATCCGCATGCGAAGCGCACCGACTGCAACCATATTTTCCTGAACTTTGTACCCACCGTCATCATGGACCCTGCCAAGATCGAGGAGTCCGTGACCAAGATGATCATGCGTTACGGTCCGCGTCTGTGGAAGCTGCGCGTGCTACAGGCTGAGCTGAAGATGGTTATTCGTCAGTCCCCGCAGTCTCCCACACAGGCGGTACGTCTGTGCATAGCCAACGATTCGGGCTACTTCCTGGACATCTCCATGTACACGGAGCAGACGGAACCGGAGACTGGCATTGTAAGTATCTCTGACACTCCTTCCTTGTAGCCTTTTACTTATTTTCCTCGCTGCAGATCAAGTTCAAGGCGTACGGAGAGAAGCAAGGCTCCCTGCATGGCCACCCCATTTCGACGCCCTACATGACCAAAGACTTCCTGCAGCAGAAGCGTTTCCAGGCGCAGTCAAACGGCACCACTTATGTGTACGATGTACCCGACATGTTCCGTCAGATGACCGAGCGCCACTGGAAGGAATTCTCCAAGGCACGTCCCACAGTGGATATTCGCATTCCGGACAAGATCCTGATCGAGTGCAAGGAATTGGTTCTCGAGGGCGACAGTTTGGTGGAGATGCAGCGCCTCCCGGGAGAAAACAATGTAAGTTTACCCTTCAGTCAGTCCTGTAAGAGTCATTTTCATTCTATAACTATTATTAATTTCGTTGCAGTGCGGCATGGTGGCTTGGCGCATTGTCCTAGCCACGCCCGAGTATCCGAATGGGCGTGAGATCATTGTGATAGCCAATGACCTAACCTACCTGATTGGTTCCTTTGGCATCAAGGAGGACGTACTTTTCGCTAAGGCCTCGCAGCTGGCTCGCGAACGTAAAGTTCCTAGGGTAGGTAGTTTTTTTGGTTTCACCACAATCAAGACTTACTAATGCCCCATTATCCTCCAGATTTACATCTCCGTAAACAGTGGAGCTCGCATTGGTCTCGCGGAGGAGGTGAAGGCTATGTTTAAGATTGCATGGGAGGATCCCGAGGAGCCAGATAAGGGTTTCAAGTACCTCTACCTGACCACCGAGGATTACGCTCAGGTCGCCAACCTGAACTCTGTGCGTGCCATTCTGATCGAGGACGAGGGAGAGCAGCGCTACAAGATCACCGATATCATTGGCAAGGATGACGGTCTCGGCGTAGAGAACTTGCGGTATGCTGGTCTGATTGCCGGCGAGACGTCGCAGGCTTACGAGGAGATCGTAACCATCGCTATGGTGACTTGCCGCACCATCGGTATTGGATCGTATGTGGTGCGTCTGGGTCAGCGTGTCATCCAGATCGACAACTCACACATTATACTCACGGGTTATGCCGCGCTTAACAAGGTAAGTTACTTTAAAACCATAAAACAGATTATTTCAGTGTATAACGAGTGTCTTATGTTACCTGTTCAGCTACTTGGACGAAAAGTGTACGCTTCGAACAACCAATTGGGCGGCACCCAGATCATGTTCAACAACGGTGTCACCCACAAGACGGAGGCCATCGATCTGGACGGTGTATACACCATCCTTGACTGGCTCTCATATATCCCCGCCTATATTGGCTGCGACCTGCCCATCATTCTGCCCAACGATCGTATCGATCGACCCGTGGACTTCATGCCCACCAAGTCGCCATATGATCCACGGTGGATGCTTGGTGGCCGCGTCAATCCCTCGAATGCCAACGATTGGGAGAATGGATTTTTTGATCGGGATTCGTGGAGCGAAATCATGGCACCGTGGGCCAAGACAGTGGTCACCGGACGCGCCCGTCTCGGCGGAGTGCCCGTTGGCGTAATCGCTGTAGAGACGCGCACGGTGGAGGTCGAGATGCCCGCCGATCCTGCCAATCTTGACTCGGAGGCCAAGACCCTGCAGCAGGCGGGTCAGGTGTGGTATCCGGATTCCTCATACAAAACTGCTCAGGCCATTAAGGACTTTGGCCGGGAGGAGCTGCCGCTGATCGTCTTTGCCAACTGGCGAGGCTTCTCAGGCGGCATGAAGGACATGTACGAGCAGATCGTCAAGTTCGGTGCGTACATCGTCGACGGCCTGCGGGAGTACAAGAAGCCTGTGCTGATCTATCTGCCGCCCAACGCGGAGCTGCGAGGTGGTGCCTGGGCTGTGCTCGATTCGTTGATTAACCCGCGCTACATGGAGACCTATGCCGATCCGGAGGCTCGAGGCGGAGTACTCGAACCGGAGGGCATTGTGGAGATTAAGTACAAAGAAAAGGATCTGGTTAAGACGATACATCGCTTGGATGCCACCACCATTGCGGTGAGTAGTGACATAACTTCTAATACAACAAATAGGTTTCATAATTAAACTTTTCAAATTACAGCTTAAGAAGGAGTTCGATGAGGCAGTGGCTTCTGGCGACAAGGTGAAGTCTGCCCAGGTGGACGAGAAGATTAAGGCGCGCATGGCAATGTTGATGCACGTCTACCACACGGTGGCAGTTCACTTTGCCGACCTGCACGATACTCCCGAACGAATGCTGGAGAAGGAGTGCATCAGCGAAATTGTGCCCTGGCGTGATTCTCGCCGCTGGCTCTACTGGCGCCTACGACGCCTGCTGCTGGAGGACGCATACATCAAGAAAATTCTGCGTGCTCAGGACAATCTGTCCGTTGGCCAGGCCAAGCAGATGCTGCGACGCTGGCTGGTGGAGGAGAAGGGAGCCACAGAGGTAAGACTCACTGAAGAATATTTATAATTGAAAAAATGTAACTTACAATTGGTTTTCAGGCGTATGTATGGGACAAGAACGAGGAAATGGTGGCTTGGTATGAGGAGCAGAGCAATGCCGAGTCCATTGTTTCCCGCAACGTGAATTCTGTGAGGCGAGATGCCATTATTTCCACCATTTCGAAAATGCTCGAGGTAAGTGCTGTCGAATCTGTTGAAAATCTACAGTTGCTTATCCATTTCAATCTCTGTAGGACTGCCCCGACGTAGCGCTGGACGCTGTGGTGGGTCTCTGCCAAGGCCTGACGCCCGTGAACCGGGGCGTGGTTGTACGCACACTGGCGCAGATGCAGCTGAACGAGGAGACCTCCTCCTCCAGTAATAACCAAGGATGATTCTACGCTAGGTTTTAAGTTCATTTTTCCCCGTTAAGTTAATCCCATTTCCCCCTTTTCTCAAACCCCCTTGCATGATGTGCATTTTGTTTAGTTGAATTTGTTTAGCCTAAATCTAGTTATATATGATGATTGGAGTTAGGATTGTAGGAATGGGTGTAGATTTTTGGCCCCGGATAAACTGTGTAGTCTTATCGTGTACATATATTCGAGTATGTATCCCTTGAATGCTAAAGTCATTCCATTAGTTATCTAAGAACAAACGTCCTTTGTACACACAGAGCTTTTTGAATTATACGAGTTACTGAATATATACAATAATTTTTTCCAAAAAACCATTGTCGGCCAGGTTTTGTTCTCTTGTTGTGTATTCTTTTGGTTCCACAGGATCGATAATGTACATAATTTCATTTATTTTTATATAAATTAAAAATGAAATCTAACACAGACACAGGGCGGCGGCTAATATCCGATTTGCTGCGCTTCTATTTGCTGTTTGTTTTTCTCATGACGATGAAGGTGATGACAGTGATGGGAGCAGAAATGGAGGGGTAGCCAAGGCTGAGCCGGGTTCAGTTCAGGTTATCCAGCCAATCGGGCTCGGCGACACTTATCTTCTCGATTATGGAATTCACTTGATAGCACAGTGACTGTATCTGTCTGTCCCACTGCGGCAGCAATTCGCGGTTCTCGAAATGTACTATTCCCGAGATCTGGTCAATATGTCCGTTCATGCGGCCCTCAGTGATCATCTGGGAGGCGATCTTCTCCGCCTTCACAGCGGGTATGTCCAGCAGGGCGCCCAGCTCCTCGAAGGTGATGTTGTTGTATAGCTTGCTTGCCGACAGCAGGTTGTGCTCGAAGACGGCCCGGTCCAGGATCGAGGAGCCGTCTGGCGTTGCCGCCTTCTGGTGGTCCTGCAGCAGGGCCTCGAACTCCTGAAGCTCAGAGCGCCGAATGATGCGCTCCAAGTACATCTTCTCCAGGATACCGTAGGCCGGTAGATGCTGGCAGCGCTCGTCTTTGAAGAGAGTGGCCAACATGCGTGAACGCTGCTGGCCGGCAGAGGCTAGAACTGTGCAAATAAGCGCCTTCTTCAGTGCCGTCATGCGCTCGCCCTGGTCCACGATCTTGCGGTAGGAGAGCTCGTTGTAGCGCTGGGCGGCCTCGATGAACTTGCGCCTGTAATCTAGGACACGAGCATAGCAGACTTTGTAAAGAACCTAAACGGGTGGATAATGAGCAGTTTAGATGTTATTTGGCCAGCTCTAAAAATATGTAACCTACTTGCAGCTCCTCGGAATTGGTCTCGGCCTGCAGCAGCGAGGCCCGATTGATGAACAGCTCGGCTTGCACCGAGTCGTTGTCCTCCAAGTAAAGACGGGCAATTTTCAGGTAGGTGCCCAGCTTGCACTCCACGGAATACTGCTTCTGGCCCGTTTCCAGGGGAATGCCAACTAGTACCGTGGCTGCCTCGCGCCACTGCTGGTTGCGCTCGTATATATTGGCCAAGTGGAACCGGATGCCGGCCACCTGCTCTTCGAACGAGATCACACGCGGATGGACCTTCTCCAGAGTGAAGTGAGAGAGCTGCTTGGAGAGGTCGTCGGGCAGCTTGCTAAGCTCAACGCCCACATCGTTGAGGATCTGGCGCGAGATCACCAAGCTAACGTGCTCGTTCACAATCGCCTCCACAAACAGCCGCAGGCCGTCAATCAGCTCCTGGCCGGTGTTTGCTAGCACCGTCTTCAGGAGCTGACGGTATTTGTCCGCCTGGTCCTTGTGCGTGCCGGGGAAGTTGTTCAGGCCCATCAGCTGGTTGCGCAGGATCGCCGTCGAGATGCCCATGTTGGATTTGCACAGTTTTCCGCCGGGTTCAATGTATTCCAATTTATTTCGCACTAGCTAAGAACAACAACGCAAGCTCATCCCTGTTATCGATAATACGAGGCAGTGCTGCGCATGTGTCGGTTTCAAGCTGAATCTGAAATAATAAGAAAGGAACCAATCATCGGACGCCGAATTTTGTATACCCTTGAAGATTATAATGCGATAATTAATAATGAATACAATATAATATGTAAGTATTTGTCTTAATGCCTTCTTCCATTACTTATTATATTTAAAGTTCAAAGTTAAAGTTTTGTGAAAACAAGTCCCTCAGTTTCGAAGCTATCGGAATAAATCTTTGCATTTAGTTATCTATATAGACTTGACTGTTGATGCTGATCAACAAAATATTTTACTACGTTGCAAACATTTAATTAAATTATAATATCCTGCATATCCTTTGTGTTTTAATTTATACCATACATAATCTAATAAAAAAGCAAATCCCTTTAAATAGCTTTCAAAACATTTAAAACTGCAAAATGTATACAAGTAAAAGAAACATAGTTAAAAAAAGAATTTTAATTTTTTGTAATAAGAGTGAGAATTGTATAATTTTAAAATCACTGTAAAAGTGTGAACAATACATAAAAAATAGGAACTGATCGATGTTCGATAGAAAAAAGTTCGATATGAAAGATCAGAAAATAAAGCAACACGAAATCTGCATCCAAATAAACAAATTGTTTTTAATGTTATATTAGCCTAATAAGGGTCATTACACTTATTATTAGCAAAGGCAGTGTTGACTAAACCCAATTTTCTAAGTATCGAAAACGCTGTGCAACACTGGTTTAACGATTATAAGCAAACCGTGAAAAAATATTCTTGGTGCGGGTCCAATTGGTCTGAAAACAAATAAAAACAAAAATACAGAGCAAACAAGACAATCTTTGAGTGTTAATTTATCAGTGCTTGGTCGGGGAACTCAAAATCATTCTGTGCGTCACCGTGCCGCGCGTCCAAAAAGGGAGGGGACAAAGTAAGCCCCACACATATGTACACACATTTATCTAAGAGCCATCCAAGTGATATGTATCCAAAGGAATCCTATGGCCATATTTGCAAGCAGATATGAACGAAAATTGCCAATTGATGACACCCAAACGCTGAGCTGCGAGATAACCGCAGTCGAGGAGGTCGACGGACATACGGTACGTACGGATTCGAGCTGCTGCTGCTGCTGACCCTAGCGAAAAATCAATAATTGTTGATGATGATTTCATGCATTCGGTCGGTGTCTGAATGTATGCATGTATGTATGTATGTATTTATGTTTGTGTTTGCTGCAGGAATACCTGCTGCGCGTGTGGAGGGGCACCAGCAGGGAGAACTCGTGGAACGTTTTGCGCCGCTACAATGACTTCGACCGGCTGGACAAATGTCTCCGCATCTCGGGCATCGAGCTGCCGCTGCCTCGCAAGCGCATCTTTGGTAACATGCGCCCGGATTTCGTAGCTGAACGGAAGCAAGCCCTGCAAGTGTACATAAACGCCGTACTAATGAATCCAATACTGGCCTCATCGCTGCCAGCCAAGCGCTTTGTCGATCCCGAGAGTTACTCGCAGTCGTTTTACGGTGCGTTCACCTTTCCAGGATAGCCCCGTTTGGGATTCTTTTTAATTTCTGACTGTAATCCTCCTCCACAGACCATGCAGTGCAAAACGCCGCGCTCTGCCTGCGATCAGATGCGGCATGGGCCCTGGGTGGAACCATGGGCGCCATAGGCTGGCGCCTCAGGAAGCACTACTTCAAGGTGACGCCCAAGCCACCGGAAAAGAGCAGCAGCCACAAACAGCTGGTCAAGAGCGGCTCCCAGACGCACCAGAGCAAGCATTTCGCCTCCGGTAGCAGCAGCAATGGCAGCGGTCACTCGATCGACGCCGGCACCCTTGATCCTGGGTCAGAGGTAGTGGCCGAATGGTTGGAATACGGGCCAGACAAGTTCGTCGACGAGAAGGAAATCAGTGGGATACTAAAGAGCTTGATGGGTCTGCAGCATCCGCACATCGAGCCCGTCATTTTTGCTGGCCACACGGAAAGCGGTTGCCTTGTCATTAGAAAGTGAGTATTACTTTTTATTTGAAAATCTTGCCATGATTAACTAAATTTATGCTCGTCCCTTAGATTCCACAAGCATGGCACCTTGAAGGATGTGCTGTGCATGGCTACGCCAAAGAATCCCTTCCTTAGCAAGTACGGAAATCCGAAGGGACGCACCGCACTTTCCATGAAACAGGTGGCCACTTATGGCAAGCAGATCCTAGAGGCTCTCATATTTTTGCATTCCAAGGGGTACGCCTATGGTAAGCTGCCAACTCACATTTTTTTAGACCTGCTTAACTGAAAGCTGGACGCTAACATTTGCAGGTCACCTTCATTCCGGAAACATAGTCATAGTGGACGATTGCGTGAAGCTTTTGGACATTGAGAACTACCTTGTGGGCGTCCCTGCATTCTACAGACCATTCTTTGTGCAGCACAGTAAGATCCATGCCATGGAGACGGTGGATGTCTACTGCTTCGGGCACGTTCTGTTCGAAATGACCATGGGCTATCCGCTGCAGGAGTCCGTTGTGCGACAAATTACGGAATGTCCAGAGGCCTTAAGTAAGATCTTAAGCTTCAGTTGTTTTAGTTCTTTATTCTAATCGTTTTACCTTTGTAGAATGCCTGCTGGAGAGCATTTTGTCCAAGGAGGCCTGCAAGGCCGGCCTTCCCACACTGGAGCAGCTGTTGGGCCACAGGTTCTTCACGCAATACGCTTCAACTGAAGGCGCTTGCGCCGCTGCAGCCGCCAATGCGGAGAAGCCATACTTTAAGCTGTCCCTGAACGCCAAGGAGCTGCTGAAGCAGGCGGCCATCAAGAGCGAGAATCGTTTGCGGGACGAGCAGAAGTCTGTGAAGAACCAGAAGCGTATCGTGCGCGTCCAAGAGCTGATGAGCTCCGAGGAGGAGAAACGCAAGTCCAAGCAGAAAGCAGTTAGTTGCCCAAACCCCCCAATCCTCACGTAGCTCTCGTCATCCCTTCCACACAGCAACTTAACGAACACTTTTTGGTTTCTCTTTTTTTCGTTTATTTGAATCGATGCTTACGTCTAGAAACTAGAGCACAAACAGTCGAAGCTAAAGCAGCAAGTATCACTCCAAACAAACAATGGACGCTTGTCGCTTGTGGCTGCGACTGCATCAGCAGCAACAGCAGCTTCCTCCTCCAGCACGGTCCTGGGTGTGGGGTTAAGTGCGGCCGACTCCTTCAACCGCTCCGACAGCACTCCCGAGGAGCCCACACTGGCCGGCCTCAAATGTAGTTATCTATCAGCAGTTCACAGCTTCAAATCAGTAGTTTGTTAGCTTGCTAGCCCCCGGAACTCACCAAGACTCACTTCCGTTCGCCTTTCTACCTTTCAGCCCCACCGCTTACTCCGGCTCCGCTGGCGGGTGGCGCACCCGTTGAGCGGCAATCTTCCACGCCAAACATGCTGGCCGAGGACGCGGAGGCCGGTGATGGAGATGGCGAGGGCGACGAGCTGACCCGTTCGGCATTGCTGGAGTCCATCTGCAAGTTTAACCGCGGATCGCTGCGCAAGGTGCGCTCCAACGACTAAGAGATTTATAAACGTTAAAAACTTTTCGGACCAAATGTGGCGTTATGAAATAACACGGTGCCATCAGTAAAAACAAAAAACCAACTCGAAACTAATCGAATTCCAAAAGCTACATTTTTAGAGGCATATTTGAGACTCAAAAAACGCAGAGAAAGAGAAACGGAAGCAGAGCATAAAGCGCATATACCCAAAAAAAAAAGATAAAAACAATCCAGCAATTACTATATATGTACTAACGAAACCCACTGATTATAATTATTGCATCTTATACGTGTCCACTATATACATAAATAGCATACGGAATGTGTCTATATATATGTATATGTATGAGCTACAGGCCACACACATTTGTCAAGGACCTTATAATAACATGATGCATAACGCCTATTCATTTGAATTGCCATAGAGTGGCTTAAAAAAAATTCGAGATAAAACAGCGTAGTATATAGCGTTACATATCTTGTTAATATAAGGACTTTGCATTTGCGAACAGACGCCGGGTCGCAACTAAAGCTTTACCTATGTGTCCACTACACGACTGAAACTAACTTTGGTACGAATATCTAACAAAAACGAGGGAAACTTAAACTAAAGCTAAAACTGAGAAACAAAAACGAAACGACAGACAGAGAAATTAGTACTTTCCAATATTTACATACATAAGTCTGCACCAAAATTTGCACGAGAGCGGGACGGAGATGCTATTCTTTTATAAGTAAATATCGTACATGGATGTTAGATGTCTAAGCAATTGTTCCTCGGTGTTGTGCTATCCTCCACCTGTGCGCGCATTTTTTTATCGCCAATATTAGTAGCTGTAACACTGAGTATTTGAGTTTTTACATATATTGTATTTGTATTTGTATTTCGAAGAGCCACGAATGTTTTTAAAACACTCAAATACATACTCGGGAGTCCTGGACTCAACACAACTAGTTCAAGCAACAAAGTAACAGAGACAAAGAAGACAAGGAAGAAATGTGGCCAAGAGAGTTCGCACTGTTATATTGTTTTCCTTTTTATATAGACAATTTATTAGGTGTCCGAATGTGAATTATGCGTATGTATCGAGATATATTTATATTTGAATATGTGTATATATATGTAATTGATGTTGAGCACCCAGAAATAACGTAAATACTTGGTACATGTGTGTTTTATCGTCTATCATCTGACTGTGCATAAGTTTGGATATACATACTTTAAACCGGAGACGGATCTGAAATTCGAAAGAAACATATTCCCGATACAACCACACAAATATTGCAAACCAAATAAAGTGTAAACTAATTGCCGTTGTAAAGATTGCCTTTGATTCAATGTCGATCTCAGCGGGCTCTTCCTTTCAGTTTAATAGCTAAGTTTTCTGGGCCAGCCACGTTCTGAAAATAATTTCTGTTCAAACAACACTGTGATCATGACTGACTCGCCGGAGGAGCGAAGGAGCAAGGAGGTGGCGCCCGCTGCGGCTCCGGTTAAGGAGGCGGAACCGGGCAAGGGTAAGAAGGAGAAGAAGGACAAGTCGTCGGCCGAGGGAAAGGATAAGGCGGCCAAGGGCGAGGTAAGTTCGGCTGCCAAGTGGCACATAATTTGGACAACTATTGATTCAACAATGCCCACGGATTGCCACGGCGACAGGTTCGTCCGTCAGGCAATCTGGCAGGCAATGGCTTAATGGCATAATCATTTGTGGTTTTATGGCTAACCGCGACGCACTCGACCCGACTCCATTTCAATAAATTCGAACATCGAGCCTCGAACGAAATGGCAGCCGCCGCGGCGAAGAACTGGTCGGGCCTGGTGACTCTGTGCCTGGGCCAGGAGCGTGAGAAGGTACCAGATTGATTTTGTCATTAATGCTTACTCCCCAAATGCCTCCAATTGATGTCTTTTTAATGAATTGATGCATGTAACGAAATGTGAACATGGCAATGCATGTTCTTGGCTGGGAATTTAGCCAAGTCACGAATATCCATGCCCATACTAAAAACCATCTTTGGTTTCCCTTCCATTTCGCCACCATGCAGAAGCAGCAGAGCAACAGCCAGCGCGGATCTCTGAGCAAGTCACATCTGGGCGTGCCAGCTCCCATGGGCATGGGTGCCGCCCCGGCCAAGGTGAGTAGTTCGATGTATGCACCTTCTACTCGTGCTTCATTAGACTCATACGTGTGTTGTGTATAGCCCACAATGCGATTCATGCCCACGTACCGCCTGGAATCCAAGAATCCGTTAAACAAGGAACGCGTGGAGAACATTATCAAGGCTGTAATGAACAAGCACTACAACGACGAGTACATGTTCCACCCCAAGCACTCGCTGCACATGGCGGCGCAGGTCAGTGAGGAGATCAAGAACCGTATTAAACTCAACAACTACGACAGGTGAGGCTGAGTTATCGAAGAGTTAGTCCCTCATTTCACTGTCTGTCCCCACAACCCAGATATCGCTACATAGTGCTGGTCACCGTGGGCGAATTCCTGATGCAGGGCCTCTATTCCATGGTCAACTTCTTGTGGGATGCCGAGAAGGACGGATTCGTTACCTACAGGGTGGAGAGGCCGTCCTACTTTGCAGTCTGCACGACGTTTTACCTGTACTACGATTAAGAGCGGGCATCGAGGAGGATCTCTTGGTGCCTTCAAGTTGTTATTAAAATTTAAGTTAATGTTAACATGGGTGCAGAGTGATGGGGATGGTGGGATGGGATTACCTGGCTGCTTATTCGCCTCCGGGTGGATGGTTTCACATTGTTCCTGGATTGCACTTGGTACTTGGCACTATAAATCACATTTTTTGGAGCACCAGATCTTTGAACACACATTCATTTAAATTTTTATTACATTTATTTTGAATTAGAGCTGTATAATTGTTTTTATAATATTGGTTGAGGCATAAATTATACTGTGACATCGAACTGCTATCTACTTGGGTACATTAACTGCCTTTGATCGTTATTACTATATCTCTGAGTGTACAGATTTATGATTGGTTATATTGAATATATAAATAATATATTACTTGAAAACACACGCAGACACAGCACATGCACTTGCCAACAACTTGAATTCATCATCATCATAATTTTCGGTCCGTGGAATGACACTTGAACTCACAGAAACATAAATGTTGCATAAATTATAAACAAAACACCATTATTATTCTGTTGAGAGCAGCCACAAGAAAACCAATGTAACAATTGCCAAACCCAATCAAACAGCAGAGACATTTTGGAGCAAATGCTACACGACGTTCTCTCTTCGGATGGAAGACGGATACGGATTGATTGATCGGGGATCGGAACACCATTTGGATTTCGCGCACCCACATGCCAAACAAGAACACTAACTGGATGATAGCCCCCAGAATAAGTTGAGGGAAGACTGAAGCCTTTTTGCCAAAATTAAAAACAACACTTTGCACCGAATTGTGGGAACTGCACTGCAAAAACTCGGGAAACTTGCGAAACTCGGTCAACACTTGCGTCTGCGTCGTCGTCTCTGGACAATCAGACCACTAACTTGGGCGCACTTTATGTCACAAGCCAAGGATCAGGGGCAGCGGCAAAACAACACAACTCAAAATATTAAATCAATTTAAAGCAACACAAAAACTGTTTAGTTTCGTTTCATCAAAATCATTTCGCACTGGTTACATCGGGATCGGACACTTGGATGGGGTCTTATGAGAGAACTTTTTGTTTTAGCTTTTACTTTCATCATCCTCGGATGTACACTTTGACATGGTTAAAATTTGGATAAAGTATTACATTTGATGCATAATCAAAAACTTGTTCTTGTAGGAAACTTTTTAGCACATTTATAAAATAAAGTATGTTTATAAAAATATATATAAACTTCACTGTCACTAAACACATCGAGAACTTGCAATAAAAACCATAAAGAGAGATCCTGTCTGCAAAAAGAACGGTAATCAATGATTAATTAATAAGGGGTCAGGGATCATGAGGTGTGTGGATGATGTCTCCTCGGCTCTGCTTGTGTCTCTTTGTGCATCATATGTGTATGTTGTGAGTGTGTGGTGTGTGTGCGTGTGCAAGCGGTTGTGCGGAGGACGGACACATACACGGCCCTAGCGCGTACGAGTCCTCCACTGCATCCGCCTCGCCTTGAGAGGAGCATCTAAGATACGACTAAGTTTTCTAGGCTATATATTTAGGTGTGGCGGAGGCTTCCCATAAGCACTGCGGCTAGTCGTTACCTCCAGTTTGTCCAGCACTTGCCTTTCGTCATCGACCACCTTAGGCCGTTCCGCCGCGCACTACCACAATAACCAGGTGGTCCTCCTTAAGCCCCTCTTCCGTCAGGCTGTGGCATGTGCGCTTCAGCAGCTCAGTGGAGAAGTCACAGGGCGGAAAGGCGTACAGGACGCCGGTGGCCTCCGTCTCTTTATTTAGCAGCGAGATGACGCCAGCCGCCTCCTTCTGCTTGAGGTAAGAGACCAAATTCCTCAGCGGTCGTGTCTGAACGCTGGCGTCGTCGCAATTGGTGTCCACCGTGGACCCGGCCAGGCCCATGAAGATGGCATGCGAAGATGAAGATGCAATTCGCTTCTGCACATCATCCAACTTTGGAGGATCCAGACGCAGGCGCTGAGTGATGCGCAAATTGTGCTTGCCCTCCTCGTCCCGCATCAGAGACTCCACAATATCTGTGTCGCCGTCAGTTAAATGGAATTTGGCCGGGAAAAGGGAGCTCTTGAGGATCAGAGCACCGGTCCACACTGTGCTACATTTGCGCGCCACTTCCGGCACTGTGCTGGCCGATCCAAGGGCATCATTGCGACGAGTCGAAGTGTCAGAGTCCGAGCCGGGCGAGCGAGCTCGCTTCAGGGGTGATCTGGATCGTGACCGTTCTACACCAGGCTCTCGGGAGGTAGAGCGGGCTCCCCTGTCATAGGATTCACCGGGAGGACGCCGCCACTCGTCATCCGCTCCTCCTGGTGGGGGCACCGACGAAGACGACCCACTCAAGGAACCGGGATGTGGCGGTCTGTGCACATCGTTGTGATAATGGTACATGCCTCGTCCCCTTCCACGATAGCCACCACGACCGCGGTAGCCACCTCTTGGTGGATATGGAGAGTATCCACCTCGCGGCGCATACGAAGTAGATTCCTCATAATATGGGTCGTATTCCGGGCGGCGATACTCCAGAGCACTTTCGTCATACGGCGGCTTGGAGCTCTTGAACTGTGAAACCGGTGTTGTTCCCGGCAGCTCTGCAAAATCTGTGCGTAGACGTCGCTCTGGTCCACCTAGCGGGAATCCTCGCATCTCTTTCACCGCCGAGGTGGCCGCTTCCACGGTTTCATACTGAATATAGGCGTACGGCTCTCCCTTCTGGTACTCAATCTTCTTGATGGCACCAAAGCGGTCGAATTCTCGCTCCAGCTGGGTGACAGAGGTCCAGGCTCCTAAGCCACCGATCCACATGCGAGTGGCTGGAGTCACCTTGCCGTAGCCAATCTTGCACTGGAACTTGCCGATGTACTGGCCGGACAACTCGATCTTAGCCCGGTGAGCCATGTCTAGATTCTGGTACCGTACGAATGCAAACGCATTGCCTGTTCCAGGTGGCGGTCGCTTGATATCGATATCATCCACAACACCGTACTTGCCGAAAATGCGGCGCAACTCGTCGTCGGCTATAGTCACCTCAAGATTACCAGCGAAGAGGGTGCGTGTTGAGAGTGGGTCATCCTCGGGCTGCACGTGGTGCAGATAGTTCGGGAACTTGTCCTTCTTGCTCTCTGGCTTCTCATATGGCGCATGTGGGCGTGGTGCCAGTGGTCTCATTGGAGCGTACGAATGGGGTGGCGCGTGGCCATGGCCGAGGTGATGGGGATGACCACGATGAAGCGGGGGTCCGCGAGGCGGATGCGGATAGTCGTGGTGCATCGGCCGGTAGTCCCGCGGGTGCACAGCATGTGGATGCATGTGGGGCGGACCGTACCGATCGTACGGATCGATCGGCGGCCGACGGTGGTCTAGCGGAACACCAGGACCCATTGGGGAACGTGAATAATGGTACCGCTCATAGTCGGGGGGAGACATCGAGTGGCCACGGGGTCTGAAACAAAAAAAGGTGAGTTCAACAAAACAAGATAATCATCGACAGAAAACCCACCTGTACTCCGGCCTAGTCGTAGACTTGTATACCGGCTCCACAATAGCCATCTTGTCGTAGATTATAAGACGTGGCTTGTGATGCTTAGCCTCTCGAGCATCCTCGGGTGTACGGAAGCACACATAGGCGACCCTTTCGTCCAGATCGTTGGACAGTCGCACACTGAAGTCACCGAACTTCTTGTACTCGCGGTACAGCGTCTCCTCGATGAACTCGTCCGGGGCCTTCGGCGGCAAAGCGCTGACACATAGAACCTTGTAGCCGGCAGGTCGCTCGGCCGGTGGTGGGCCTCGCATGTAGGGCTCCCGGTGCGGGGAACCGTACCGGCCACGTGGACTGGGCGAACGGTCTAGTCGGCGTCGCATGCGTTCCGGTGACATTCGCTCCGGGGAGTCGCCAGGGACACCACTCCCGTTGTCGTAGCCCCGGCCCATGCTACGCGAGTTGCGCGACATACTGCTTCTGGCAGGACCCGGGGAGCGCGACGCGCTGCGCTTCATGTTGTGGATTTTGACTGTGATGCGATCGGCTCCGGTACCGTCTCGGTGACTACTCATGGGCGGCTCTTCCGGTGCTCTTCTCGGGATGGTGCTGCCTTCAATCCTCTGGCAAACGGGGCTTCTGCAAAAAGGTGAAAAGTTGTGAAAGTGAGAAAAACTACAGTCAAGCGGCAACCGCGGCAGCAAAGTGAAAAGAAAATGGCGGCCGCCGACGACAAAGAAAATAACAAATTCTCCTGTAAATACTTTAGAAGGGCCAATTTATGTTTGCACTCCGTGCTCTCACCTCTTTCTTAACTTGAGGCAGTAGGTTGGGTGCACTTTTGCTACACAATTTGTGTAAATCTCGAATTGTAAAATTTTCTGCGGCGGCTTGCAAATTCTGTATGTGTTGAAAGTTTTCCGATAACTGCACCGATACCTCTTAGTGGTGGACGTGTGTCCATGTTAGCAAGGTTGGCTATTTAATTTAATTTAATTTAATTTTAAAAGTTAAGTTAGACATACTTTGAAGTAGTTTGTAGTTGTAATCAAATCCAATCGCAGTACAAATTGAAATCAATTTTTTTTTTAATGATACATCGTGATTTCGTGAATGTTTGCTATCGAAATCTACTGTCATCGATAGACTGCGGTACATCGTTTAAAAATGAAGCGGCAGGTAAAACAGAGCACAGGTAGAAAATTATACGCATTAAACTGTCATTATCTGGGCAGATGCAGGAAAACCCGAACGGGTGATTAGGGAAATCTGCAGTTGTCTGGAACCTACGTAAGCCAGTTTTCGCCCTATAAAAACTGCCGCCTTTGGCACGCAGACCCTTATTTCGAAGAGAACTAAAAGTGAAATGGTCAACATTACGGCTGAGAATAAGACATCGGCGGTGGCGACCCCTGGGCTCCGGCAACTCCAGCTAGGCGGGCACGTGGGATTCGACACTTTGCCGGACCAACTGGTGAACAAGAGCGTGCAGAACGGCTTCGGCTTCAACATCCTGTGCATCGGGGAGACTGCTTTGGGGAAGTCCACGCTGATGGACACCCTGTTCAACACGAGCTTTGGCGCCACGCCAAGCCTACATAGCCTGCCCAACGTAAAGCTAAAGGCACAAACCTACGAGCTGCAGGAGAGCAGCGTGCGGCTGAAGCTGACCATCTGTGACACTATCGGGTACGGCGACCAGGTGAACAAGGCAGACAGCTACAAGGCGCTCGTGGAGTACGTTGACTGCCAGTTCGAGGCGTACCTGCAGGAGGAGCTGAAGATCCAGCGCTCGATGGCCAGCGCTCACGATAGCCGCGTCCATGCCTGCCTCTACTTCATATGTCCAACGGGGCATGGTCTAAAAGCCATGGATCTGGCGTGCATGAAGCAGCTGGACACACGAGTTAACATCATTCCCGTGATAGCCAAGGCGGACACCATCTCCAAGTCGGAGTTGGCTGGATTTAAGGAGAGGATAATGGACGAACTGCGGCGCAATAAAGTTAGCATTTACCAGTTTCCCACGGACGATGAGACGGTGGCCGATACGAACAAATCGATGAATGGAGAGCTGCCTTTCGCTGTCGTGGGTAGCACGGAGTTTGTGAAGGTAGCTGGCAAGCTGGTCCGTGCCCGGCAGTATCCCTGGGGATCCGTACACATCGAGAACGAGGCGCACTGCGACTTTGTCAAGCTGCGCGAGATGCTCATTCGCACAAACATGGAGGATCTGCGCGAACTGACCCACACGCGCCACTATGAGCTTTTCCGGCAGCGGCGCCTGCAACAGATGGGCTTCGTGGACGTGGATAGCAACAATCAGCCAGTGTCCTTCCAGCAGACCTTCGAGTCGAAACGCACCGGCCATTTGGCCTCCCTGCAGGCCAAAGAGGAGGAGGTGCGCCAGATGTTTGTGCAGCGGGTTAAGCAGAAGGAGAACGAGCTAAAGGATAGCGAAAGGGAGCTGCACACCAAGTTCGAGAAGCTCAAGCGGGAACACCTGGAGGAGAAAAACAAGTTGGAGGATGCGCGGCGCTTGCTGGAAGAGGAGTGTCAGGAGCTCCTGCGGCGCAAGCAGCAACTATCCAATGGTAACGGAAACCACATGCTTACTCTTGGCCGAGGCAAGAAAAAGTAGTTTTCGAATCCGCTGGATTTTTATTTTGCCAATCGACAATAAGAAACCTCGATTTTATTCCACCTTTGATAGATTTGATTGTAGTTTAAATTAGCTTCGAATTGGTTATTAATTAATAACATTGTTCTTAAATAATCTAATTGAATACATACATTTTAATTCTGAAACGAATAGATTAAAGTCAATTCTATTTTCTTATAAATCAAATTTTATAAATTTCAATAAAATTAAATATGTGTATGTTTTATAACCAACTTTTCTCCCATTTTTGTATTCATTTCATATTTGGTATGGTTTATTCCAATAAATAAAACATCTGAGCAATCATTAAAATTTTTTTCGAAGAAATGATACGTACCAATGAATGTAATATAAACTACCCTTGATTACATTTTTCAAGGGCTCCTAATTCTGATAAATAAATAAACAATAATTAAACGGGGGAAGGGCAAGAGTTTATCTCTAAAATCAACTTCATAAATTCTGTGGAAGTGCAAACTATCCCTAATTTTGGACGATTTACCTGACTTAAAGGTTAATAATTATAGAAATGGGATGCATTTCGTGCAATGATTTTATGGAGGCCATAAACCATATGTTCCTCGCTGGAAACCCGAGTCGCGATACCCTGGATTAGCCAGCACAGCTGTGTCCGAGCACCTTCTGGTTTAGCTGTCCGGCCCGCCATCCGCTGCCTGCCCTCCGCCGCCATACTCAATCCTCTATGCGCTGATAACGAGTTGCCTCAGACTTTCTCTCCCGCTCTCGCCACCTCTCACTTGCTCTCTTGGAAGGCAAAACGAAAACAAAACCGAGAGCTGGCCAGCGTTTGGTGTGGAAAATATCTTATAAATATGCTAACCTGGCAGATCGGAGCGTTGTGGTTAGTCATTTCAATTCTGGCAATGGCAGAGAGTGTTACTAAACTGGAAAGCGGGACATGCACGGTGGCAGCGGCTGGCAATTCCGGATGCGGAGGAACTCCTCCTCCGGACCAGGCCCGCTACGACAACTATCGCATCTACAATGTCGAATTCGAGAACGAGGAGCAGATCTCACTGTTCCAGAAACTGGAAGAGCAGAGCGACAGTCTGACCTTCATTGGCCACGCCCGCGAGATTGGCCAGAAGTTGTCTATTTTGGTGGCGGCTCATCGCGTGGCGGATTTCGCAGATCTCCTGAAGACCTACAAGTTAAAGCATCGTGTCTTGGTAAGCGCGTACACATTACTTCCAAAAGAATCTGTTACTGATGGGTTGGAGAAACTCCTTGCAGACCTACAACTTCCAGGAGAAGATTGACCGCAATCTGGGTGAAGTGCAACCGGAGAACATTGATGCTCTGCAACTAGACTGGCAGCACTTCTTCCACTTAAAGACCATCTACGAATGGATGGATAAGATGGCCGCCAAGTATCCCGATCGTCTGACTGTCCTGGACATGGGCACCAGCACGCAGGGAAACGCCATAAAGGGTGTAAAGTTGTCGAGTAACCCGAACAATAAGGCCATCTTCATTGAAAGTGGCATCCACGCTAGAGAGTGGATTGCCCCGGCCGCTGCTACGTACATAATCAATGAGCTGCTCACCTCCCAGGACCCGCAGGTGCAGAGACTGGCCCTGGACTTCAACTGGATAGTTTTCCCCTGCGTTAATCCCGATGGCTACAAGTACACCTTTGAGCACGACCGTATGTGGCGCAAGAACCGTCAGTTGTTCGGCACCTGCCGCGGTGTGGACCTGAACAGAAACTATCCCGACCACTGGAACAGCGCTGGTGCTAGCAGCGACCCTACACGTTATGACTTTGCCGGACCCTCGGCCGGAAGCGAGGTGGAGACGCAGCGCGTAATCGCTTTCATACGCGCCAATGTGGGCAAGGAGCAGATCAAGACCTACATTGCCCTGCACTCCTACTCCCAGATGTTAATGTTCCCGTATGGCTACACCAAGGAGCGCGTGTCCAACTATGATGATCTGCAAGAGTTCGGAAAAAAGGCATCTGCGGCCATCAAGACGGAAAGCGGCAGGGACTATGTAAGTGGCAGTCTGTATGAGACCATCTATCCGTCAAGCGGTGGCAGCATGGATTGGGCGCATTCCGAGGCTGGAATCCCAATCGCCTATACCTTCGAGCTGCGCGGTCCGCCGGACAGTCAGGATCTGTTCATCCTGCCCGCAGTGGAGATCCTACCCACGGCCAGCGAAGCCTTTACCGCGATTCGCACCATTGTGAATGCTGCAGCCGAGAAGGGTTACTACAAGTGAACATGCCTCGTTCCAGATTTCCTCAAATGGGCATTTTTATACGTTCAACGATCTAGACAAACTTTAAGTGCACAACGATATTATCTTTATACAAAATAAACTCACATAAAAACCACTTGAATGGTAACAACCACTTAGCGATAAGAATCAGACGACAGTTCTGCGGGATTTATGGGCAGATTAGGGTAATTCTACCCTATCGGAGTCAGGGTTTTGTGGCCATGGTGATGTGGTTTCTGGGCGAGAGGCGGGGATCGAATATTGCCTCTATCCGCACTTGGCAATCTGTAGGAAAGAATCTCGAATATAACAAAGTACTAGTCAGTAGCAAAGTGAGTTCATATACCATTCTCCATTAGGAATAAGCACCGATCGTTGAGAATAATGCTCTCTACCAGAGGAGCCATCATTAAGCGCAATGTGTAGAAACTTACGATACGCTGCCAGTTGGACAGATCCGTTGCCGTTTGCTCGTTACTGAGAACCCGGCTGTCTAGAGCTTCAAACCTAGTTCCTTGCACGGCTCTTTGGAAGTATCTGGAAGATCACAAAACACTGGTTACAGATTTCTTGAGATTATTTATTTATTACTCACTGATGAAAAGTCATGCCCGTCGAATGCTTGACATTGCGCAGCGCACAGTGCCGGAGATCTGGAAATTGCTGAACGATGATGCGCTCTGCGGCCGCCCGGAGAGAGTGAATCCGTAGGTGCTCGTATTCTCCAGTCCGCAGGCGATCCTGGTACACCTCTGTGGCGTGGCAAGAGATCTCCCTGGATTCGTAGCTCAGTTGTGAGCCGGATTTTTCATTGAGAAACCTGCTTAGTGGGTAACCATACACCCGTTCTCTGGGATGCGTGGCCTGGGTGGTCATCTTCTGATAGCAGCAGCCCACAAAGTTGAGGAACTTGGCTTGCGAACAGCCGAGGAACATGCGCATTAAGGTTGGCCCCAAATTGCCGCACGGATGCAGGCCAATGATACCGAATGTAAAGTCGTCGTTTTCCAGCCCCAATGCATCCCGGATGCTGGCGAGAAACCGCTCTGGTAGTGTGTCGCTATCCAAGCGCTGCGTGAGGTGCACGGGCCGCTGAAAGTGGCTGGTGTCTTCGGTTTTGAGGTGTTTGGCTGCCATAGATTCCAGTTTCATGTCAATTTCTCTCGCTTGCTGATTGAGATCTGGTTGCATCTCGAAGCAGCACACACATATTCCATAGCCATAGCCAAGGAGCCGCGCTAGGTGACCTACGCCAGCTCCAAAGTCCACTATGAAGTCAACAGGTGTTTGTCGGTTACTGAGTGCACAAATCTCTGCCATCCGGCGGATCTCATGTTGTTTTTTCGGCTTTACTCGCTTCGTAAACATGTGCTTCAGCTTAGGATGATCCAGCAATGGACAGGGCAAGGAATTCTATGAAAAGTTATGAAGGTATGAAAACTTTTCTGAAGACACCAGTGGCAGGGTTTTACCAACTTCGGGTTGACTCTTGGGTGTACGGCGGATGCAAAGATGCCGCAGCTCCCTTTGTAGTTCTATCAGTTCTACTGGCCATGCTTCTTCGTGCTCCACAGTCTCGTCTTGAAGCAGCTCGCTCAGGTCTTCAAGGGGTATATTCGCCAAGTGCTGCTGCCAGACTTCGGGAAGTTTACTCCAATGGTCGTCCAGGAAAAAGTCCTAAAAATGAGTCGTTGTTGTGAAACGGTCGAAAAACTCTTAACAAACACACCAAAACATAAGCGTCCAATAACCATTCATATTTCTTAAGCAGCCCTAGACTATGCTCAAGCTTTTGGCTCAGAGCTAACATATTGATATTATTTTGTTTTATTAAAAATATTGCGCTGTTTCTTGCTAATATTTGTATTTTTTTATTCAATCCGCAGAAGCGTTCCTCCTCGGATATTACAAAAAACACCGATTGGCCACACTGATCTCAATCTGTAATATTTTATTTATTGTAACCTGTCATACTCTAATAAATTTTAACTAAATCAACGGTATACTTCTCAAAGTCAAGTAAAAATTAAAGATATATCTTATGTTATGTCCGTCAACTTAGCGTATATGAGTTAGTTTGACATTTGGATATATTAAAAACAGCATGTGAAAAATCGTGTTTTCACGGATTTCTTAATATCTCAGCTAATCAAACGCGTGCAGCAACACCCGATACGCCAAAATAAAGGACATTCATTGCAATTTTATCTTACCAAGTTTTAATTTCTTCAAACACTTAGTTTTTGAGCAAATCGCATAACAGTGATCTAACCTCGGGGTGGGCTCCATACAAAATAGGGCATCCAAAATTGTAAGGCTTATAACTTCGATTTACGAACGGTTGTACATATAGATGGTATATAGACTTACTAGGGAAAGATTAAAGAATATTTAGTGCAAATTTAAATTGTTTTTAACCAGCAGATTTCGAGAAAATCAAATAACAGTGGGTGGTGTATTTGGGCTGGTAGCTAAGGCGCGACCTATGAAAATCGAACCAGATGGGAACCAACAGAAAACCACTCGCTGAAACAGACCATGGAACCATGTTAAGAAAAATACTAAATTAAATAAAAATGACAAATTGTTGAATAAAACATTACGACAAGTGACTACCCAATAAAGGGAAAAGCCTTTTAAAACAGTTTGGTGCGATTTTCAGCTAAATCAGGGAAAATTACCTATTTCGTTATTTTTCGATTATTTCAGTATATACCACGGCGGAATGATAAAGCCCCTCCCTGACAAGCTAAATCGATAACCCGCCAGAAAATATTCCTATTGACTATTTTAATAATTGTATAAAATATGCAAGCCCCATGAATGAAATTAACATTCTAAGCATTTTGGTAGATGTTTCATAAAAATCGGTTCAGCCGTTCAAGAGAAAACATCACTTTTTCATTTATTTCCATAAATGTTCCTAGGAAGAATAAATAAATCTGGCAGCACTGCCTACCTAACATTAAGTCATGTTGATTTAAACTTTATTATAAAACTTATGCAAAATAAAGATCGTACCATTAACAGGATCGCAGTTCTGAACATTTTGATCCATGTTTCAACAAAATCCGTTCAGTCGTTCATAAGAAATCCCGAGTTTTTCATTTATTTCCATTTATGTGTCCCGCAGCCCTGCCTACCAACAAACAAGAAAACTTGGTTTAAACTTTATGGCTAAACCTATGCAAAAGAAAGACTGCCCCAAAGACGGCATCGCTGTTCTGAACATTTTGATCTATGTTTCATCAAAATCCGTTCAGTCGTTAATGAGAAATCCGACATTTTCATTTATTGCAGTTGGGTACCAGGGGTGCATAGTCATGCCTCCTTAGTACATAAATTAGTAATTCAAATGTTAATTTCTAAAAAACTACTGAACGGATTTTAATGAAACACGTACCAAATTGCTTAGAATAACGATATCATTTATTGAGCAGACTATTAAATGCTATTTCGAAAATTTGCTTCTCAAATCTAGTGCTTCAATGCCCTTGCTTTGTCATATGATTTCTGGTCAAAAATTTGCAACGCAGTGAATAAATTATTTCCGACCCTATAAAGTATATATATTCTTGATCAGCATCAACAGCCGAGTTTATCTAGCCATGTCCATCTGTCTGCAGTCACTTTTCTTAATGTTTTCTTAAACAATTTGCTATTTTTATTTAATTTGGTATTTTTCTTAACATGGTTCCATGGTCTGTTTCAGCGAGAGGTTTTCTGCTGGTTCCCATCTGGTTCGATTTTCATAGTTCGCGCCTTAGCTACCAGCCCAAATACACCACCCACTGTTATTTGATTTTCTCGAAATCTGCTGGTTAAAAACAATTTAAATTTGCACTAAATATTCTTTAATCTTTCCCTAGTAAGCCTATATACCGTCCATATGTATACGGGTTCGTAAATCGAAGTTATAAGCCTTACAATTTTGGATGCCCTATTTTGTATGGAGCCCACCCCGAGGTTAGATCACTGTTATGCTATTTGCTCAAAAACTAAGTGTTTGAAGAAATTAAAACTTGGTAAGGTAAAATTACAATGAATGTCCTTTATTTTGGCGTATCGGGTGTTGCTGCACGCGTTTGATTAGCCGAGATATTAAGAAATCCGTGAAAACACGATTTTTCACATGCTGTTTTTAATATATCCAAATGTCAAATACTTTCAAACCCAATTGAAAAAAATAGTAAATTAATTTTTTAGCATTTAGAAATTTTATTTTATTCGAATTAGTGCCTTAATTATGAAATAAATTAAAAATTAAAGATCCCCTCCGTGTTCCATTTTCCCACCGATCCATTTCGACGCTAACTCATCGACGCTTATATGACGGATAATTTTTATGTTTTTGTTTTTTGAAGGCTATTTTTACCGGCTCCTAGCGCAGTGTTGGTATATCGATACTATCGTTTGATATTTGATGAAGAATATTTTTATCGATTGCTTTAAAAATATTAACTATCGCTACCGAACCCCAAAATCGATAGCGCACAGTTAGCATATCGATACTATCGTTTGAGTTCGACCAGCGCTAAGTTTAGCCCCGCGACCAATTTGCATAAAAACATTTGTTTGCTGCCCCAAGCACACACCGTACGATTTATTCCGATTCCAACAGTCTGCAGGTGCTAGCTTTCGACCTGGGAACTAAGACGCCGTCTCCAGTATACACTTTGCTGCTGGTGCATATACAAATCGAATTCTGATAACAACAACAAGAGCTTGGGAAGCCTATTGAGCACACTTCGAGTGTTTTGTTATTTGCCGCAAAAGTCGTTCCTCTGCCAATACGAATGCGAATCGAAAGTAAAAGCGAAAGGCCATAAACGGTAAATTATGTAAAAGTATTGGGCCAACAACAAGTCGTTCATAGGTGCGCGTGTGTGTGAGTGCGCTTATCAGAAAAGTTTAATGGAGGCTGCGCCGGTAATGCGTTCTCAGCCTCCATTTCTCCTTCCACATCTTCAGCAGCAAAAACAACAACAGCAAAGCGCGGCAAACAACAAAGTAACGGTAAATAGTCGCCCTTTGTTGAGCGGCATATAAAAAGCCCAAGTCGACGCGCACATTGGACACAATTTTTTGCATTGCTAGTTCAGTGGGACACCGCACACACTGGTCCACATCGCAGCATATTTAGCTACATACACATATTGCCCTCACCTTGCACCCGTCACCTCATCTCGTCGTCGTTTGGCCCTGCGCCAAAAAATTAACCCCATCACGGCGACCACGCGGCGCTTAAGTCGAGGGCGTTAACGGATGCAATTCCCTTGGATCAGTGAGTGGCGCCTTTCTGTTTTAGTTTGTATTTCTTGGTATGAGTTTGTGAAGATTTCTAGCTTTCCTTTGATTCCTTTTATTTCATAATAATTTGCCCAGAATTTGGTTCTGGTTAATCTTGTTAATATCCAGGACGAGCTCTTTCACATTTATTTGTTGGGATCTGCCTAATATTCAGTATATAAGGCTTAAGTTAAAAGATTGATACTCAGTAAATGAGTCATTTCTGACCCTAAAAATCATATATATTCTTGATCAGCATCGATAGACGAGTCGATCTAGCCATGTCCGGGCAAAATCTAATTTTTTCAAAAATTTCGAAAAATTGAAATTTTTATAAGGGGTTACATCGTTAAAATTGAAAAAAAATGAAAAAAATTTAATCTCTTTAAATGTTAAATAGAGTATGCAGTTTTATTAAACTGATAAAAACTAACATAGAAAAGTTTTCCGAATTGAAATTAATGCTCTTTTGGCTTAGCTATGAGTTTTTTAAACTTTGGTTTGTTCAAGAAAATTATCATATAAAAATATAAACAAATCGACTCATAGAATGGTATTTTACTTTCAGTCTGAAGCTTGTAACACAGTGAAGGAGTCATTTCCGGCCCTATAATCCATATATATTATTGATCAGCGTTAACAGCTGAGTTTGCTGTTAAATATCTTTGTTCAATTAAAATGTTTTCCTTAGAAATATTTATTTAAACATTGAACCGTCTTTAAACTGATTTTCATTAAATAGTATTATTCCTTGGTATGTATTTGGAAAAAAGATAAAAGAAACAGGTGAAGAACTATCATTTCGTTACGAATCCACTGAAAATAAATAAATCAATCTATGATTGTTTACTCAATTGACAGAGCAGTGTGCGCAATGAATCTGTATTTATTTAAAATGCCAAAGACCTTGCCGCAAACATTTCATTCTAAAAAAAAACTTACAATTGTTCACCGCTTGTTTATATTTTTCATTAACAGGTCGCGAAATAATGTTGACAGCCGCAAACTGCAGCCGCTACAATAATGAAGAGGACAAAATAAACAAATAAATGCTCAATGACTGACATTTGCGTTGTAAGCAAAAATCTAACGAGCCAGCGGACTACTATGGTTTAATGCGACATAACAACAGCAGAGTCGATCTATTTGCCACTTGGCTGAAGACGGGAAACCCAGAAAGCCATCAGACTGGAGGCCTCACTCACTCTGAAGCGCATCTTTGCCCGCAAAATTGGCTACAAGGCAAAGTCAAAGTCAATTTTAGCGGCCATGCGCACGAAACACTTGATCCTGCTTATGATCGGAGTGATAATCGCCACTATCGTCTTCATCGCATTCGGACCAGCCGGCGAGCCGAACGATTCATTTAAGAACATCGTCGTCCAGACCCACCAGCAGTTCAAAGAGTTTCAGGTGAGTCACCAAAGGGGCCCTAGGCTTGGGGGGTTCTCGAGTGCCGACCTCCGATATGAATACTCCTCGCCCCAAATTAGGCTGAATGGCTTATTGATAAGGGTATTAAATAACAATTATCTGCACCTATCTGGGACTGGCCAGTTGAAACTGTCACAAATAATTGGGAACTAAAAAAACCGACGCCGTGCACTTCTAAAATTCGACTTGTGGCTCCTGCATATCTTTTGATATGAAATGCACATGGAGACAAGTTTCACGAGTCGTGTGGGAGCTTGGGAAATCAAATGGGAATCTAATTGATTTATGAAGTCGGCCACGTGTATGATTCATAGTTTTTACTATCGGCTGGTAGATTAATGCTGATGGATGGCTCTCCATATCAGACGCCTGCCGGAGTCAATTGCTTTTGGCAGTTTCTCCCTAAAAGCTGGCCAATTTAGTTGGCATCAGACTTGGCCTTGAACTGTGTGTCCGCCCAGGCCACGCCCACACACATGAGCGCACTTTAGGCTTTTAGCCAAATTGAAGCACGTCCCAAGAACTAGATACGCCAGGCAGTCTGCCACGTTTGGCCAAGACAAACAAGCCGGCAGTAAATCGAAAGTCATCCGTTCGAGGGAAAAGCGGATGTTAGGCAGGTTCAGGTTCAGGTTCATGTTCAGCTTCGTTTGGGAACACAAATCTATGGGCAATGTTGGCTGTGTTTACTCAGCTTTGTTTGCCTTTCGCATGCCAAAAACGTTTACTGTTTACACCAATTAGATTCCGGCCGGAGACACCGAGTCCGGTTGCGTGGGGAGCTTTGGTTAGCCACTGTTTGTCCTGTGACCTGAGCTTGATCCGCTGGGGTCAACATTAAATATGTTAAATTATCATGGTCAAGATGGGCGTATGTATATACATTCATCACTTTACACCGTCTGATAAATTGAACAATGCGTCGCCGCGATTCCCTTCTCATCACGTACGGACATAAAAGCAAATATAATGGGCTCATAAAAAACAAGAGTCGTTGCCTCGCAGTTTACAACTTGCTTTCTGTTATCTTAATCGAGCAAACACAGAAATGTACAATTTCGGTATCATGGCAAACAGAGATAATGGCAGCATTAATGAATGATACCGCTGTTTTGATAGGGATCAAGTTATCTTCAAAAAATCAGGGCCCAAAATAAAAATAGGGCAAAACCCACATTTTACACTTGGATTAAACTTGTTCCCACAACTGCAACAACAATGAGCTGAGGCATTGTTTTCCGTGATATTAGACCATATTGCATTTTTCACTAAACTGGTTTTACTTGAGTAACTGGCTAACTTTAGTTACGCTTATGTGTCCAATTCAATACACACTTAATACAGATGTGAACAATTATATATATGAATACTTGCAACTGAAGTGAAGTGAATGTACATGACGAAGAGAAAATCTGTTGAGCCACTTTAACTCATCAGCAATACCCTTATCTACAAATAAGTATATACCAGTAGCGCATTATAGATCGGGTGTGGGAAGTTTATAACAATATTAAACCGACTGTATATATATCTTTTAATATAAAGCCAGTCTTTATCCTCAATAAGTTCTCCTTGTCTGGCAAAGTTTATTATTAAACAGAACAAACGTATAGAAAACGGAGGTTTATTTTTATAAAGCTCACCCAACAATTTTCATGGGAATTAAACATCTGCTTTGTTGTTATACTAAAACGAAAAGGCTTTAAAGTTCGAACCGATAATTTGTTTTCAGCAAAACTGTGCCCTCTGTTTACCTTTATAGCTATTTAAAAAAATCGTTAAGCCAATTATGGTATTATATCTTGAAGTTGTTCCAAACCTTATAAATTATTAAAACCGACCTCTTTCATACCATTTATGTCCAATGGATGACACTAATCAATGACTTAAATTGCACCGATGGCCAGGAGAGAGCTTTATCAATGTGTTTGCACAGCGATTACCAATATATTTCATAGTTAACCGTGTGAGGGAGTACCTATAGAAAAGTGCTATTGATTGCCATATTGCCCTGACAGCCGTCGCGACGGTTGATTGTCGTTTCGCTGAGGCCATCACATGCAAAGTAATACAATTAAACTATGGCTGGACGATAATCTATTTAAATTATCCATAAGGGGCGCTGGCTGACCTCCTGACATTTGATTAACCTGAATAAATTCAAAGAGCTTATGTAACTTGACTAATTTTCAGCGGAGGAGCTCACTGGCCTCCTTAGAAGTAAATAACTCTTAACAGCGAGCTCTATTGTATTATTAATATTAAGTATATTTTTGAACGTTTTTTAATGATTGTGAGAAAAGAAGATGAAATCTTTAGGGCTTGATAATCGCATCCAAGAAGTCCTCCCAACTAATTTTTCCATCGTGATCCAAGTCAATTTCATGGACCATATCCTCGTACTCCTGATCAGTGAACTTAACTCCCATACTTAAGGCAATGGACCGCAGCTCGGTAGTTTTAAAAAAGCCACTCTTTTCTGTATCAAAGACTTTAAAGGCTGCCTTCAGGGATTCAATATCATTCAGGGGATGGTAGGCCCTATTGACGACGCTAAGAAAATGCTCCAGAGGGATTAGTTCGTTGTGGGCCAAATCAAATTCCTCAAACAATTGCGTGACCTCGGCTTCTGTGCGATTTATTCCCAGATCATGCATTGCCGCACCAGCGTGTTCCAGACTTATTCCTTCAAAATCTTTTCCTTCGTACTTGGTTAAAACTTCGATAATCTCTTCAATCTGGTCGTCGGTCAGAGCATGTGTTTTACTTCCTCTTTTGTCTTCGCTTTGCTTGTTATCCTTGTCCATGTTTTTCTTTGTTTACTTTTGTTTATTGGTAATCTTGTTTATTATTATTTGTTGTATATTTCGTGGTTTTTAGTGTGAGTTGTTTTCGGGCCCAGCTTGGGTATGTTTATGTTTGTTTTTATACAACATTTTTATAGATGGTTCGGTCAAGGCATTCTTATTTTACCTAAATTTTAATTTAAAGTTTAATCATGAGTTGGGGTGCTTTCTGAAGATATCCGTGTGTAACTAGCATGAAAATACATTTAAATTTTCCGCTTCCTTTAGAGAACAAACTTTGGGCCTCAGCCCCAGAGTAAATTGGGAGATATATAGATAGATCTCTCTCATCGGTGAAGAAACCAGTGAGTCGTCAAGTAGAAAGGAAATTAGGATCCTTAATCATATGCTGATATTAATTTTGATCCTGATATTATAATTTTCCCCCTTAATAGCTAGTACAAATATACAAATTACATATATATAAAGCAAACAATGCTACCAATTCTGTTACAATCGATACTCTAGTCCAATGCAAACCAACAATTTTAGTTTTTTTGTTTCTTTGTTATTATTATGAAAGTAAGCAAGCTGAGTTTAGTTTTTGTAGGCTGATAGAAAATCTCGAAGATTTATGACACCATCTCCGTCGATGTCCGCTTCGTGAAAGACTAAATCTAAATCCTCATCGCTTATTTTCTCCCCAAGGGTGGTGAACATGGCGCGCAGCTTACTTTGCGTTATGGCGTTAAGGCCATCGCGATCGATCACCTTGAAGGCGGTCATCAAAGAGTCCTTACTTTCGAATACTTTGAACTTTTTTGTCATGAAGTTGAGGAAGGAGCGAATGTCTATTTGACCAATGTAGTCATCGTCTAGCTTCTCTCTAATATCATGGATCTCAGACTCGGTGTAATTGTAGCCCAAAGCGCGCAAAACGGTTCCAAGATCATTTGATTCGATTATTCCAGTATTTTCTGGATCGCACAAAGCGAATGCGTCGCGGATCTCCGTCATTAGCTCTTCGCCTAGTGTATAGGGTGCTTCCTCCATTATTTAGTTATTCCTGTTATAGTAAGACAAGTTATGTTAATATTTTGTTAGGAAATATTTTATCAAAAATTACTTTTACTTGTGTTGCTTTCGACTTCAGTGATTGAGTAGTACTGAGGTCTTTCCTAGCTTTGATTTTGACGTTACACACATCCCTTAGAATCTTTAAACGCGGGTTGCTCAGTTTTATGTACATCATAATCATGATCGTGCCAATAAGTTTCGGAGAAATCAAATTTTCACTCGGAAATCTGTTTGCTTTTCTCTGTCACTCTGTGGCCGCAAAAACGGTTGGAACTTTGAGTAGCAGAAGCAGTTTCAGTACCAAGACCCCGGATCAAGGAAGTATGAACCCGGCACAGCGGTATCCCAAGGCGGTGGCCTTCATTATCAGCAATGAGTTCTGTGAGCGCTTCAACTACTACGGCATGCGCACTATTCTGGTGCTGTATCTCACCCACAAGCTGGGCTACAACGAGGAGACTGCAACCGTGCTTTTCCACACTTTTACCATGCTGGTGTACATTTTTCCCCTAATCGGAGCCCTCATCGCCGATGGCTTGCTGGGCAAATACAAGACGATCCTGTATTTGTCAATGGTCTACAGCCTGGGGGCCATGGTTCTGTCCTTTGGTGCCATTCCGCTGGATGGGATGCCCGTCAAGGCGGTGACTTTAGTGGGACTGCTGCTAATTGCCATGGGCACTGGCGGGATTAAGCCCTGTGTCTCAGCCTTTGGCGGCGATCAGTTTTCGCTGCCCGCCCAGGGCCCGCAGTTGGCCAAGTTCTTCTCGCTCTTCTACTTTGCTATCAATGCGGGATCCATGATCTCCACCACGGTCACTCCTATCCTGCGAGCGGATGTGCACTGCTTCGGAGACGATGACTGCTTCTCGTTGGCCTTTGGCGTCCCGGCCGTGCTGATGATCATCTCTGTGCTGATCTTTATGGCCGGCAAGGGGATGTATCGTCGTCAGCCGCCGACGGGAAACATGATCTTCGGGGTGTCGACATGCATTGCGGACGCATTCAAGGGATGGAGGATGCGACGACACACGCAGCCAGAGGAGAGCTTCCTGGACTACGCCAGGCCGACAGTGGGAGCCAGGATGGTGCAGGAGACGAAGAGCCTGGTGCGGATTCTGCGTCTCTACCTGCCCTTTCCCATCTTCTGGGCATTGTTCGATCAGCAGGGCTCTCGATGGACTTTTCAGGCCACCCGAATGGACGGCAGGGTGCTAGGATATCAAATCCAGCCTGATCAGATGCAGGTTATCAATCCACTGCTTATCCTGACCTTCTTGCCGCTCTTTGAATATGTGGTTTATCCCCTTCTCCGTACCATTGGCATCCGGAGGCACCTGCAAAAGCTCACCATTGGCCTGCTATTGGCCGCCATCGGCTTCGTCCTGTCTACAGGTCTCGAGATGAAAATAGAAGAGGCAGCCGTTGAGGCCATGCCCGCGACACCGGATACTGCCCACCTTCGTCTGTACAATGGAATGCCATGTCCCTATGAGTTTACCAGTGGCTTTGAATCATCTTCAGCGAAGCGCCCAAGGGCCATCGAAAGCCTAGGCATGTGGACAGATCTGTCGCTGCGTGTGCCGGAGCCCAGGGAGTACGCCTTCAAGGCGCAGCCGTCTTCGGGCAAATGCCCCACCATTACAGGGAAGCTGCGCCTGCAGCCGGGCAAGTCCATTAGCTACTTTCTGGCTCACGACAAGCTGGTCGAGTTTGCTGACGGCCTGGAAACGACCTCCAGCGCAGGCAGTCCTCCACTCTTGCGTGCGCTACTGAATACGCCGCCTGAAGAGGGACCTGTCCTTCTCACCGCGCCCGGCTCACACACAAAACCCCTTTCCCTGGACAACAGGAATGAGTCACAGCTGCTCAAGATCGGCCCCGGTCCGGACGAAGTGAACATTAATGCGGTAAAGGCAGCAAATTTCAAGACCAAAGCCGGAGGTCTATACGCCCTACTGGTGGAGGGCAGTGCCCGGGATGGTTACCAGTATAACATGTTCCAGGTTGTGGGTCCCAATACCGTGTCCATACTGTGGCAGCTGCCCCAGATTGTGGTTATGACGGCGGCCGAGGTGATGTTCTCGGTGACCGGACTGGAATTCTCCTACTCCCAGTCACCGCCCAGCATGAAGAGCGTTATCCAGGCCTGCTGGCTGCTATCGGTGGCCATTGGCAACATGATTGTGGTGGTGATAGCCAAGTTCAAGTTTACCAGCTCCCAGTCTGGCGAGTTTACGCTTTACGCCTGCCTAATGCTGGTGGACATGCATCTATTCATGTTGCTGGGACGTAGCTATAAGTACCGGGATGAGTTTCAGGTGGAAGTGGCTGAGCTGCCAGAGCCGCCACCTTTGGAAAACCTATATTCACGCGAGGCCAAGGGGAAAAAGATGCGGAAGGCTGGCGGAAAGGATTTGACCCACCGCAAGGCATTTGCCAATGTCTAAGATAAAACCCTTAATGATCTACAAGCTCCAAATAAACTACAAAGTTTACTTTAATTTCTGTTAATAGTACATTTTGAAACCTTATCGGTTTGACCAAGTTAACCATATGCATGCCCCTAATTTATGGCCGTAATTTTCTTACAAAATTTCCAAATCGCTTAGAAATTAGTCATTTTATGGCGAAGGGCTTGCAAGGGGTGCGTATTAAGTTTTGAAATGAGTCACCAAAAATGTGTTTGTCAATAGATAAGATCCCCACGTAAAGTGCAAAGTGTGACTAGATTTTGACCAAAATTACTTGGAGGAACATTCCCCTTTCCAGGCTGTGTTTTTGCGAAATATTTAAATTGACATCGTAATCGGCCTCCTTTTTATGAATGTTCGCATTCGCGTGGCCAGCGATTCCCTAATTTCCATCAACCCTTTCCCTACCACGGCCACCGCCACTCCCCGATGGCCATTAGGCACATGCGACAATTTTGGAGTCACGCGCCCAGACACATGGTCACCACGTTGGCAACTCCTTGGGGCAAGGTTGTCGCCTCTCTGACGCTGCCTACCCGTGAGCCAGAGCCAGAGGAATTTGGGGGGAAGAGTGGATAAAACTGCCTCAAAGTGGAATTTTTTTTGTTTCTTGCAGAAAGGGGTTCGAGTTCGTGTTTATTTGGTGCTTTCAATTTGGAATTCTTAATTTAACTTCGCATGGCAGTTACAAAATCGGAAAAGGTGACCCTCCCATCGTTGTCCAAATCGATATCCTTGAACATCTCCAGCAGGTCATCGTCGGATATCTTCTCGCCCAGATTGATCATCACTGCCCTAAGTTCTACTACGGTGAAATACTGTACATCATTGCGATCGAAGATCCTGAAGGCCTGCTGTAGATTGGCGATGCTGTTCTGCTCTTCCAGTCGCTTGGTCATCATCTGGAGGAATTCATTAAAGTAGACCAAACCACTGTGAAGGCAATATTCGCTGGTAATTGCGTATAGCTCGGCTTCCGTTAGACTCTGACCCAGGGTGCGCATCACATCTAGCATCTGCTTGGTGGTCACCCATCCGGTGTTCTCGTTATCATAAACAAAAAATGCTTCGCGAATTTCCTCAATCTGGTCTTCCGACAAGTCAACCATTTTCTTGGTAATGTGTTCGTGTTTTTTTTTTATGTTTTATATTAACGTAGTTTGGTGGAGCTTTGTTTGGGTGGTGGTGTCACAGTGTCAACTCCCTTCTAGCATAAACTGGAAATATAACTATGACAGCAATGGCAAAGAAAACTCCTGCGGGTAAAGCAAAGGAAATGTATGTCTCGTTGAAAAGCAAAGTGAGAAAGATATATAGAAATTACCAAATGGAGATTATCTCATCGTCATCATGTTGACGAACTCTTCGTAATTGATACGATTATCCTGATCCAAATCGTACTCGCGAAATATTTCCTCCATCTCTTCGTCGGCAACTTTAAATCCCAGCGCGTTCATGACACTCGCCACCTCGGTGATGGTTATATATCCCTGATTCTCCTTGTCGAATACCCGGAAGGTATCACGCAGCTCGTCCTCGTGATTGGTATCCCGCAACTGGCGAAGAATCACAGCACAAAATTCCGGAGCCTCAATGGATCCGTTTCCGTCCGAATCCACCTCGTTAATCATAGACTGCACTTCGTTGTCGGTGGGCTGGCGGCCAAGGGCGCGTATTACCACTGCCAGCTCCTTGGAGGTGATGGCTCCCTCGTTTTCCTTGTCCATGATTTTGAATGCTTCCTTGAGCAACGTCTGCTCGTCTTCGGTTAGTTCTTCCATTTCGATTTTCAGGAGTTGTGCGATAAACCGTGTCTGTCTATGATTTGGTTGTGTGGCTCAACTGTGGGACATTGACTATTGGGATGGGAATTCCCCCGGTCACTTTGTTGCCTGTGGAAAGTAAACAACTCCACACACATGGGGGCCCCCTGACATCGAAATCGATTCCTACTAAAGGAAAGATGGAAAAATGAACATCCCCAGTGGCTTCATTTCGGTGCAGTATGCACAAAGCCGGCACAAAATCAATAAGCTGCTGGTTATGTAAGCGCAGTGGCGCAGGGACAACGCTGATTGATTCGAATGTCCTTGGGCCTGCAGCTGATCGCCTCCGACAATGCCACCAACTACTATATATCAGCCATCAGTCGGTATCTGTCGTCGTTTGTTGTTAACAAAGCGCCGATGAGGGTGTCACTCGTGGGTAGAGGCCCAACTCCCCTTGCCTCCCCAGGGGCGGCCGCAAAGGTGCACAATCAGGGTCGTTGCCGCACACATAGATAATATGTTTTCAAATATATATTTATTTAGTTAGTCATTCACCTTTTGGTTCCCTAAAAAGTCCGTAAATCAAAGTTTTTAAAAGCAAACAAATTAATACTTGGTCACCACGATTGTCTTAATGCCTATAACTAGGTTCCTAATAATATAAGCAGACCATCGAGATCACCATTCCATTTTCCCAAGTGCATTGTGACAAGTTAGTAGTTCATATTGCCGGGGGGCCCGCAGGTTGTCATGCGATTTAGGTTTGGCGACGCCTGTCCTGCGCCTTTGTTGGCGGCTGCTTTTTGCCGCAGGTTAATTTCAGTTCAGTTCAGTTTTCCCTTTCGGCTCTTTCACCTGAGCTCCCGCCACCTCCCGCCGTCCGCAACATGGCACACCTGACACCAGTGCTTGGCAGTAGGAGCATGCGGCACGCTCACCTCTGGCCACAGTCGAAACAAATAATAGACAGGAATTTGACATCGGCACGAGGAGCCTCCATTGTGCGGCGGCCTTTCGGTTTGAGTATTTGTTTTGGGTCGCTCTTTGGGGGCAGCGTGCTGGAGGGCCATAATATAAAGATTTCTCACATGTGTGTGCTTCCTGCGGGCCAACTAATATGTGTCGGCTGGAAATTGCTCCCATGGCAGAGCGCTTTTTCGTGCTCTAAGCTCGCCCAGTGGGCCCAAGGATTGCGGCCACATTTACTTGACAATTTATGCCGTAACTCCCGGGCTAGAATCTGTGGAATTTGTTTATTTTTAATTGCCTAATCCTCATGCGAAACCACTTTTCGTATCCCCTTACTCCAAGGTTTTCATATAAATTAGAAATCTAGATATATTGAATAATAAAATTGGACATTTCTTGCAGGAAAACCTGCGCGTTGGCTTGGAACATAAGAAGTTTGAAATAGACCCAAAGTATCTGCTACTCCTGGGATTCACACCATCCAAGGATGCCTCGTCCCAACAGCAGCAGCAGCTTGAGCTGGAGCAGAATGCGCCGAGTCACCACCAGCTGCCCGAGACAGATCTACCGGCTCCAGCCACCAAAGCGGAGCAGGAGCTCAGCGACCTCCGAGGTCTGCAGAATGCTGTCACCTTCGGTGGCCGCCGAGCAGGAGGATCACGTGAGCAGCGGGGTCAGCGCAAGCGAATCACTACGCCCTACAACGGCACCAAGAGCAACTTCACCATCGTCACCTACGTGCTGGAGGGGCAGACGGCATCGGCCATCCTTTTGGCCCAGAACATTGCCGCAAAGCTACCCAGCGAGTACCTGCTCATCTACGATTTGGGCGTGTCCGAGCAACAGCTGCGTGACCTGGGGCTCTACTGCAACAACAGTCGGTGCTCGGTGATCACCTACGACCTGACGGAGTTCCCCTCCTTCGTCGGCGATCAAAGAACGCACGCCTACCGGCCCATCGTGATAAAGGATGGCCTTATGAGGGCCAAGTCGGTGCTGTTCCTGGAGAATCATATGAGGGTGCGGGGTGGCTCCGCTCAGCTGCATAAACTTCAGAGCCGCCTCATGGCCGATGGATCAATTGGAGTTCTTGGATGGAACCTACCAACGGCCGTGTCCTCGCTGACACATCCCAAGATGTTCGACTATTTCGAGTCGAATGCCGAGAACTTTATCTTCCTGCGGATGACCGAACTGGATGCGGTCTTCTTCTCAGACTCGCCCGACGTCAACGAGAAGATCATGTTGCCCTGGCTGAAGTGCTGCCTCACCCTTGAGTGCATCGATCCAATCGGTGAGTTCGACACCCCAAGTATGTGGTCCTATGATACGGGAGACTGTCATTAGGACTGTGTGTACATGGTAAACTGCCCTCAATATAAATCAATCAAACCAATATTCGTGTCTCCCCTAAAATCCCTACACTTCAGGTTTGGGGTTGGTGGTATACTAATGACCGTCATTTGCACGGCATTCCGTTGATGGCACTCACATCAGTGAAATTTATGTAATTACCACCTGAATTGGGATCGATGGCAAACGTGACACTGCCTTTTTTTTTGAGCAATGCTTTCTTCCCGACCAGGAATTTCCCAAACTAAATAGTCAATAATAACAATGTTTTTATTTACTTTTCTGCCTATATGTGATTGCACCAACTGAGAAAACTTACCCACTAAGGGAACTCAGAGAAACATATATCATACGGCGTTTATAATTAATTGGACTAGTTCGAAAATAGTTTTAAATTTTATATCAACCAACTACGAATCTCAAGTTCATATTATAAAAAACCTAGCTTTCCACATAAAAATACGAATACAATATTAATGTAAACATAAATATTAATGTATTTATTTACTTTATAAAACATGTACAGTAGTTAAACCAACTAAGTGAACTCAGTATTTATTTCCCTGATTTTAAAGGGGAAATGAGTACGAAGTCCATCTTCAGTTGATCCAAACAAATAATTTTCCCTAGCCTGACAAATCATCCAGTTAATTGAACCCTTTTTTCCCATTTGAATTCATAACTTAACTTTTCAAAAACAACAATGAAAGCAGACTATTTTCTTTTAAATATTCCTTTTGTGCTTCTAAAGCGTTTGGTAACATCGAGCGAATCTTACAGATAACTCTTGTGCTTAGTAATTTTCGAATTTGTAGGTTTTGCCATTTATGGTCTTGCTGAGCGTTATCAGGCCCCCCTAAATTTCGGTAATAATTGGTGTTATCTTTACGAGTTGAGCAATAAAATGATTTCTATGTTTTGCATAATAATTACTCTTCCTCAGTTTACTAATTGTTAGGAGTTTTTCCTGCTCCTTTAATGGAGTGAAATGTTCTATGCCTAAGATTGTTTCTATAGTATTTCTTTAGCTCCAACATCTTATTATTGTTTGCCATTTCTATAACTAGTTGAGGTGTTTTTTCAATCTTATACGATTGCAAAGTTTGACAAATTCTACATGCGCATATCGTTTGAGTTCCTGCATTTGTCCGGGGGACCTGAACACGAGTCTTTGATACTTTTTCCTTCAAGACTGCTAACGGCCGAGGTTTTTTATCGTCAGATGAAAGGTATATTTGTGGGGAATTGAGCATATACTCAGGTTCGACTTTGTTAATTTTTTCTTCTGATTTGAAAACGGATTTTCTGTCAACTTTTTTGATTTCTTGTATTTGATCTTTATTCGATACTACATTCCCTCCTTGCAGTTTGTGAGATTTTTTCGAGTGTTTCGATTTCATTTTCTTAAAGCCATAGTCATGAATTTTTAAATTTCTTCCTAGCTTGAAAGCTGAAGCGCTCGAAAAGCTCTTGGGCACTTCCTCAACTGCCTCGGAAGGTAGTTTAGATAATATTATTATATAGGTATTTGGCCACTTGGGCATTTTTCTATGGAGCTTGCTTTTATGAACCACTTTGAATTCATTTTCAATTATTCCTTGTGGCCGCACTGGTTGAAAGTAAACCACCTGAGTTTTCCTTGAGCTATCCCTCTTAATGGCCGTGTTCGGGGTATCCATAAACCTAGGTCGAAATATTGTTTAGTATCTTGTATTCAATTGTTCTGTTTTTATTTAATTTTATAAGCATTTCTTATGTATTTCCTCAGCATGACACTTATGCATTTATATGTAGATACAAAATGCGAACACATAAAAAATATATACGTTACGTTTGCTTATTTTGATTGTTATTCTTTTTATTTTGTGAAAATTAATAAATTAAATTATACATATACTTCATATAAATGAAAGATCAGATGAAAAAATTTCCTTGCAAAAGCAACTACAATTTAAAGAGGCAATTACATTTCAAGTACACATGGCTTTTTGAGCTTTCTTGCAAATTATTTCAAAATACATTCATATCGAACATCGATCAATAAAGCAAAAATGAACTATAAATTTAAAAATGAAAATCAATGGGAAAGCAGAAAAGTTTTAACTTTAAAGGAGCAGAACAAAATAACATGAAATTTAAAGCGAATTCATGAAATTAAATGGGCGGCTCTTGATTTTTTTCACCAGGCCCTTCTTTTTTAAGTGTTTAGTTGTAAATTTCCTTTAATAAATGTATTTTGCATTAATTTGCAGTATGCAATAGTTTTTCTTGTGTTGCTTTTCCATTTGATGTTCGTGACTCCCAGCACGCTTGTCGGAGTCTTGAGCCTTTCCACTCGTCGCCTTTCCATTTCTCTTTTTTATAATACTTGAAATTTTTGTTGAAGCTTATTTGTTTCTGCTTAAATGTGTTTTTGTTCTTATTTTTTTGTTTGGGAAATATGTTTTCGTGTTTGCAGTGTGGTTGTTGTTGTAGCTGTTGTTTTTGTCGTAGTTGCTTTTACTTGCAGTAGTAGTAATGTGGATCCATGCTCAGCATAGCTCTCTCGGTGCATGGCGGCCTGCACTCTAACCGGAGGAGGCAATGGGGCTCTGCTGTCCGTCCACATCCTGGGCCTGGGCCTTATTCTGGCGCACCAATTCGGCGCGAGAAAGCTTGAATAAGTGGGGACATGGCTTTAGAATTTAAAAACTGTGTTTATTTTAAATTTTGACACAATTGAGATAATTTATTTAAGAATAATAAACAGCCAACTGTTTGACAATATGTTAGCAAACCTCTGTTCTGAAGCATTCGCGGAACATACGAAAGGCTTCCACAATTTTGCTGAAGAAGAGCATCCTCATAAGGCGCCAAGCGCCCTTGGGCACATCGCAGTGGATGTTGCATGCAGCATAAACCCATTCTTGCGGTTCAATATTGTACCCATGTCGACCACAAAGCATAAAGTGGGTATCGTAAATGACGTACCACGCCTCCACCGTGCAGGCCATGGCGGAGAATAGCTCCATCATCCGGTTAAGGCGGTATCCCAGCAGAAGACACAATCCGAAGATGAGGCAGATTATAGAAATCCCTCGAATCTGGGTGAACTTGAACCGCTCCTGGGAAGCGTAGAGCATGAGAGCCAACAGCTCTAGAATCAAGATGACGGGATAGGCATAGACCTGAAATAAAACACATTAAATTAAGGAATTCAAGGATATACATTATAGAATTTCAGAAAAAGCCTGAAGCTTTTGTGGATTTACTCACCCAATGTGTCTGCACCAGGTTCAGCAAATACAAACTCCGATTCAGGGCACTGATGAAGGTACTGAGAAGCAATACGAGATAGTTGTATGGTGCAAATCTTCTCCAATTTCTCCAAACGTAAAAGCACGTATATATTAACATGGTGATGACCAGGGAAATGGGATTTATAGCTTCCTTATACGGCATAGGATATTTCAGCAGCACCTCCAGACAGGGCAAAGTGCAGGCTACCTGTAGCTGCAAGTAAATATATCATTAGTTTTTCGCTTTGGCATCGACGGCGACGGAAACCTACAATTAGTACCCCAAAGAACCTTCGTACAAGACGACGTCGTAGTCTAATATCCGGTATGTCAAATTCATAAGTCCTTGGAAAATGGCCTTTGGGCAGTAGAAGCTCACATTGTACAGCGGTTCCCGGGACCTCTGATTTTTCCATTACCATTACCGTGTCCATTTGAATCATTCGACTGTGGTGACACTACTGCCTGTTGCCTAATTATACTTTTGTATGCAACATTTGATAAGCAACATTTTCCAGTTAATCGTTTATCTAATTTACTCTACTCCATTTCCATTCTATTTCCACAAACACCTTTTAACGCGCACACAGAGAAAAAGCGTATTTCTATAATTAATAATTATATAATTTTTTCATTTTCCTGATACAATTTGGGAACCCTCAACATGTATTCAAGAGGAAACGTATGTTTTAAAAAGCATCGTTTTCTTATCTGTAGTTATTTTCGTATAAATATATTTTTATGAAATAGATGATGACGGGACTATTTACAATCAACAATTGTTTTTTAAACAAAATATATATGTTATTAGGATGATTGAGTAATTTAGTCCTCTCTCTCTCTAAAGGTGCCCAATCTAATGGCTGCAAATTCAACAAGAAGCCATTGTACCGGTACTCCGGCTGCCATGGCTACGATGCGTCTGCCTTTAACATCGTCCTGGGCCTCACCTCGCACTTTGACATAACGAAGTACTCGATTCCCTTCGACAATCCCCGGAACATGTTCTACAAGGAGACTCTGGAGCAGGCCACCCGAATACTGGAGAGTAGGCGGCGCAATAGCAGCGAAACATCCGACCATCCCTTTACGGACGACTGAAGATGAGGACGAGGAGCAGTACCTGGGATTGTAACTTGACGTGGGGACTAGCCAAAGCATTTGATACAAAGTTTTCTACAGACACACACTAGACACACCAGACACACTCAGGTGCCGGCGGAACAAAGTCAAGATTAGTGGCGCCATCGCCGAGAACTCGGAAACAAAAGTCCTTAATATAGTTTAGCCAACATGCGGACGCGCAAGCGATCGACAGACGCTTTGCAGTGTCCTAGACAGAGCACAGTAAATTATCGTAGTGTAGGTATAGGACGTGCAACTTATCAATACATTTAACAATTTAGTCAAGCCCTAGTTTTACTTAACGAGATCTGCATGAATAACCCTGTGCGACTGTTGCCGAGTGTTTGCTTCGCAAGCATTGATAATTGTAATTTCCTTTGTTTAGTTAACCGACTGCCCTGACCCCTAAAACACACTGTACATACATACATACAGAAGAAGGAAAATCAAATGGCATACATTTTGTGATTGTATTTTATAGTTACTCCACGTAGACACTCACGTATACAGTATATGAATATATAAATTTAATGTAAACTGTCCTAGAACAATATGAGCCAAAAAAGTAAGTTAATAAAATCCTGAATTACCTATACCAATTGGCAGGCCTTCTCTTGAGCTCCAACATCCAGTTCTAGTACGTTCTTGCAGTTTCTTGTTTTTAATGGCACACATATTTTGATTTCTGATTAGGAATAAAATTCGTTGACGGGCTTTTGTCCAAGGACCTTCCTCGGCTGTGCCACTAGTTGAATTTCTCCAGAATTCGAAGGACATAGATCAATATTTGAATCACATCGACGTAAAGGGAAAGAGCAGCGAACACATACTCCTCGGGATCGAACTGATACTGGTGATTGCCGCCGATCATCATCTGGATGTCGTAGATCAGGTAGAAGCAACCCAAGAGGGCGCCGAATAATGAGAAGGGTAAGTTGTTATACCCCCCATATGGAGACCAACACATTGCAGCTATCAGGAGGAGGAAGAACATCGAAAAGGTGACAAGGACAGCGCCGTTAGCGGTGTAATCGACCTTGGTCTGCAGGGCGTACACTGAGAGTCCAATGACCAATATGGCCGTAATTCCGACTCCCAAGAGCACAACATCGGCGTTCATGAAGCTCGATAAAGCGCCCAACAGCAGGGACATGGTAACAGTATAGATGGCCAAGCAAACTAGGTTCACGGGATGCTTGCGTCGCACGGTCTCCGAGCAGACAATGAGGATCGCGACCATGATGTTAATTATCGCAGCCACTATAACGACAATGGCGTTCTTCTGCACAAAGTACTTGGTGGGCTCATGGTACAAGAAAAAGGCCATTACTCCAAGTGTAAACAGCAATTGGACCTGCGGGAAGCAGACTAAAGTAGCTCCTAGATTAAGGATATATCTTGTATATACTAACCAGAAAAATTCCAAACACCTTCCGGATAAAACCCTTGCGTATACTTTGATCATCGAATACAATGTTCTTAATCACCACAATCTGCTCAAGGATAACAAACTCTTCGCCGCCAGCAGCTCCAGTTTCCATTAAGTGAGCACCTTGTTCTGGCCCCGAGTCCTTGGATTGCGATCCTGGTCGTAGTGGAGGTGCCGGCAGTGGGATGGGCGGGTAGCGATCGGTGTTGTTGACAGGGACTAAAGAAGGGATAAATTAAAATATTTCATAATATATGGGATCACCGTGATCGTAGGATCTGGCAAAATGTGTAGGGCTTTCTACAAGATTTTAAAAATCCCACGAAATACGATCTTGGGATTCATTCATAACATGTTCACATAAATGTAAGTTTAAGGCTTTCTTTTCGATTTAAAGTTAACGATGTATGTACCTATTTTTATTCTTTTTTTTTAGTTAATGTAATATAACAGGTAAACTATTTTTTAATGTCATATTTAACCACTTTATTTATATTTCTTATACACACAAATGCAATTCAAAAGCCACTGATTAATAATGTACATTATACATTCCTATATAAACATATGTATCTAGATAACGCCAAAATTAAATCGGTATCAGGGGAATTCCCTTTAATATATTTAGCCGTATTCGTTTCCGCTTAGGTTTAAAAATACATACGTTTTTGTATAAAAAATTACTACACTGAGACAAATTTCTTTATCTCGCAAAGCTTAAAATATTTTTCAGCTTTTTGAAATACTCTTTTAAATTGTTGGGGTAAACGATATTGTTTATAATCAATTATAAATAAAATGTTCTTCGTTTCTGTTTGTTTTGTAGCGATCGTTAGGGTGCAGAATATTTATATTTAAAAACTTAAATGCAGATGTACAGTTGAATAATCTTGTGTAAATATTATCTGACCCCTTCTTCGAATTCGTGGAGAATGCGATGAGTCAATTAAATCCTGCTGATACTGCGTTACTGTTGCGCTTTATATATATGTACGTACATATAAGTACATACATCTATTTATATGTAAATACACAAAGATGCGGCAAACTTACCGGCATCTGCAGAATTAATATCGTTCAGGGGTTTTGAGGCATCACTTTCTGTTTTGTTGGAAAACATATTGAATACGCCTGGTGGTTGAGTTAGGGAGATTGTAACTGTAGCTTTTCCGTACTATCTGTTCGATGCAGCGAGTGCAAAGATAGAAATGCAAAACAACCTGAAAGAAATCTGGGAGTATCTGAGGAATGGGTTTGGGCTGCCAGACTGTGACGACTTTTTGAAATGGGGATGCCTGCCTGTCACAAAAAAGCGCGCTGAAGTTAAGATTTCAAATATTGTAATTGAAAACTTTTTGTTGGTCCCCTTGTTTCTTTTTTATGTAATTAATTGAAGCATAACGATATATTGTTTAAAAAAAAGTTTGGCGAAAAGCACAAATATGGCTACCGAAGTATCAGAATTGGATTTATTCGGCAACACTGAAGGCAATATGTAGCGAACGGTACTCATATACATACATATATACATACATATATCAACCAGCGTTTTGGCCAAAATCATTTCAGTTCACTTAGCCCACTGCTTGCGAAGCCAGCAATCGTTGAACTTAAACGGGTTCGACAATCTGAAAGTAAAAGGCCATGCCAGCAGTGTGAGTGTGTGTGTGCAATTGTAAGATAATGAGTGTAATTACGAAATCGATCGAGGCTTTGTTCGTCGTGGCCGTAATCTTGGGAGCTGTGGCCTACGATCCCAACGATCCTAAGATAGCGGAGTGCTGCCTTCCGCCCGAAGGGATGTTCGAGGCTTTTTATCCGCGGGAGGTGGAGGGGATCCCCAACAGCGCCTCGCGTCCCGCTCACGGACACGGAAGCTTCTTTAAGCACCGCAATCCAGCACTGGTGGACACCAAAAACGCCGCAGCCTATGGATATAGGTTTGATGGAAAGCGACGCTTCAATTACGACTAAATCCTAAAAATAAATTTGATATCGAAAAAAATATGTTTTGAGTGTTTCCATTGCGGATACGTAGCTAAAATCGGAACATTCCTTTGGGAATCTGGTTTACTTTTGTTGGTAGTGCTAAGTATTGTTTATTTTAATCTTGTTAAAATTAAAGTATTGTTTATGTTTATATATATATTCAATGTCAAGTCCATTTGACCAAAAACAAGAACGGAATCCGGAGTTCGTGTGCCCTTGCAGTTGGCAATTGGATCAGAGACCATACTTGGAACGGTCATAATTAAGCCAAAAACAAATTCATTTCATTTCGTAAAGCTTTTCGATGAACTAGGATGACAGACCAGCATAAAGAGCTTAACATACTTAAAATTTAATATTTTTGTTATTTTTGACATTTATAAAATATTGACAAAATTGGTATATTTTTCCTGTCATGATGGTAAAATATATATACATGATATATAGGCTCAGAAATTACTCCTTCACTGCGCGTCAAGCTGCTAACCTTGTCAGTGTATTATAAATAAAGTGTAGTAATAAATAAATAAATTGACATTATAAAGGTTCATGGTTAATGTTACATATTTTTCGGATGGCCCGCCTAAAACAACGATATTTTGAAGAATTCGATAAATATCGATAAGTCGATTCCTAATCTAACGAAAGAAGAAGAACTCAACATTTCTTTTTTCTTCAAAAATTATTTGGTTTTAAAAAGAAAAAAATATGTTTCTGAATCAAATTCAAATATAAGTCACATAAAGTTGTAAATAACGCTACCAAAGCCAAATCACCAGCACAACATGAACGCGCGCAGCATAAGCATGCTGAAACTGCTCAGGCACACCTGGCGCACGTAAGAACCGAATGGGGGAGTGTGGGGCGGTTACGGAGCCGGCGTAAAATCTTTCCATTTCACCAATCATCCCGATGATTACGCAGGGGTCCCCGCCGCTTTGCCACCAAGGTGACGACGCTGGGCGGCGACGAGATCGGCAGCGGCACTGGAATCGGACAGATCACCGGCGGCATGCGGCCGAGCGACGGCCCGCAGAAGGTTAACACGCCGTCCAAGGAGATCGTCACGCACCTGCCGCCCCTCACCGATCCACTGCCCAACTTGCCGGAGGCCGTGTATGCGGCTCCCCTGGCGGAAAGCGCCGTCACGAAGGTGACCACGCTGCCAAATGGACTTCGGGTCGCCTCGGAGCCACGCTATGGACAGTTTTGCACCGTGGGTCTGGTGATAGATTCTGGGCCGCGCTACGAGGTGGCTTATCCCAGCGGCGTTTCTCACTTCCTCGAAAAGCTGGCCTTTAATGTGAGTGTCGGGTGTTTGAAATCTTTGGTCGAGTATCTACTAACCGGGCTCTCGTTCCAAAGTCCACTGTCAACTTTCCCAACAAGGATGCCATACTGAAGGAGCTAGAGAAGAACGGCGGCATCTGCGACTGCCAAAGCTCGCGGGACACGCTCATCTATGCCGCCAGCATAGACAGCCGGGCCGTTGATTCCGTGACACGGCTGCTGGCGGACGTAACTCTGCGGCCAACGTTGAGCGATCAGGAGGTCAGTCTAGCCCGACGTGCCGTCAACTTTGAGCTTGAGACACTGGGCATGCGGCCGGAGCAAGAGCCCATACTGATGGACATGATCCACTCTGCTGCGTACAGGGACAACACCTTGGGGCTGCCCAAACTGTGTCCGGTGGACAATCTTGACCAAATCGATAGAAAGGTGCTGTTGAACTACCTCAAGTACCATCATTCGCCTAGCCGCATGGTCATCGCTGGAGTGGGCGTAAGTTTTCTGGTGTCTGAATCCTGCTGGAGTTTGTTTTTACCAATTACACATTGCTAAAGGTGGATCACGATGAACTGGTCGGCCATGTGAAGAAGTACTTTGTTGAGGACAAGGCCATTTGGGAGAGGGAGAGCCTGGACGACGTGGGACCCACGCAAGTGGACACATCTATTGCTCAGTACACTGGCGGCTTGGTGAAAGTGAGTCCCTTAAATCTGGAAATTTTAACAGTTTAAAACGATTAAGAAACCCTTCTAGGAAGAATGTGAGATTCCCATCTATGCGGCCGCTGGCCTGCCCGAGCTGGCTCACGTGGTCCTTGGTTTCGAGGGCTGCTCCCATCAGGACAAGGACTTTGTGCCACTCTGCGTCCTTAACATCATGATGGGCGGCGGTGGCTCATTCTCTGCAGGCGGACCAGGCAAGGGCATGTACTCGCGGCTGTACACCAAGGTGCTAAACCGCTACCACTGGATGTATAGCGCCACGGCGTACAATCATGCTTACGCCGACACCGGGCTCTTCTGCATACATGGCAGCGCACCGCCACAGCACATGAACGACATGGTCGAGGTACTGACCCGTGAAATGATAGCCATGGCCGCCGAGCCGGGACGGGAGGAGCTGATGCGCTCCAAGATACAACTGCAGTCCATGCTGTTAATGAATCTGGAGTCGCGACCTGTTGTGTTCGAGGACGTCGGCCGTCAGGTGTTAGTGACGGGACACCGTAAACGGCCGGAGCATTTTATTAAGGAAATTGGTAAGTTCTTTGTCCGCCAGTTTAACCATGGGGCTAACTAATGAAATATTTTCGCAGAGAATGTAACTGCGGCGGACATCCAGCGAGTGGCCCAGCGACTCTTGAGTTCCCCGCCTTCGGTGGCCGCCCGCGGCGCCATTCACAATCTGCCCGAAATGAGCCATATTACCAGTGCGGTCAGTGGCTCCGGACGCTCCGGATTGGGCCGGCGGCTTTCGCTGTTCAAATAGCAATGGATGTGAAATAACTATAGCGATATGAAAGCAGCTCTGTTGGACTCTTGTTTCGCCATTTTGTGTACGAAGGGCATTCGTGTTAAGTTTCAATTGGCTAAAACTATTTACCAAAATCCTACTCGGTTATTTTAATACTAATTATTAAGAGTTTATTTTGGTTTATCTTTGGTTCCATTTCTATATAAGAATGTAGGGTTTAAAGACCAATTTCAGAACCCTTTCATGTTAACTAAGCCTTTTGACCGAATAGTCACGTTAAGCCTCCGGATACCTGTTCGCCTTGTGCGTTTCTGCTGCCGCATAAGAATACCTTTCGTGGTCATAAGCTGCCTACTGATCATAGGCATTGTTATGGCTGTGAATCTGCAGAGCACTAGTTATGACGGATTGATATCTTTGATTTCTGGCGGTGTTGGAAGCTGTGGAGCACTGGCGCTGGTGGTAACAACAGCTAGACCCTGGCATTTTTTTTATTTATTCGCAGCAACCAAAGAAATATTGAAAAATAAATATTGTGTTGGAGATTTGTTTTTTTTTTTTAAATAAACCACTATTCAAAAACAATGTATTTTCGATATTCTTCCACCTCTACTTTTTTCAAAGTAAATATCGATATATCAACGACCCACGAGAGTGAATTCTGTTAAATTACGCACTCCTCTGTTAATGAGAGCGGAACTGTTAATAATTGTGTTTTAGACTTGTAAAATGTTAAATAACAACCGGCAGCACAAGAGAGAGAATTCTGTTAATTAACATCTATAATATAAAATAACACTTCAGTGCAGTGTTGCCAGGTTAGCTTATTATAAGCTAGTTCTAGCATATTTGAAACTAGAAAAGCTTGAAAAATTTCCATCTAGCTTATAGCTTGAAATATAGCTTATTTTAAAATTCATCTAGCATATTTTAGCTTTTTATGTATTTTTGACATCCACGGAATGTTTTTTACGAAAAATATGCTTTATAGCATGAAAATATTGGAGTTTGTTCTTTTTTCCGATGGTTATGTGCATTTTATGTGATCGTGAACTTATTTCTAATCGAAAGTGTCATCGGAGATCGATTTGTTGGCTGAAGTGTTACCACCAATAATTTTGTTGTGTTGTGAAAATAGGTAAAGCGTGTCCTCAAAATGCCGAAAGTTATATATAAACAGATTTTTCGGGATGCTTGGCTCCAAAACAACGAATTTAAGTGCCAGGAGAAGGAACCAAAGCATATTGTTGCTACTGTAAGTCGACAATATCAGCCAAAATTTTTTAAATCAGGCAGCATGCGGCATCGAAAAAGCACATTTTATCAATGAGATCAGTTGCTGAATCGCAAAAAATAAATTTTCCGGCTAAGTGTTGCAAGACTCAGGATCAGGAAGCAGCGCTTTGTTTGTTCATTGCCGAACACTCGGCGACGAACAACATGAAGGAATTGATGAAATATTAACTAATTTGTTTTAAGTGCTTACTTTAAGAACATATTTTTAAGACTTTCTTTAATAATAACATATTCATATAATATAATAATATATATTATATGTTTCGTGTTTTCTCATATTTGGGTGTAGCTTGTTTTTTCGCATTTTTTAAAAATTGTTTAGCTTATTCTAGCTTATTTTTTTTTTAAATCTAGCTTATATGGGCGCTCATCACCTGGCAACACTGCTTCAGTGTGACCAAAAAAAGAATATCCAAAAAATAAACAACAACATCTGTGCAAAACAATACATTTTGAAAATGCGAATATATTGAAATTGTAATATTCAAACAATATAAATGCTTGTGCCCCGGCTTACCCCAATCCTCCATAGATGCTCAATGGCGTTTTACGCGGTGGCCAGCGGGAGAAAGTGTGGCATCTACGACACCTGGGCGCAGTGTGAGGAGCAGGTGAAGGGCTTTAAGAACGCCAAATACAAGAAGTTCAACACGCGCCAGGAGGCGGAGCATTTCGTAAATGCAACCAAATCGTATGCTCCCCATGAAGTGGCTGTGCCCCTGGGCCAGAAACAGCCGGCTCCACCGAGTTGGAAGATCAAGATCGAGAGGCTGTCGAAGCCCAAGTACACAGAGGCCTGGCCGGACGAGGATCACGACCTGGCAGAGAGTGAGCTGGTGAGTGGGAAAGAAGTTGCAAGTGCGCATATTTAATTCCCAACATGTTCTCCAGAATGCAGCCATGAACGAAGTGGAGGGTGATCCCAGACCATCTAGCAGTGGAAAGTTGGTAATAACCTGTTCCTATAACGCTTGAAAGTATTAAATACAAGCCATTTGCAGCCAGACAAATATTACCTTAAGCGCAAGGGAGCCGGTGGCGGAGGCGACGATGGGAGAACCAAGATCCCTCGGTATGACTCCCAGGTCTCAGAAGCCACGGGCATGAAGCAAGTGGGTGCCTTCCAGTTTGAAATCGATGAGGAAGGCTATGTAATCGTGTACACAGATGGATCCTGCATTGGGAACGGACGACCTAACGCTTGCGCCGGATTCGGAGTGTACTTTGGGGAGAATCATCAGCTGTATGTACCATGAGGTGTTCCTCCTATTATTCTATTTAATTAGTATCCTACTCAATTGCAACCAGCAATGCAGCGAAGCCCGTGGGAGGACGTGCCACCAACAACGTGGGCGAGATACAGGCAGCCATCTATGCCATCAAAACTGCCTTGGATCTGGGAATCAAGAAATTGTGCATCAGCACAGACTCTCAGTTCCTGATTAACTCCATTACGCTGTGGGTGCCGAGCTGGAAGAAAAAAAATTGGAAGCTAAAGAACAATCAGCCCGTGAAGAACGTTGTCGACTTCAAGGAACTGGATGAACTTCTGCAGAGTCGAGACATCACTGTGAAATGGGTGCGCATACAAACAAAATACATTTTAAGCGGATGTTTGTACAATATTTCATTTCAGAACTACGTGGAGGCCCACAAAGGCATAAAAGGTAACGAAATGGCCGATCAGTTGGCGCGCCAAGGATCTGATTTGTACAAGAAACTTAATTTCTGATAACGAGCATTTTTAAATTTATCGCGTATTCTACTTTATTCAATGTGAACAGTTTGGCAGCCCTGAATAAATTAAGCAGACGTGGCAACCCTAGACCGAATGTTTTTATTTACTATTCACAACAAACGGTTTTACAATTGATTTTCTGCAATGTTTTACAAAGAAAATAGCAAGTGCGCTTCATTTATCCTTATCTTGGCCCTAAGTTGTGGCGTGGGCAGGAGCTACGTGGTGGAACCTCCTATTGTTCAAGTGGAAATGGACAAAGCCGGCATGCATAGGTTGTTGCGGTTCAACACGCTTGGAAAATGTGTAAACTGAAAAGAATTTATGTTTCTATAGGACTCTCACATATCGTCTGCGTTTCGACTATCCCCTGGTGGGCAAGGATTGTGAGTACGTACTGCTCCAGCCGTTGCCCGCTTCGGTTTACATAAGCACGGACGAACTGGACGATTTGCAGCGCCTGAAGAGGGTGCGTGTTATCGAGGGACTCGAGTTTGAAGGACTTACCTAGCTTAAATACTTTCCTTGTTCGCAGCTAAGTGCCGTCTATCCGAAGTTCGTCAACATTGAAGTGGCCACGGAGCGGTCGCAGCCGTTCGATGTGTTATTGCGCGGGACGCCCAAGATTACGGAGACGCTGGCACTGCCCGTGCATTTTCGCTACCATGCCCCCAGCGATAAGCGGTGCGGTGATCATGAATGTTGAAATACTTACACTATATACCTAATAACCGACTAAATCCGACAGATCGGCGGCCACGGTGGCCATACCCCTTCCGGAGCTCTATCTCAACTGCCCGCTGGCTGATAGCGAGCTCATCGAGAGCGGATTGGTTGCCCGGATCGATAAGCTCTACTGCCTAAATGCGCCGGAAAGCAGATTCGACGAAAACGTCGTCAAGGACGGCGAGCCGACGACGATGGCGAATCTGGAGCGCTGCAACTGGCGGCGGGTGCACGTGGACTGTCAGCTAAAGACTCCGCTGCGGGCCGAGATACCCGTAGGCAATGCGAATGCCTACGGTCCGGTGCTGTACGGAACCATCCTGCTTGGCTGGACGGTGGCCCTGTGGACTATAATCAGGTCCATGGCCAACACGCGGCGGATTAATCAGCGCCTGAACGAGCAGCGGCTGTTGCAGCAAAAGGTCAAGTAACAGGCGACGAAGACAGTGCGATTCCAAGTCAACAATAGGTAATAATACTCCTTACGAGTGAGGGGTTGTATATATATATCTATTACTATGCTGTGACGGTTCACTTGTAGACATACTCGGCACGACTTAATCTCTTTATCACTTTGGAAACGTGCCACACATCGTAAAGTCTAATTAGGGCTATCGCACAACTAAGCCACATTAAGCTTCCTTTAGCATAAGCGTAAACATAAACGAATATCTTTAATTAGAGCTAGGCTTATCCAAAGAACACTAACTTATAATTACTACAATTAACGAGATTGTCAATGGGAGCGGCGGCGAGTTCCAGATGCTTCAGAATCGATGGTCCTTATCCGACGTCGGCGCAATGGTCCTCGAATCGTTCTCCAGGTTGTTGCGCAACGTCATCGTACTGGACATGCTGGGAGCTTCATTCCAAGACTGCACTGTGGCCTTGCCGAAGATCACGAACAGAGTGTTGCACACCAGATAGACACCGCCCGTGATGAAGAACACCACCCGCCACTGACTGGGATCCTCCTCATTGTTGAGAATTGCTCCCACCACCAAGGGAGCCACAATGGACGTCACTCCGGCTATGCCATTGGTCACACCCATCATGGGACCTGCAAAGTTTGGCGACAGATCTATGTGGTTGATCAGGTAGCCGCAGGAGCAACCCGCATTGATGCCCACGGCCAGCGTCAGCAGGAGGATGGCCCACGTCTTCTCGTCAGCGGTCATGTAGCCCAATCCAATCAGGCAGGCCATCGGTCCCCACTGCCCGATGGAGTTAAACAGCTTTCGGGCGGTGGTGATCGAAATGGTGCCTCGGTTGATGAGAAGATCTGAGATAGGGCTGACCACCAGGCAGAGAACACCCATGGCGAAGTACGGCAGCGAGGATAGGAAGGCATTTGACTTGACGTTCAGCTGCAGCACTTTGCTCATGTACGTGGGCATCTCGGTCAGCAGGGTGTAGAAGCCCCAAGTAAAGCCGCAATGGGCAGCCAGCAGACCATAGAAAGCTGGTGACCTAAAGATCGACATCCAGGGGACGGGCATGGACTGAAAGGACGGAAGGAAGTTTTAAACCCGCTATGGAAAGGCTCAGTGATTATCCTTGTGTCTCACCTGACTCGCGCTGTTGCTGCCCGTCAGGCTCTCTATGTACTCCTGCTCGATCTTGCTGATCTTGGGGGCGGTGGCAGGTTCGTTGGCTCCCTGCCAGAAGAACAGGAGCGCCCAGGCCACGCTCAGACCCCCAGACAGGTAGAAAAGTCCCGGCCAGCCCATGCTAGACTCAAAGATAAAGCCACTGGTAACCAGGATAACTGCAGTTCCGAACTGCGCACCCGAGTAGATGCCCGTGGTGAGGAATCCCCGCTCCGTGCGCGGCACCCACTTAGCCAGAAGTGTGTGAACGCAAGGATAGACTGTTCCCTGGACAATGCCAGTAAAGACGCGCAGCACACAGACACTCTCCCAGCCACTGTGGGCGGCCAAGGGATGAAAAAAGCACAAGATGCCGCCTATGGCGGTGGCCACGCCGAGAACCAGTTTGGCACCAAAGCGCTTGGCCAAAAGTCCTACGGAAAAAGAGTTAGCTGTGGAACTTTCTGGGACTCTGAATCTCCTACCTGCTGGGACCTGGGAGACCACATACCCCCAGAAGAAACTGCTGAGGATCAAAGACTTGTCAGACGTATCCCAGTTGTAAAAGGGAGCGCCTGCCGTGGACTGGGTCATAGGAACAATGGCTGCCGAGATGTTGACCCGCTGGAAGTAGTTGATCATCATGCCCACGAACAGGAGGATCGCCTGCCAGTGGCGGGCACCGAAACCGGAGGCTGTAAGGATAAACGTGAAATTAATTATTCGAACTTACAGATCTGGATAGCAGGATGGTGTACTGGCTAGTTTCCTCAGGGGATCGGGAACTACGCGGATCAGCAGGGGCCTCCGCTCCCCGTTGGAATAGTAAACCATGTTTGATCGGTTGCGGACTTGACGCCCGTCTGGCTAAACGATTTATTGATTGCCTCAATATATAAATCGACTGTGCGAATTGTTTGTCAGCTGCATGATTATTTCTAGGACCTTTTTTTTTTACTCAATTCTCGTTTTATAGCAGTTTAACAATGCGCTCTGATAGTGACGATTCCCATTAATTAACGCCTCCGTCAGACTCGTTTTCGGTTTTATTATAATAATATTGTCATTATCATTATCATTAACGTCGGCCAATGAGGAAAACAAAAGAGCTCCACTCTCAATGGAAAAGTTCCCGCTGTGGCAGTGGAGTACGGTTCGATGGGGGGCAGAATGTGTGAATGGAGCCGTATACTTTATTAGCTCGATGGATCCTGAGATTAAGTAACCCGAAATTGGTTGCGTTGCAAAATGTTGTGCAACCTCGGCACCTTCACCACCTCCACAAAAGATAATAAATATATTTTCCGTGTGTCAAAAGTGGAATTATCTCTTGTTAATCTTTATAAAGACAGTCACAAGCTCGTGCAGATGTCTGATATACAATCAAGATATGGTTTGCAAATATGGCCAGACGTCTGGGTTGTAACGGAGCAGTTACTTAAGGTAGGGTAGGTCTGGTTGGTCATTGGAAATTGCAGTTATTACTCGGAAAGAGAGAGGTCTGGTATAAGAGTGGAAATGGGAACTCTTTCTCGACGCAACAGCTGTTTAATAATTGCGATTATCTCCGCGGTTCTTATTCTCTGGGTACCTATATTTCTGCTGATCGGTGGGGATCGGACGAGCTCCTATCTATAACCTATAATTAGCAGTGGGTGAAGTATAAGACAACACTCAAGATCTGTCACAGCGATGGAAGGTAATAAATCTTTCTTTATAGGCCTTTTGTACAGTCCTATTTGGGCGAACTTTGTAAGCCAACAAATTAAAGAATTTTTCGAATTCTTATCAGAGAAGATAACTTTTTTAAGATTACGTTACTGTTTCAAATGGAATGTTTTTTATGAAATATAGAAACTTCCTTCACATAATCAAAACCACTTGGAAAATAATTCTATGAAGTTTGAGTTCTATTCGGTGTAAACTTCGATGCCTTAGTCTCTATTGTTCTAATTTATTATTAATTTGTTTTATAATTAATAATGTCACCTTTATTATACCATATGTCAACAACTAGCATGTTATTAAGGAATTATTATTATGTAAATAATCTTAAAATTCTCAAGTTTTGAAATATTATCATTACTTTAGTGACATCAATTAAGTACCAGTTTTAATTATTCATTGCTTGAATAGAAGAAAAATACTGAAGAATTTGACCGCTAATAACCGCATATATCCCTATGCATATTCAAGACAAACCCTATACAATTCAATTCACTATATCTCGCACGATTTTGCCTAATCCATCCGGCAATTAATACGATTATAAAGATCCATGTGCGATCTCTCGGATCGTTGACTTACGCCTGGCCTTATCCTCGGAGGTGTCAAAACCCATGTCTGGTATCTCACTGATATATTTATTATTACACGTTAACTAAAAATCCGCCGGAGTATCGGAGTGCTTGGACGCAAAACCGTTGGACGACTGCGGAGCCATTGGTGCACCTTTCGCTTTTATACTGATACCACATAAGAACACATTTTCCTGATTACAGTCGGAGGGCCTCCAGTTCTTAAGTGCCGGCGGGGCTGCGCAGATCGTCCGCCATTATCGCGGCCATAATCATAAAGCCATAAAGGTCTGCCAGAACTCCAGGCACTCACCGTGGCCCATCCAATGCAAATTATATTATGCCTTGGCTTTGATTTACTTTTACATTGAAATGGTCGTAAACAATTGAACCATTATCGTTTGATTCGGGCTCCTGCCTTATAGTTATAGTTAAAGCGGGTTAGTAGTCGCCGTAGAGCTATTATCTCACCTCTCGAACCTCGTTCGGCTGCACTCGAAACCTTTTTAGTGTAGTGATTCAGGTGTTAATCTCTTGTTTTGTGCACTTTTTTCACAGAATTTCTGATTATCCAGGTCTAATTGCTTTACGGCACTCTGGCCTGAGGCGTCAACGCTTTGGATTCCCTGTGGGTGGGTTCTGGGGAAATCCTATATAGCTCCGTATCCAAGTGTGACTTATTTTTAAATAGTGTAAATATACAGGGGCTAAAAATAAAATAATGCAATCTTTTGGGTTCAAGGAAGCAGTGTAATAAGTAATTATTTGAGATGACGGAATTATTTGCTATCATCATCTTGCTTGTTACCGAATCTAAGGCACACTTACATTTTTGTTTTTAGCTGTAAGAACAAAATTGTAGAGAAATACTCCGATGATGAAATTTTACGTAACCGATTTGTTACTCGTTTTTTTGTTATATAAAAATAAAAAGACAGTACATTTTAAAATAATACAAAAAAGATATATACATATACATACATATATAAAATTGAATGTAAATGTAATAAATCAGTGATTTTCTATGCAATATCCGAAACAGCATTTTTTCTAGTGGAATTGCATTGCTTGTTTTCTTTAAAAATGTTAGTTTTGAATTAATATTTAAAAATAACCGCCATTTGAATTTTCTGTGTGTAAGACCGTTTTCAACAATCACTGTTTTTTTTTTGTTTTCTTGCCTGGCCACACTTAACGCGGACGACTATATAAAATATTATTTAAGTTGTTTGAATTGTTAATATGTCCACGAGATCCTCATTTGGCGATGATGACCAGACCAAAGTGCCCCGGATCATGACCTTCCGTCCCAGCTACGAGGAGTTCAAGAACTTCGCCTCCTACATTGACTATATGGAGTCCCGCGGAGCACACCTAGCCGGCTTGGCCAAGATTCAGGTAAGCGTACGCTGGCCCAATACCAAGTTTTTCCAACTAAACACATGATGTCCTACAGCCGCCAGCCGAATGGGTAGCGCGGAAGGATGGCTACGATATTGATAACATCAACATGACCATTCCCGCGCCTATCAGTCAAGTGGTCACTGGGTAAGTACTTGCCCTAGCGCCATTGTCGTTGTGAACCATTGCAGTAATCCAGTGTTCCGTCTTGAAGGGCTCACGGCCTTTACCAGCAGATAAACATACAGCAGCGCCGTCAAATGACACTTCGCCAGTTCATGGAGAAGGCCAACTCGGAGCTGTATCAGACGCCGCGCCACTTCGACTACGAGGACCTGGAACGCAAGTACTGGAAGAATATCACGTACATATCGCCGCTGTACGCTGCCGATGTCAAGGGGACGCTGAGTGACGAGGATCTGGACGTGTGGAATATCGGACGTTTGGATACCATTCTCAACCTTGTGAATACGGACTACAACATCATTATCGATGGAGTGAATACGGCTTACCTGTACTTTGGCATGTGGAAGAGCTCCTTTGCTTGGCACACCGAGGATATGGACCTGTATTCCATAAATTATTTGCATTTCGGGGCGCCCAAAACATGGTACGCCATTCCGCCGGCGTACGGTCGCCGCCTGGAGAAGCTCGCTAACGAGACCTTCGTGGAGAACTACAATGAGTGCAATGCCTATTTGCGCCATAAGATGACCATGATCAGTCCGAAGGTTCTGCGCCAGCACAACATTCCGTATAACAAGATCACACAGGAGGCGGGAGAGATAATGATCACGTTCCCCTTCGGCTACCATGCTGGCTTCAATCATGGCTTTAACGGAGCCGAGTCCACCAACTTTGCGTCCAAGCGCTGGATCGAGTACGGTAAGCGGGCCAGTATTTGCAAGTGCCGCAGCGATATGGTCAAGATTTCTATGGAGACCTTTGTTCGCCGCTTCCAGCCGGAGCGCTATGAGAATTGGCTAAAGGGCCAGGATTTTGGCTGTCATCCCGAGGAACCGGGAAAGATATGCGCCTCAGCGCCGCCAACCTTAAACGAAAGCGAAAAGCAGGCGAGGTAATGTTTTTGTTGTAACCAAAAGAATACGATATTCAGCTAATATAATCTCATTCTTTAGCTTACGAGCGATAAAGGCACAAAAGCGTGGCTGCTCGCTAGCCGCCAACACGAATGGTTGTGAGTCGAACCCGGAACCCGTCGAGGATCTCATTTCCGATGCCGACGACCGTGCCAGTGTAAGCAGCTGCAGCAGCTCTCGGCATTTGCAGCCAGTGGTTAAGTTGCGTAAGCTGCCCCCCAAAGAGACCACCGTACCTGAAACATCAGCGCCGCTCAAGAAATACGATTTCAACCAGGTGGCCGTCGTGCGCGTCAGGCGTCTGTGGAAAGAACTACCAAGCACCGAGGATGGAATTAATCTGCTCACCAATGGCGTAGTTAAGAATACCAAAAGAATGCGCTTCCAGACAAAGGTTCTCACACTTGACGACGAGGATTAAGGGCTTGAATACGTTAAGGCCACTGCTCCAAAGGCAGTATTTCGATCTCCAAGTAAGATTTTTCGTGCGGCTACAATCAAAGATCTACTGAGTAGTGTAGGGTTTTATAGTATCTTAACGTTTTAATGTATGACGCCATCACAGGAAAGACTTGTGAATTAGAATGTATTCGATTTTCCGACCAAATCAAAATGTAAATATTTAAAACAAAGGCTTCATTTGTCGCCAAGTATTCCTTTTTTCAACAAGTGTTCGTTCCCACCGAGCATGTTATTGAACAACAATTAAAATTAAAATTACACTTAACAGTTCACCAAAAAGTAAAAGAATTTCTATAAATAATTGCAATGTAAAAATTAGAGTCCTTTGACATTCAGCATGTTACGACATGTGCAAAATTCTTTTGCAATGGAATCCGGTGAACGCCCACTCACTTGACAACCTCCAATTAACAACATTTCGTGGACTATAAAAGCATTCCATCGCCATCTCTCCAGCAATTACTTAAGCAACCCGTAAGCGATAACAATGTTCGGTTACTTTAAGCTCATGTACCCGGCTCCACTGTCGGAGCCTATCCGCACCAGGGACTCCAATGCCTATCTGCTGGACACGCTTCGGATGTCGGGCCTGAACCTTCGCAACGATTTCGGCGTGGGCCGCAAGATCTGGCGGGTATTCTCCTTCACCTATAACATGCTGGTGTTGCCCATCAGCTTCCCGATCAACTACACGATCCACCTGGCGGAGTTCCCGCCAGACTTGCTGCTGCAATCGCTGCAGCTATGCCTGAATACTTGGTGTTTTGCCCTCAAATTCTTCACGCTGGTCATTTACATGGCCCGCCTGGAGCTGGCCAACAAACACTTCGACGAGTTGGACGAGTACTGCAAGACGCCAGTGGAGAAACGCAAATTACGCGATGCAGTGGCCGCCATCACCAGGCTGTACCTCACCTTCTGTGTGGTTTATATTCTGTACGCCACCTCCACGCTTCTGGATGGGATGTTTCATGACCGTGTGCCGTTTAATACGTACTATCCCTTCGTGAACTGGCGCCTTGACCGAACCCAATTGTACATTCAGACTTTCCTGGAATACCTCACCGTGGGCTATGCCATATTTGTGGCCACCGCAACGGACTCCTACCCCGTGATCTATGTCGTGGCGCTTCGAACTCACATTCTGCTACTGAAGGATCGAGTCATTCACCTGGGCGAGACCAGCAGCAGTAGTGAGGGTACCAACGATGCTGATTTCATGTTTACATCTTTGGTGGATTGCATAAAGGCGCACAGGACTATGTTGAAGTAAGTTTAAGATGGTTTACTTAGTTCATTTAATTAGGAACAAGAAAAGATAGCCATAGTATTATGGCTATTTATTTTTTAACCGGACATGGCTAGATCGATCCAGCTGTTGATGCTGATCAAGAATATATATGATTTATAGAGTCGGAAATGACTCCTTACCTAAAGTAGGGAATTTTGAAATGTCATATGTATATGTACCAAGTACTATCTTAAAATAACCATGATTTTCTCTCCAATAGTTTCTGCGAGGCGATCAAACCGATCATCTCTGGCACCATCTTCGCACAGTTCATAATCTGTGGCTCCATCCTGGGGATTATCATGATCAATATGGTCCTGTTCGCCGATCAGTCCACTCGATTTGGAATTATCACTTACGTGATGGCGGTGCTCTTGCAGACATTCCCGCTCTGCTTTTACTGCAATGCCATTGTGGATGACTGCAACGAGCTGGCAGATGCTTTGTTCCATTCCGCCTGGTGGATGCAGGACAAGCGCTACCAGAGGGTCGCACTCCAGTTCTTGCAGAAACTTCAGCAGCCCATGACGTTCACAGCCATGAACATATTCAACATTAATCTGGCCACCAATATCAATGTATGTAAATAGTTGAGTTCTGAATGAATTGATAATTTGAGAATCAACCAACGATTCTTGCAGGTGGCCAAATTTGCCTTCACCGTCTATGCCATTGCCAGCGGTATGAACCTGGACGAGAAGCTTCAGATCCAGGAAACTTAATAAAACTAAATGCATTAAAGGTACACACATACACACACGTACATTGTTTTATGAACTTAACGCTTGTTTGCTTCATAGTAGTAAGTATAATAATATATGCATACAGGGAATTATGATTTAAATGTAAACTAGTTAAAACAAAACTTGACCAAACAATGGGATAATAAAGAAAAGAATCGCTACATATATATGCTTAAACCGTTTGGTATTAGCCCCTGCAAAGGAACCTTGTCTGCTCATGCGGATGAATATCAGGAATCGGGCAGAGGCTCCTTCTCTGGTCTTGTCTGTGGGCATTGCTCCCTGTGGCTGGCCGTTTGTCTCTATGATATGGATGTGCTCTGGTGATTGAAGATGAAGTAGTGGCCGGAAATTGCACGTATGTATGTATGTATAATGTCAGGCAAGGAGTACATATATGTTTTATAGCTCGCAAACAGTTTGAATGTTTCGGCGGCAGTTTATTTCGCGGGGTGGGATAGGAAGTAGGAAAGGCGGGGTTTACTACACGGTCTCTAAGTATATAGATGATATTTTAATGGCTGGCATAGAGATGAAACAGCGAACTTGTACAATTAACATAAACTTAGGCGAGATAACTATATGTGTCTTTGTGTCCCTCCATACGTTCCAAATACTCCTTCTCGATCAGGATGTCGATGCACTTCTTAATCACGGGCACCTTGGGCTTGAAGCGCGTCGACAGCTGGTTGAGCACCTCCGAGATGAGGTTGGTGTGGTTGAGTCGCTTTCGCATCTTCATGATGCGCACAATGGCCGCCTGGATGAGCAGCTTGCGGTCCTCCTCTATGTGCTTATGTACAGTCTCCTGCTCCACTTTAAGCTCAGTCTTCAGCGGCTGGTTGATGTTGATGCGGCGCTTCTTGTTCTTGTAGTCCAAGAACAGCTCCACGGTCGACTCTGGCGTCAGCGAGTTCTCATTGTCATTGGAGGTCAGCACCTTTACCTTGAGCAGTATTTGCAATACCTGAAAGCAACACGGTTCAAGTACGGATCATCGAGTGAGTGGAGCTAGTTCTTACCTGAATCAAGTTCTCTAGCTGAGTCTGTGTGTTGTCCAGGAGCTGCTGGACTGTGAAGCTTAGCTGATCGTTAAACTGGAGCAGCACCGACATCTGGAAAGTGCTGGCCTGCAGGGTATACACAGTGGAGGTGTTGTTTCGATTGACGTTCATGATCAGTTCGCCCTTGCACATCTGGTAGAGCCAGTTGAGCTTGCGACCAGAGTGACGGGCGGCGTAGAACTCGTTGAACTGGCGCACTGACCGCTCCAGCTCGGAGGGCAGCAGGAAGTTGTTGCTCAGCTGGAAGGGCCACGAGCCCGAGGAGAGGACTTCGATGCCGAAGTCAATTTCTGTGGTCACGTTCTTATTGGCCAGGTATTCCTTGAAGTTGGAATTCAGGTCCTTGGAGACGCCAATGTCCTGGAACATACGCTGCAGCTTGACGGTGTACTCGTAGCCACACGTCTGCTTCAACTTGGAGATCATCATGGCCTCGGCGTCGTCCGAAGCCGATGTGTGGTTCACCAGACGCTTGGCCAGCATCTTGGAGTAGTATTTCTGGAAGACATCCTTATCCTCGATGTACTTAAACACAACCATCACCTGGTTGAGATTGTCTTCGAGCTCCTTGTCCTCAGGGTTCTTAGAGGACTTCTTCAGCAAGAGATCGCAATACTTGGCCAGCAGCTCGGGCGACTTGCTAGCACTGTTGGCGATCGTGACAACATTCGAGTTGATGAACTTGCCGCACGCCTTGTCCAAAGCGGCCACGAAGCCGTTGTCATTGTTGAACGCCGTCAGGACGAGGGCGTTGTACTTTTTGTGCACATCCAGGATGGTCAGCACGTAGGTCTTCGGATCGTTGGCCGCGTCGGTGGTGCAGCACTTGGCAATGGCCTCAGTGCCCTGGTGGAGTATATGGTTCTCTAGAATAGTCTTGAGGTCTGTCAGGTTCTTGGGCGACAGGGCAACCAGTGAGTACATTCGTTTCAGATCATCGTTTCTGTCTGCATTCAGCAGATTTTGGAACTCGGTGTGGAATATTTTTAAATGTTTTTCGATAAGAACCTGGAAACCAGAGAGATAGGTTTAGTTTATAGATTACTACACCATTAGCAGGAGTCACTCACCTGTTCACACGTGGACTTCAGGGACTCTGCCGTGGTCTCATGCAGATACGAGAGGCCGTTCTTCGAGTTAATGCCACGAACGCGCTGCTTCTCCTCTTCCAAGCGGTTCTCAACATGCTTGAGATACTCAGTCACCGTGTTGGTAGATAGGAACGCGTCCGATTCCTTCTCGTAGAAGGCGTACGTGTCGGCGATAAACTTCCTCTCGAAGTTGTCCTTGTAGACGGAAAGCTTCTGCTGCTCTGCGTCGGCGTCGTCCTCGTTGAAACTGAGTTCCACATAGCACTCGATGACGTCGCGCACCAGCGAACGGTTGATCAGCTTGCCCTGACGCTCCTCCTCGATGGACTTGAGCACGGCCTTGGTGACAGGCTCGTTGAGCACCTGAAACAAGTGACCCTTCCAGGCGACCAGGGCCAGGCGGTAGATCTTATAGATCCCCTTCTGCCCCTCCTCGCACTCGCGCTTCACCCAGTTGCGGTTCAGGTAGTTACATATGCCGTCGAGCACTGTGCTTGAGAACTGGTAGGACTTCCACTGCTTGGTGTAGCGGGACAGAAGCACTTCCTCGCCACTGATTGCCTTGAACTTGGTGAGCAGCTCGCTCAGATAGGATTTGAGGAACTCCTCCAGTCGGTCGTATAGCTTCTGGCCCACCAGCTGGGCTCCACCTGTCTTACCGCTGCTGCGTCCTGTGGGCGCAGCATTGACGCTGGTGCAGTAGTCGTAGACGTGAGTGTAGAAGCGCATATACTGGCTGCGGGTAAGCGACTTCTCCTGGTCAAACACCTGCATTATTCCCTCGACCAGTTCGCTCCAGATGTCGTCCAGGTTGACCGGCCTCTGTGTGGTCTGCGCATTGCTCGAGCGGTTCATCTTGGCGGCGGGAGAACTCTGCCGATTGCCTTCTCCCAATGGAGCTGGCTGCTGTGGCTCTGCGGCCTGCGGTTGCTGGGACGCTGTGGTGCCTGCGGCTGACTGCTGCACGGGCGACGAGGGATTGCTGTCCTGGTGGCGTCGTTTGGCGGCTCTCGTCCTAGGTGCTGTGGCCGGAATCTTGGCAAATCGGTTTTCGAATTTTGGAATTTAGAAAATATCGATCTGCAACAAAACCCAGAGACGAGACGAAACGAAACGTTAAACAAACAACATAATGTGGTAGGCCTCGCCAGTTCAGCGACGGCGACCCGAAGGTCGCCCGTTGTGATCCAATGTCACAGCAATAAAAGAGAGGCTTGCGGAATACGCGCACACACATACGCAGATATTTCTACATCGCGCCTCTAGGTGTAATGCGATGCCGTGGGATGTCACGGAGCAGGTGATACCCTGCAGTAGGGTATCAGCCGCTGCACTCCAACTATCGAAAGATCGTGTTCGTGGGTATGAAAACTCCACTTCCTGGTTAAATAAACATACACACTCGCACTCGAACTCGCCATCGCATACAGACACACACACACATAGAGACAATGGGGAAAAAAAACCAGTGCACATGAGTACATACATACATACGTTCGCAAGCATTACAGTGCATTAAGCAACTTTTAAGCAGAGTTCGCCAATTTCCGCGCAGCTTACAAGCTCTAAATTTCGATGGAAAACCCTGCGCCTTCGTTTTCTTTCTGTGACGTCGTGATTTCATTTCCCCCTTTTGAAGCACACACACTTTTTCTCTTTTGTTCGCCATTTTCACACAGACCACCCTTCGAAAATCGTCACGTTTGCACAGCTCCTGCTGTTATTTACCTGTTGCCAGACGTTGCTCACTACTAAACTAAACTATAGTTGTATTTCGCAGTAGAGCTTATAATTAAAATTAAATTTTTCCGTGTAAATGACCAACTTTAACTTTCCATTGGAAATAGGGATGTGAAAAAACATTAATTAATATATGAATGTATCGATATTTGTGCAGGCAACATTGTATTTATTCGATTGATGAGAAACCCATCGATAGTTTTCTTGTTATTCGGCCCATCACTAAAAAATAGCCAGATGGCTAATTTGGAAAATACCAATGATTGGATATTTACATTTTCGTGGTTCATATCAATATTCGAATTAGAATTATCTTTTAAATTTTATTAACTTTAGTATATGTTTTTGGAGCCACATTTCTCATTTGTCAACACTGACGATTGTGAATTGACTCTAGTCGCCTTTTCGAATGGTGACAACTCTAGTGCCGTAAAGCAAAACAAAAACAGCAGAAGAAATTTAAAACGTCATTGTTAGGCAAAAGCTATAAAAGTTGTTAGCATTTTGGTGTGCGAACGAGGAAGATGTCCTTCCGCACTTCTTTCTTAGTGGCAGCAGGGCTGCTGCTGCTCCTGATCCAAGAGCATGCCTGTGTCGCACCAGCCACCCAGGAGACTGTAACAACTATTCCGGTGAAAAGTGCGCCGGCTGGTAAAATCGTAAAAAAGGCACAGCCAGAAGATCCGTCAGCTGGTCCAAAAGATTCTATGGTTGTTGTGAGCAAGGGAGGTCCAGAGCCTGCTGCGCCCCCGGCATTGCCGCCCGATGCCAAGGCCCCCGCACTGCCAGTCGAAGATAAGGCCCCGGCCTCTGGATCCGCCGCCAGTCTTCCTGTCGACGATGTTCTCGTCGAGCACTCCCATATGAACAGTGATGATGATTCCCCCGGCCAGGCCGTTGTCTACATAGTGGTGGGCATCACCAGTACGGCTATTCTGTTGCTCGTAATGCGGGTTTATCGGTGAGTTGCGGGTTGGGATGAAGCTACTGATTCCGCCTCAAGTCGAAATTCATGATTCAGCCACTTAGTATGAATTTGTGTGCATATAGATAGCAATGCGATGGATACTGGTTCTTTATTAATTTAGTAGTTTAATTTAATTCAAGGTTGAGATGCATTTAGCTAGCTTTTTGTTATTGTTGTTGTCATATTATAAATGCAAGCTGATAATGCTAATCGCTAATCTCCATCCAGGCTGCGACTTTCACGGGCTGAGCGCAAGTACGGCGTGCAGGGCGACCGGGCCAACCAGGAGCTAACACCTCTACCCATGGCCATCGAGGACGTCAACAGCGATGAGGAGGACCACACCCTGTTCGAGGTCAATCGCCAGAACATACGCATATTATGAAATAGCCAACACCAGCACACGCCAAAGATCTGTGTGGCCGTGGCGCCATTACCAACACAACTCCTCAGCAGACTTGCCTTATTTCGTAGCTATTTAACGTTTTGTAGATTTACGCTGTAGCCGCTAACACATAGCACATTAAGTCCAATGCCCGGTTCTCCCACTAACTGAGTAACTAAGTTCTGTGCATTTCTCCCCACTCGCAGTTGGTTCAAGTTTAACGAATCAAAGGAAAACAAAACCACTTGTGATAACGATAACGATGATACATGTATGTCTATAAGTAACAGGATGCCGCCGCTGAAGCCCCGAAGGCATTAAAAATCTCAAATTACGGATACTCTTCACTCGCCTCAACGCGTATCTGTTCCATATTAATAAATGTTATCTTAAATGTATTCGGTATTCTGTTTATTTTCCGCACTTTCACAAGACACTAGCGCTATAGTATAGGTAAAATTATTCATACAATTAGACTTAATACAGTTTGAGGGGCTTAACGATAGGTGGCCAAGCGCTCTAGGCTGGTTACAGGTTACAGGTTACAGGCAGTACACTAGTACACACACAGATAGAAATGCACTCACATTGACTTATTAACTAGGATCACATAAATAATTTATTAACAATACTGCGACTGCGCCTGCGGCTGTCCCGCCCTGCCGAACAATAAGAAAAACCAGGAGGAGCTTACAACTACCACTAACACTAAACTTGAGCTTCGCTAATGTGTTACATTTGTGGTTGGCACTGTAGTTTTTTTTTTTGTAATATTCACGTTCTCTGCTCTCCGCAGAGTCGGATCTAGAGACTAAGTGGTGTGGGCAGTGATCGGGCGGGCGGTTGCGCATGCCCATCCTCATCAGATCATGCTGCCGAACATCCGTTTGCCGCGGGTCAACACCAGGCTGACCACCATCACGGTCAGCAGGAAGAACACCAGGCTCAGGAACGTGGTGATGAAGCGGCATCTTTGGCGGAACTTCTTCTCCTTCTCCATTTTCAGGCGCAGCTGCTCGGCCCGCGGCAGGTCGAGGGTGAAGTCGGATTCTGGTCTTGAGGAGGGCTGTGAATAGGAGCAAGCAAATTAAAAATATATTAGCATTCTTTATTCTTTTGAATTATAATGATTTAAGTGATTAACTTTGTTTTTTTTTTTTTATTAATTTAAAAGTGGAAAAGCAAATCATATGTTTGTTATTATAAAATAGTGACATTATTTCTTATGATTATAACAAAGACTTTAAAAATGACTTATCTATATGGGAACCTTTTATACGCTAAACTAAAATATTTTATAAAGAGTTATGTTCAGTTTTTATAGATTTATGTGAAATAATTTAGCTTAGGGCCAGCAATTGAAAACATGCATGTATATTTTACAGACATTCTCCCCGATTTATATATGCGTTAATACGACCCGAAGCCAAAGTTAAAGTTTGACTGTAAATGCCTCTTGGGCTTGTAATTAAGTTAATTAATATTTGATGTGATAAGCGTTTGGGGCTTATGTAAATTTCTGGCCATCAGCGACGACGGCTGACGATCTCCTCTTGACATTGATTATGACCATTTTAATCTCGCATAATCGCATCGATCCTATTTGATCGGCACAAAGCTAAGGCTCGTCGCTGCTGCGTTTATTTATCTTCCCAGTATTTCAGGTCACAAAATGTTTAACCATAAATCACGGCCCAAACATTATGGGCCCGCCAATATTTGCAGTCGAGCTCTGGGCGTGGTAGCATGCTTAAAAATAAGTAAGACAACAGCGCAGCAGCGCACAACAAAAAAGGGCTCCAACGCACAGCAATTTGACCCACTGAGCTTTGTTTTCTTCGCTTTTGTTGTTTCGCCTGCGAGCATCTTCATTTCTGTTCGTGCTCGTCGCCTCACTTTTTAGCGACACAACCTTGAAATCTTTTTCAGAAACAGCGAAAAAAAAGGCAAAAACAGACTTGAAACAAAACGTTAACCGTTTTTGTTAATGCCTTTTTTCGTACTTTTTTTTTTCTCCGATTCTCGCTAAACATGTTAAAAGTTATGAAACTCTTTTGGAAATTTCACCAAGTCAGGTGCATTAGCATGTCATATATTCATGGGTCTGAACAGTAAATCTGGAGCCTGAGAGGCTCACTGAATATAAAAAATATAGAAACTGTGACACATTCTGCAACTTCCGGCGGAAGTAAAGTAATTTCCGCACTGTGAAATTACATCTGACATCCAAGTTTATTCCTGAAAGAGCAGGCATAAGCGAAAGTTCTGCTTCTGCTGGCCAAAGTTGGTTCAAATGAAACTCTCGACTGGGTCTAAGAGCGGGATTGAGTTGTTTATCGAATTTCAAGATATATTCAGTTGCAAACGACCGGGTGAAAGCGGCGTATACGCAATGCGGTCATTAAAAGGGCATTCAAGTGTAATTTTGTGTGTGTCTGGAGTGCTTTCAACACCACACACACACTCACACGCTTGCATGTGTGTAATTGAGCTGAGGCAAACAAACAATTTTGCCTGCAAAAATTTGTGCACACCTATTTTTGCATTTTATTGTGATTGTGACGGGTTTTGGATTTTTTTTAGCCGTTTTTCCCATTTTTGTTGTGCGGTATGCTTCATCTGCATTGTTTTCAATCCGGGTGATCATTCCTTTTTCTGCTCAGTTGGTTACAGTAAACACTGGGCTTTCAAAACCTAAACCAAAAGAACTATATTTCACTTATTTGTAATCATTAATAAAGATCTAATCAAAGGAAAGTGCTAGGGCATAAAGCAGACATAACTATACCCCTTTCAGGGTCTTTATATTTTAGTCAGAAGCTTGAAATGCAGTGAAGGAGTCATTTCCGACCCTATAAATCATATATATTCTTGATCAGCATCGAAAACCGAGTCGATCTAACTATCTCCGGCCAAAATCTATTTTTTTCAAAATTTTCGAAATTTTATAAGGGGTTACATCGTTAAAATTGCCAAAAATGCGAAAAAATTGAATCTCTTTAAATGTTAAACTGAGTATGCAGATTTATTACCCCGATAAAAACTAATATAAGAATGCATTCCGATTTGAAATTAACGAAATTTTAGCTTAGTTATGAGTTTTTTAAAATTGGATTTGTTGAACAAAATGTTATTACATAATTAGAGTCACTTAGCGGATATAAACTGTATTCCGAGTTGGAGTTCGAGCTGAAACACTCACACACACACACACATTCGAAATGAGAAATTGAAATGAACATAACTTTGCGGTACATTTTTTGCCTTCCGGCTTCTTTTCTCTCCCTTTTTGATGATTCGCTTGTCTGAGGTTAGTGATGCTTTTCAAAGTCGAGGGAAGCGGCATATACATATGTACATACGTATTTAAACATACGACTATATATGATTATTACCGTCGCTGTTTATCAGTCAAAGTACTGTGAAAAGGCAAGACGTAATCGGCAAACGATGACGGAGTCGGAGTCGGAGGCTGCGAGGGGCAGTTACCGCATTCCGGCATTTGCAAGTGTATCGGCCTCTATCTGCGATACACCGTCAGAAAAAAAGGTCTTAAATGATGACTGATAGACTAACAATTCAAAATAACAAAAAAAACTTGATCTTAGTCTGGTTAGATTGCTCAAAAGATAAGCTTTACCGTATATTATATTCTGTGTCTAAATTTGAATATATGTACATATTTGTTTGCTTAGCTCAAGAATTTAAAACTAAGATACAAAATAATAAAGAATTAAATATCAGTGGTTTAATTTAATGATGATAGATGATTCGTGGTTGCTAATACATTAACAATAACCAAATCTAGCTAAGCTTAAATAATAAATTAATAAGGATTAGACAACCGTTAGCAAACAATACTACATTTAATAGGTTTATTATAACCGATATAAATGAAACATACGAGTTTTGGTAATAATATTTAATCAGATGATGACTACGTAGTTATTTTTTATATTTTTACTGTAATAGTTGTGAGATATCTTTATAAAAAATATAAGAATTTTTAAACATATCGATCCTGATGTAATATAAATATTTTCTCCACATGTATTGTGTTTTTTTTGGCATCCCCTTCCCCCTTCCCCCTGGGTCTATGGGTGAGTTCGAGTGTAACGGTTTTATTGGCTCGATGTGGCAAATGAAGTGCAATTGTGGTGTAAACCGCCGTGGGCGGAGATGAATTGAATCTGGCCCCCGGGGGCTAAGGTGCCGGAATAACTTGATGACTTTAACGCCGGGGGAGACGCCTATCCCATCGGCTAATTTGCAAATGATGCCACACACCAACACGCTCACACTCACGCTCACGCACACGCAATAAATAATAAATAAATAAATTATATAAAAAAATAACAAAAAACCATAAATTCGCTAGAGATATGCAAAATGATGAGAAATCGACTACTGGTTGTAAATTCCCGCTCAGCCCGGCCTTGAAACACATTGTATGCGCTGCTTGCCCCCCAAATACGGGTTCAGCTTTTGGGCGTGTGCTAATTTTTGGGAAAGAAAATCCATCGATCGCCGGCTGGCTTTTTAATTTGCCGCACACGTTTTCCGCTGACATTGAAGGCGCTTCATTCCTCTGTCCCCCTCTGGAAGTTGGCCAAGTTTAATGCACGGGTATGAGCAAGTACATCAGGTTTGAAAAATCGCTCCAAGAGAAAACCAAATTTTAACACGTTCGCGACTGTAATCTCTGCCCGGGGCCGGGGAATCCGTATTTTTGCTCACGTCGCCACAATGGAAATTTAGTTGATGCAATTCCATCTTGTCCGTACTCCGGGAGGGGGCCTATAATCTTGTTCTCGATGTTATCTTGGTATCGGAAGACATGAGAGACGCCACATTTCTTCAACACTTGCACTTTTAGTGTGGTTTGTTTGCTGATTATTCCAGAATCCAGAATTCCAGAACAAGAATTCTTCTTTACTTTATATTTCTTTAAATGATGACCTTTGGATAACTGTTTATGTTTGATTAAACACAAACTTTGGAAAAGCTTTTTATTTCACTTGAATAGGGTATGCCAATCTAGAATTTGTTTATGGTAGCTTAATGTGATACTATTTTGACAAAAACTATTTAAGCTTTGTTTTTGTTCAATATCTTGAAGTCAATTTAATTTGCTTCATTTATATGTATCTTAACTCGACTCTAATAGACAGATCCCTTATGTTTATTTGTCAGAAGATGGATACATCAAAGATACATCTAGGATATTTTCCCTATTCTAATCATTTTCACCCTTGATAACCGATCCGTGTGAAATTTGAATGCACTCGCTTAATATTTACTTAAAAAATTACGTTTACTATTAGTACCATTCTTTTGAGCCAACTTTTCACTGAACCATTATTATTTCTGACACTGATCCCTGATCCGTGTGTTCCGAGTTGAAGTCAATAACTGATCCGCCACCACTTTGCCCAGTCCCAATCCCAGTGCCAGTGCCAATCCCAGTGCCAGTCGCAACCTCAGGTGAATGTCTTCATGGGGAGGCACTTCTGCGTACATTGGTTTTGTTTTGTCTTCGCCAATTAGCGGATATATGCTAACGCGGCCAAAGTGTGGCAATAAGTCCACGAGACGCTGGCCAGAGTCGGGGATTTAATTCAATTTAAAAGTGTGTGCAAGCATTTATGCAATTGCAAATGAATTTTCTTCTTTCGCCGGCTTCGCTTTGCACTGCTTTTCCACCGTTGTGGTCTGCAGTGGGGAAATTGCAGGCGGAGGCTGTCCAGTTGAGTCACCTCTCGGGGGCGTGGCAGAATTGCGAAATTCAGGTGGCAGCAACTAATTAGGTTGCTGCCTTTCCCTCGGCACACACACTCACACACACACATACAGAGTGTGCACACTATGTGGTGACTCTAGGCACTTACTTGGGCGATAGGTGGAAATTCGATGCCATAATTGCGGGCAGTGGCACAGCTTCCGTGGAAGCAATACCCCTGGGCCACTTAGTATACTACTTGCTACTTGCTGCCACTAACCATTTATATAAAGGAAAACAAACTACCAAAGCGACAGGCTGCATAGAGTGAAATGTGTTGAAAGATTCATGATTTGTAGCAGTTTTAGAAGTATGTATTCAATTTTGGAAACATTTTAGGTAATTAGTTTTCTAACTCTGAAACCTATCTTACTTTATACACTTGAACTTTAAGAGACCAATGCAATTGAATATCGTTGAATATATACATTTAAAACAATTTAGTAAGGAAAAGGATTTTTAATTAATGATAATTCCCATCTAGCTGAACTTTTGATAAGTTTATTTTTGTGTCCCAAGTAAAATTAAATATATTTAAGGTTAATTTTAAAAGAAATTTATAAATCAGATCTATACAATAGATAAGACATTGACACACACAATTTCCTCACTTCCAGAATAAAGATTAAACACTTTTTAGATTATTGAAATAACGTATACATTTTGCAAAGTACACTTGAATATTTAAAATATTCAAACAACTTTCCTTTAAAGGAAAAAGTTTCCTTTAAACCCTAGAGCGTTTGGCATTTTGTTATAAACTCAGAAGCAATGCCAATTTAATATAGTTCCAAAATACATCAATTGAGTTTTTTAATATTTTCAAAATATATGTCATATCTTAGTATTAATTCAGTTTTAAATTCCTTCAAGTTCTTTGATATCTTTCTGTGAAAAAATAGAGTAATTAAAGATCCCAAATGAGAGCCGCCACCATAGCATGCAAAGAAGGTAGACAACTCCATGACCAGCGAGTGCTCTTGAGGCCTGTCCCCCAAATGGAATCCGCCATAACCCAGTTAGCGGTTGGGTGGTGATGTCTGCCCACTGTCCAGTGTCCAGTGTCCACTGTCCCCTGTCCCCTGTCCCCTATCCTCTTCGAGTCCATTTGGTGGCAAGTGCGGTTGCGATGGCGATTGCAACACTTTGTGGCAGCTAAAACGCGTGCAGCGGCCGCTTTTGGACCAGATCGCCTTACATCTCGCTCTGCGTTTTCGATTTCGTTTACGTTTACGTTTTCAGTTTCATTTTCATTTTGAGTCTCAGTTTCGGTTTTTAGCTTCAGCATTCAGTTCCAGCTTCGGCATTCATGACAGCAAACCAGTTTGCCGTTTGCTGCCGGCCAATTGCCGTGGGACGAGTTTCTGGCCATCATCGGACATGGGGATATGGGGACATGGGGACATGGGCATCTCAGGATGGGGCCGCGGAATTTCGCCAACGTCCTTAAAGGTCATCCGCGTTGTAGGGCAGCCACCAGTGCCACTTGTTGCATGCTAAGTCTGTTTTGGTTTGCTGGCCGGTTATCGCCAATTAGGTGGCTAACTTGGCCAACTTGGCCACTTGGCCACTCGGCCAGGCTGCCCGCCTGCCTGCCTGCCTGTCGTCTTAACGGAATTTAAAGGTTAACTGGTACAGTAACCGTATTTTTCGCACGATCGCCTCAAGTTCAAATCGCCCGTGATAGATCGACTATCTGCGAATGCAAAGCGATATCGCTGAGAGGTGAACAAACCTTCGCCGGAAAGTGAAAACTCATTGTGGATGCCGGTCGCAAGCGGTGTTAGCCATTTGATTGTTGGCCAGAATCGATCACGGCTGCTCGCGGATATTGCATAAGCGCGCGGCTGCCCAAAACGGAAGACGTAGAACGGAAGCCAAAATTGGTAACGGAATTTTTTGAGTCTCTGGCCGAAAAAGTGCTACTGAATTCTTGAACAGATATCAAGCCGTGTAGCCTCAAAGGTGTTCATTACTTTGTTTATAAGAAATGTAATGAAATCTGATAGGTATGATTATCAAGAACATAATTTTAAGAGACTCAGCAGTTTCTATAAATAAAATTTATATATAATTTTATAGCCTTGCAGGGTATTATAAGTTGTATTCAGAAGCTTGTAACGCAGTGAAGGAGTCATTTCCGACCCTATAAATCATATATATTCTTGATCAGCATCGAAAACCGAGTTGATCTAGCTATCTCCGGCCAAAATCTATTTTTTTCAAAATTTTCAAAATTTTATAAGGGGTTACATCGTTAAAACTGTCAAAAATGCGACAAAAATTGAATCTCTTTAAATGTTAAACTGAGTATGCAGATTAATTACACTGATAAAAACTAACATAGGTTTGCATTCCGATTTGAAATTATCGAATTTTTAGCTTAGTTATGAGTTTTTTAAACTATGATTTTTGGTAAAAATGTTATGTTTTTATACCTTTTTGCTGGTTATTATAATTTTATTCGGAAACTTGTAACAGCATCAACAAACGCAGTATGCAGATTTGTTAGTGCTATAAAAACTAGCACAGAAAAGCTTTCCGAATCAAAATTAATGCTATTTTGTCTTAATTATGATGTTTGAAAAACTTAGATTATTTCAGAAAATTGTCTAATTTTATACCTTTTTGCAGAGTATAATTGCAGTCAGAAGACTTAAACGCAGTGAAGGAGTCATTTCCGACCCTATAAAACATATATATTCTTGATCAGCATCGAAAACCGAGTCGATCAAGCTATCTTCGGCCAAAATATATTTTTTTCAAATTTTTCAAAATTTTATAAGGGGTTACATCGTTAAAATTGTAAAAAAAGCGAAAAAAAATTGAATGTCTTTAAATGTTAAACTGAGTATGCAGATTTATTTACCCAATAAAAAATAGCATAGGAAAGCTTTCCGATTTGAAATGAATCCTTTTTTGGCTGAGTTATGAGTTTACTAAAATTCGATTTTTATAAAAAATTGTCCTATAAAATTCGATCAAATATTTTAAGTTTATGCTTGATCGATTTCCCATTCGCAGGTATATAAACTTCAACTTCCCGAATGTAGTTCCCTTTTCTGCTGAATAACATTTTTATAAGGGATAGGTATTTCCTATGTTTAGATAGAATGAGGAAAACTCTAGGAGCTTATGAAATGACTGAAACATTTTCCTTCTAAAACTTGACTTTCATTTAAAAATTTTTAAACACTGTATCTTCAGGTTCGCCATGATTTTCTAGCCATAGAAAATAAGTATCTAAGCTCCCTTAAAAAGTCAACGAAAACTAAAACCAATTTATTCAAGTTACATCCTACATCAGTACATCAGCAACTGACATAATCAGGTCTAGTAAGTACCCTTAATATGTTTACAATTTGGAATTGTTGCTGTGCTCCCAATGTAATTGCTCTCAATTTGCAGTAACCGGACAGATTTATGACTTAATCTGGCATTAACTGAAGGGCCATTGAAGTAAAATAAGCGATCGCAAGGCAAGGCAAGGCAAGGCAGGTGATCTGGCAACTGCCTCAAGTGGGACCCACATTAGATGTAATTACTGAGCTCCCTCGGAAAACAGACGGGAGGAACAGTAGCCCGGTGGATCGATTAATCATCGATCAAGCTGGGCCCTGACTCTGACTGTGACGATGCCATAGCCTGAATATTAAAACATTTCTGGTGACGTGTGGGAAATGACGTACACTCGAGCTTGTGCGGGTGTTGTCCGGTTGGCACTGAGCTCACGATGTTACCAATATGGCCAGCAGTACGGCCAAGGATGCGATGCTTAGAATCTGAATTGCAATCTGAAAAAGGGGGAGGAGCATCTGGAGCCATGTTTGCAAATTGTGAACTTGAGATTGTTTGGCCAAAAGCTGATTGTTCAATTCAAATTGGGCTGGCCGACCTCGGGCTGCAGCTCAGCTCCGCTTGGCTGCAATTAGTCGGAGCATTAATCATACGCCTCGTTGGCCCGGCCAGCACATAATTATCTCTGCAAGCGGCGGCTGATCCAAATACGGCTATCATTTCGCAACACACTTGACCTAAGCTTTAGTTAATGATACACACACTACATTCAAGCCAAGGGAACGTGGTTCAAACTCCAAAACTTAAAGGATTAATCACTTAATGGGCGCATCTCCACATAAAATGTGAAAGAAATTAACGAAATTTAATGTAATTTTGATTTGAATTTTAAGTTTTTATATTTCAGTTTGATTAATTCAGTGAACGGAAGTGGAATCCGCTGGCATAGAATTCAATTGAAGTGCAAATCGAATTAAATTATCATTAATTAATTCACACTCGTTACGGAATGAATTGAATCGTGGAATTATTATTATTTTGCGATTGCATGAAACCAGACAGAGCCAAAGTGAAGGCTCATCCGCCGAATTATCAATCTATCGGTGGAGATAAATATTTACATGTATAGTAATAAAATATGAAGCCGACTTTTATCTGATTTGTATAATCCCGAGTTTGAATTAGTTCCAGTTATATTTATTACTGGGAACAACATTAATGTTTGTAATAACATTTTATTGTTCAAATGCTATGGCAACCTTGAAGCTTTTAGTTTAGATGTAACCTTGGAGCTTAAGTAGCTGTTTGAAATAGTTTTTAATCAAGAATAATATTACTTAAGGTTCGATGAATGCTGGCAATTAATTAAATTGAATTATACACTAACAGGATACTCACATAAGACAGCGTGGGCTGGGCACTGCTGACGACTAGTTCGCCTCCGCCTCGCTGCTTGCCGAGAAGCGACTGATGCAGCCGATTGGTGCCATAGTACATCTCCCAAATGCTGGGCTTCTTCCGGTGCCACTCGGCAATGCTTTCCTTCTCCCCGCCGGCTCCACCTGCTCCGGATGCGGCGGCCAGGGCGCCCTGACCGCCTTGACCATTGAAGATGGCTGGAACCGCCAGGATGGGTTTGTGGAAGGCGAGGTTCCGCTGCAGTTGCGTTACCACCGTGCTGGTGGTCTGTCCAGGCAGCGATGGATGCAGAGCCTCAAGCTCCAGCTGCGGCGTGGAGGCAGGCGAGGGCGTGACACTGCGTGAGAGGCTGGTGGTGGTCACCTCCTCCGATTCCACGTAGCATTCGGCGGCAGGAAAGATCTCCGCTATGGACTTGCGCTTCATCTTAAAGTTGGGATCGCTGGCGCACCGGATGGTCATGATCTGCTCACGGACGCTGAGGGAGCGACCATTGGCGGAGATGAGGACGCCATCACGAACCGCCTCATAGGCATTGGAGGTTAGGCATTGGAGGTCGGCACAGCTGCGCCGCCTCTCCAGGGCGTTCTGCAGCCGGACAACGTGCTGCTGGCGACCCAGACCGCTGCACAGCTGGCGCAGCTCCAACTCGCTGTGCTGGTTCATGCGCTGCAGATAGGACTCCAGCTCGTGCTTCAGTGTGTGAATCATGCCCTCCAGCTCCTTGGGCACATCTGGGGGCGGTGTGGCTGCCGGTGAGGGTGTGGCCCTGGACAGGAGGCGTATCTTATCACGGACATCCTCCAGTAGCTCCCGGGTGTTCTGGAAATGCAACTGATCCTCGTATCGCTTGGCAAAGCTTTCACCCGCTCCGCCTCGCTCACTCTCCAGGTGGTAGGCATCCTCTGGACAGGAGTTGATGTACTTGGCGCACTTGTAGTTGTTCTCCGCCAGCTGCTCGTCATTCAGGAAGCTGGGATTGTCAATGCCACCCCGATGATGGGCAGGTTCTTTGGGCGCTAGGAGAAACGCATCCAGATCGATGTCCAGCAGGGAGTCGTCCACCAACTGGTGATTCTGCTGGTGTTGCTGCTGCTCCAGGATGGTGGGCAGTTGGTTGTAGGCCCTCAGCTTCTCGCCAATATCTAGGGCTTGGGAGGCGCCTGCAGTCTGCACAAAGTTAACCACTTGCTCCTGGGCATACAGGCAGGGAAAGGTCTTGAGGTGGCGGTCCAGGTTCTCGATGCTCGTCTCCAGGATGCGCAGCTTGTCGCTGTATAGGTGTGGTGGCACCTCGCTCCCTGACGCTGGAGCCTGCTTTTCCTGAGTTGGATGATCCCGCGTTGCAGCAGCTCCGGCTGCATCTTGCATGTCCGAGCGCTGGCTCTTCACTGCCGCCTGAGTGGTGGCTACTGGTGGGGGCACTGCCTCCTGCTGGGAGGCTGGGAGCGCAAGTGGTAGCTGGAGTGGCGGTCGCAGACGCTTGATCTTCTCCTGCACATCGATGACCGGTTCGCAGTAGATGTGCTCGTCCAGCGAGTAAGTGGAGCACACATTGGAGCTGTAGTAACCGGACGAGCCGCTCTTGTCCGTCGAGTAATGGGAGCCGCTTCCACCGCCGCCACCGCTGGTGGCCTGCGTGGCTGTTGCTCCAGCAGCTGTGGCTGCCACTGCCGCGGCAGAGGATGATGATGATGATGATGAGGCCGCAGCTGCTGCTGTGGCCGGTGGCAGTCCGGAATCCGCGGAATGCACGCTGCTGACATTGGAGGCCAGCGAGCACTTCTTGCTGCGCTCCTCCAGCTGTTGGTCGTGACCACTTGCATTCCCAATCTTGGCCAGCCCCGACGATGGCATTGAAGCAACAGCAGTGGATGTGGACGGAGCAGTACCAGCACTGGACACTGGTGGAGCCGATATCGTCGTCGGCGTCGTCGCCGTCGTGGTGGAGCTGCAATGTAAAAGAGAAAGACAGAGCCATGAAAATCTGTGAATAACGACGCGTTGAAAGGGAAACCTGGCGTTGGAAAGCGGTTTCTGTTGGTTTTTCGCAATTGCCGTTTTGTTTACGTCTCTCACAGTAACAAAAAAAATGAAGTGAAAAAGCGAAAACTGGTTAACTGGGTTAGTGGCTTTGTTTACGTTGTGATCTCCACACTCGACTCGTGTCCATCTGGCAAGGAGCTCTCCCGCATGTCCCCAGGACACTCACATTGGATCCTACCAATTCCGTAAACAAACCTTTGCCAGCCTGTTCTTTTTCGTGTTATTCCCTTTTTTTGAGTTTTGTTTTTTTTGGTTTTAGAAATTCAGCATCAGCATACAAATTCGATTTCGATTCAAATAAACTCGTTCTAAACAGGATTTCGGCTTCAGTTACTGTTGCAATTCGCTCTGCTTTCGGTTTGTTTGATTTTCGTTGGGGTTTTCCGTTTTTTCTCTTTATTTTACTGCCTAACCGAAAAGTTAGGCATGCAAGTGAAGTCTAGTGCTGCTTTGAGCCACTCTGGCTCTAGATTTTGGCTGCCTTTTCTCTCCATCCCGTTGTTGCCCCTAAGTTCGGGCCAGAGTTTGGGCCAACTTTTTGGTGAACCATGAAATTCGCAGAGGAGAGCTGGTAAGTGCAGCGAAATGAAATGGAAACTTAATTGAATGGAACGGAAGCTTCCCACTGTGGAGGGCACTAAACTTCGTCGAACTCTTCACAGATGGCCACCGAGAGCTCTGTTTTTTTGTGGCCATTTTTATGTGTGGAGGGATATCTTTGAGGTTTCTTTGCCTGCTTAAAATATTTCAAGTCAATGTTAGCTTTATACAAAAAGATTTCAGGTAATACTTTACTATGTTTTATGGTGTTTTCTTTTACTTTTAGTTTGGTAATAACAAATAAATAAAAGAATTTACTACAAGGCATTAGATAATTGTTAACTGAAAACTATTTACACACTTTTTTCCTTTTGTTAACCTACTTTGGGTAGTTGAACTGGATTTAGTTTACTTATTTTGAGCTCTAGAAGATACTAAGTGCATTAGTTTAACAAGAAATATAATAACAAGTTTGTTGTTTCTGTTCTCATTAAAAATCAATAAAATATTTACCACTCAGTTCACAGATCTTTCCTTTAACTTTATTCACTTCCTAATCCAATCATAAATTATATTATTTAAAAGTCCAAAACTTTAGTTAATTATTCACTTTCCATCATCTCTGATCATTTATCTTGGTTCTACCCAAAATAGGTATATATTTTCCCAAAGGCCGTGCTCTGATCGATCGATCCTTTGACCAAGTATTATTATTCCAAGTTCTAATCGCAACCATTTGCATTTTCTCTGGGGCAGATTTGCATTTTGTGGCCTGCTTGGCGCCGGTGGCATTGCTTTAATAACTCACTTACGATCGGTAACAAGTCCGAGAGCCAAGAGATCCGAGTTCTATGCCCACTCGGCACTAGGTCAGCTTTGGCTTTTGGCCAAACGGAATGAATGCCGAAAATTGCGTAATAACGGTTGTTGTTGCTCGGCCCGCTGGCTATTGGCTTTTCCAGCTTTTCGCGTTGTTCTTGTATGGTAAGTCGCCTGAATGGTGCCTTACGCACCCAAAATTGATAAGTTGCGGTCAGTGGCGACGGCGACGGTCGAGTGTTACTATTTTTGATTTAAACTCTACGCGTTTTTCTTACAATTTTTTTCTACTTTGTTTTGTTTTGTTTTTGGTTGGTGGCTACCGGGCCACCGGTGCGTATGAAAATCGCCCGCAAGTGGCAACTGAAACGGCGGCAACCATAATCGCATCGCAGCAACAGAAGCACAGAAGCAGCAAGGTTAGCTCTTGGACACCATGAAATATTTTGCAATCTCGGGGTGTAGTATATGTTTATTTTGTTTGTTCGAACTGTGTTAATTAAAATGTTCAGCCTCGTTTGCATGCACGGAACACTAGCAGACCAGCCGATGGAAATGCACAAAAAAAAAGTAAAGAACTGGGAAATCTGTAGATTTCGGTGGGTTTTTATTTCGACTCTTAGCTATTTCCAATTTATGCATCTACAAACTACTAATAAATGCATGTAGGGACTTACTTTCCATTTAAAATTTAAAGAATATTTAAAAGAACATGTGAGAAAGCTGCAGTGTAGTGTACTCGACTATTAAATACCCAGTTATCAAAGCTTTTCTTAGTTTCATTATTACAACATAAAAACCTGCCTAAATGTTATGCCTTTGTTAATCTAATAAAGCTACAAAATTATGATCTAATTTGGCGGATTGCCCAAGAAATGTTTCTAGGAAAAAGTTCTTAGAGAAATATTGCTGGCAACATGTTGTAGCCACATTAAGTTTGGTTGTCAACACAGCAATGTTGCAAAGGTTATACAGTCACAGCAACTTTACTTTAGTAACTATAATTATCGAGTTTATTGTCCAAATGAGCTCAAACTTTAGGAACATATGCCTACAAGAGCTATCTTTTATATATTTTATTATTTTAAAAGAATCTTGGCTCTACAAAGCTTTATGATGCTAATTCCCACTATCACTTTTTTAACAGCAACGATTTCTATTGATATAAATTAATACATCACATCTATACTTTATATTCTTGTAATATAATAATATTAATATCACATCACAATAATAAGAATATAATATTTTATTTTTATTATAATACTTCTCTCTGTGCACGACCGGCAGTTGACCGTTAGTAAACATTTTTGTGTGGCCGCTAATTGTTGTTGACTGGCTGCCAAGACAAATTACACCCGACCCGAAATTCGGCACCCAAGTCGCGATCTACCTATAACTAACTATATATCCATCGATCGATCGATCTATCGATCCGAGTGTGTCTAGCTATCTATCAATTGCAAATCAATCAGCGACCTAGCGCGTTTTTATTGCAGCGATTATGTATATCGCTGATTTCGCACATGATCGACGGTCAAGATGGATGTTTTATTTGCTATTCGGTTGGGTTGGCTAAATGCCGACCTTGGCATAAGCGGCAGATACTTTGGCTTTAACTATGGCCTAGGCGGGCTTAAGATTGAATACAAATTAGCGACGAGCATCGACAATTGATCAGGCGTCTAACTGCATTGATGGGGCTAATGGGACAATGGAATCGCATTTGGACGAGGTTGCGGAGGAGCTACTGTGCGAAATCCATTCGAATTATTCGCATGCGTGTGTAAAATAATGTTATGGCCAACGATGACTGAATAACCAATGGATTTTGGTTCGGAAAAGGGCGGAGTGAGTGGGTAAAGCCCACATCCAGGTAGATGTAATGGTTATGACCTTGGTGGGAAGTAAGAAAATGCTAAGAAGCACTTGGAGTGTAGCCAAGCGAAGGTTGAATTTCTACATCTAATAGAACATTTTAAGCATGATGGTGTTTCTCCTGATCTGTTACTATATAGCTTCCAACTAATCTTTGGCAGATGCTCAGAGGTCAGAGCCACCAATGACTCTTTCCTTGATCCGCTATTTTGACAGCATAGTTGCCCGATTATCTTATCATGGCTATCGTGGCCCGATCTCCATATTCTGCGTCATGCAATGACCAAAATAGCCGAGACAAGTTGAAAACGAAACTATCCGCCAATTAATTGAAATGGCTGTCAATACACGGCACGACTTAATGCATATGCATACTCATATATACAAGTATTTATTTTGTATTTTTTTGATAAATATTTCAAACCAAAACGGGCTCTCGGCCTGACCTTCAGCGCAGCGAAGATCATGAGCTGTTTGGCTGGTGGCTTCTTTAATTTCAATTAATAAACGTAATTGTTGCAGCTGTCTGCAGTGGCTGCACCGATGACCGCCGTCAAGTGTTTGCCAAGCTTCTCTAAAAACAACAACAAGATATATGCACTTGTATTCATATATAAATATATATATATAATGCACATATATGTGGAAAGAAAAAGAGGTGAAGGCTGACAACAGGCGCCAAAAACCGCATTGCTTGATGCAGCAGCAGCCGCAGCAACTGCAACTACTTGCCGCAGCAGCAACTTGAACTTCGCTGCCACTGCAGACATGATTTACATAGTGGCTGTGGCAGCAACAGGTTGCCAGCAGATCTCACAGATTGCCTCGGCGATCGCAGAACCATCATCGTCATCATCATCATCTCTCTCGCAATCATAATCCGCATTTAGGGCAACACTCCGTCCAACTCTGATTGCCTTGCCACCTGGCTTAATGCCCCGCTAATTGGCCCGCAACAACATAATTACAAAATATATATACAAGTGGCCACCGTGCCGCTGCATTGAACCATGAAGTGTTGCGTCCGTAATTGCATTAACAGCGCATAGGGTTTCGGTCTCGGATCGCCTCTTTCCAACGCCTCTCTGTGGGTTTCCTCTTCCACCTCCCCCCCCAAAAAAAAATACCACCGGTAAAGTCAAGGTCGCCGATGCAGCGCTGAAGGTCGCCGATGGAGATGGTTATCCGTACCTAAGTGGATCATATGGAACACTCGTGCATCTCGAGTGCATCTTGCTCACAAACTATGGGGGTTTTCCACGGTAACACTTGAGCGTAAGTTTATTATCTAAGTTTATTTATCTATTTATACATTTCCAAAGAAATGTAACTTTTTCGTGCGACTTTTAATATACCATTTTCTATATTTTTAAGTCAAAGGGAGTTCAAGTTTCGGAGCTAATGCTAAGAGTCGAATCTGTGATTCATTCGGTTATCTTTAGCTTAAAGATGTAGAGCTTATCCTTTGTCCTCCTTGAATTCTGTAGGTCTTCAGCAAGTAAGGATAGATCCTTAAAAGCCATACCTAAAATTCCTCTTTTCTTGTCCGATTTATCTCTCTTTTTTCAAATATATGTATATATTCCCAAAACTATACCTTCAAAACGTTATTTGAGCTCTTTAAAGGTTAGGTTATAACTTTATCGTCTTTAAAACTTTTCCCAGAAATTTAATTCATTATTTAAATTCCTGTTTTATCATTATAGAATATAGATTTTAAAAAGCTGTCTATGTTGTTTTTACTTCTCTTCTCACCTTTGATATTTGAGCATGGCTCGTGGCAGCAGAAAGTTCTCGCTGCTGCCCTTGGGTATCGGATTACTTGTGCTTCCTCCTCCGCTGGGTGCAGTGGCTCCTGCTGATGGTGCACCTCCTCCGTTGGTTACACCACCGCCTGCTCCTCCTCCACTTCCTCCTCCTGCTCCACCATTTCTGGCAAAGAACGCTCCCAGACGCTGCAGATATGCGAACTTGTTGCTCGCTCCCGTTGGATCATGGGGTGCAGAGTAGCTTCTGGCACTGCTGCTCCGGCTGCTACCACTCCTACTTTGGCTCCTGCTTTGGCTCCTACTCCTTTGTCTACTCGGACCAGTGCTCCCGGTCTCGTCATCCTCCTCGTCATAGGGCAGCACCTCGATTGCATCAAAGTCGTAGGAGTTGAAGTAGGCCTGCTCCCGGGTCCGTTTCACCTGGGCAGCCTCCGTCACGTGGTCGGCGGATATATCCGTGGCTGTTTTCTTGCTCGCCGCACCCGGTGAACTTTTGCAAATGGGCATGGCGACCTGAAAAATGAGGAGAATAGTTCAAGTTAATTTTAAAATTTTAAGAAATTAAATTGATTTTTGTATACTAAAAAGATTAACCCCAAAGAAATTCCAATTTAAAGCAAATATAGTTGTTTTAAAGACAGCTCTATTATATGACTGCTTAGTTAATTATTTAAGCTTTTTCTAATGATTTAAGTACAGAATTCCTTAATAAATTGCTGGCTAAATAACTTGAGAAAAGAATCAATTAAATACATTAAGGAAACCATAAAAAATCTATGAATTTGTACAAAAATGTATCTTTTTTGCAGAGGGTTTTAATGATTCTCTTGCACAATTTTACGGTCTGGCTTTTGGGGCGCCTCCAGTGCATCCGTTTTGGCCAACTGGAGCCACAGCTGGAAGTGCAACTGGAACTGGTTTGCCACTCGCAAAGAATCTGTATCCACGCGTTTTGCGTTGCAGTGGCACTTGGCTGTTGGTGCTGCCTGTTGTTGATGTTGATGCAAGCGTTTTTGCCTCGCTCATGACTTTGCATTAATTAGCCAAAAAGGGTTTTTGTGCGATTGCATAATTTTTCTGCACCACCCCCTCTTCCCCACCCTCCCCGGGTGTAATTTATGGTGCAAGTAACTTGGCTAAATGCCAGCTGATAGCTAACCCCCCTGGAAAGCGTTTGCTGATGATGCACCCAAAGTGCATTTATGTAAAAGCCTGCCCGTCTCGAATGGCCAGTTATGTGTATGATCGATAGATAAGTGCACCTTGCTGACAGCTTCATCATCACCTGAGCGTAGCTCGGAGCTCCGTAGGATTGGCTCATCGTCTTGAAATATGTTCCGTGTTATCGACAAACGGAGCTGACGAGGCTGTGCCATTTGCGGTTTCAGTTTCACAGGCTGTGTGTGGCAATCAGCTATTTTCATGCCACACACAAGTACACAGATTGTAGGCAATCAATGATACAATGTTGCCTATCTCCCAATACCCGAAATTATGGAACATCAATCCTAGCCTGCCAATTGAGGAAATTTTGCGAGGGTGCAGAGGGAGCCACTTAATAGTTTTGGAATATAAATTAGTACTTGGAATAAGTTAAATTTCCTGTTTACTTTAGGTATCACGATTGTCTTTTAGGAGTTTGTAAAACTTTAGTTTATTGGTGAACATTAGTTTGACCATTATTTAGCTTCATGTTTTTCTGAGAAAACATTTGAAAAGGCATTTCAATAATATTTAATTTAAGTCTCTTATTACTTCAAGGAATGCTTTAAGGCCGAATAGTTCCAACATAATCGCTGGTCTGTGGGGGGTTTTCTCGATAATTTTGCGGTCGATGAGGCGCCTCATTTGATGGATTTCTGTGCCACCAGATGCCATAATCGCTGCACTGCGATAATAATAATGTTGGTGGATTAATCGCCGATCGTGTTACCATATGCCGTACCGTTTGCCGATGACATTCCATGCCACATGCACATGTGTGCCATGGTCAAGACGCAGTGACAAATGCGACGAGAGCCGAGTTTTATTTTTTTTCTAGTTCTCTCTAGGCTCTATGTGACAACTCAAAGCTATTTTGTCGTCTTCTGAAGCACTGACAGTCGTCTTGTGGAAATAAATACAAAAATAAAAGCACAAAAGAGGCAGAAACATAAATAACAGTTGGCAACTTCAAACGCTCAGTTGATTTCCGTTGTGGCATGAGTGGTGTGTGTTGATTGCAACCGACACATCTTAACGATAAAGCCATCAAATTGGAGCAGTCCATCAAAGTTGTTCAGAGATGACAATAAAATGTTGATTAATTAATAATTATCACATCGATATAAAGTGAAATAAGTGATAACTAGTCATCGATTGCACATATTATTTGATTTGTAATTAAATGATAATTTCATGTTTGATATATACTGGTTGAAATATCTATCAATAGTTTCTGTATTTTCAAATAATATACCCTCATTTGTCATCACATATCGTCTTCTACCTTGTCTAGGAAATTGTCTTCAATTAATCTTGATTTGGCGGGGCCAAACTCCATTCACTTTAGACATTCACATAATCGAAGCTAGTCAAATGCAAATATTGCACAAGTTTGTAAAAGAATAGATACAAATCAACACACACACAGCATCCGAAAATATTGTTTGAATTGGAAACACAACCGATTTGGCTGAGGCTTCTTCCATTTGCTGGCCAAACAATCAAGTGCTGAAGTGGCCGCCACTTGAGTTATGGAAATGCGAATAAAAATACTGGGCTTGCACAGAGACGTGAGGGTTTTATTTATAGTTTGCTCTTCAATCAGAATGCCTGCGGTGGCTTTTGATATTTTAATGAGTCAATTGCCAAGCTCAAAGGAAAAAAAAGAAGAAAAACGGTCTGGAATTGGAATCGGAATCAGATTCAGAAGGAGCGACTAAATTCGAAGGGGTTGCCATGCGAAAACGACGCCTTGACTGATTTGCCATGAATTCATCATCGCGCGGACGGGCGAAACAAAAGACTTAAGCGACAAACTTTGATTGCCCAAGACACTCGTCGAGCAGATCCGAAAAGAAATCTCCACAAATGAAGCCGATAAAAAATAAACACCGCAACACACAAAATCTGCATTGTTTTCCAGCCGCATTGCAAAATTTCACTGTTGTTGTATCTCTTCAGTGGCGGTGATGCTAATTTACACTGGCCAACACGGCGCAACATCATACCGGCTGCAGCAACAAGCAACAAGCAACAAGCAACAAGCAACAAGCAACAAGCAACATCGGCAGCATCAGCAGGCAACACCTTCATTGGCATGCGGCAACATCAAACTGCAGTTACCACATGCCACCTCCATGTAACCCAAAACAGAGGACAAGGCTCGAGTACAATGAGTTAACCAAAATGCTTGCAGAGCTTATCGCCAGACTCAAGATGCAACATTAACATAAACCACTTGGGTTTCCCTTTACTAACATGTTGCAAAGGTTAGACCTTAAATTATGAAAAGGAATTTGGTTTAAAAGGAGGTACAAGTTTGTTTATTTTTCGCTAGCATCAGGTTTTATTTAAGTATAAATACGATTTGAGTTAAGAAGTCCCTTCAGTACTATTTTTTTAATCTGATTTAATCTTAACATATTGCTGTAGCAATGTAAAGTAAAGGTGAATTTTTTTGCAACAAATTACTAAATATTGCCAAGTTTTTGTTCGTTCAAGTGTAGATTTCCTAAGGTGTTCTTATCATACTTATCATAAAAATATACACATTATAGTGTTTACTTGATCCTTCGCTATTGTTTCTTTTTATGATAAGCCCTCCGGCAGATTGACCACATCTTTGCCAAACCTTTCAAAAGGGTCAAAGGTCTTAATTATTGCAGCATTGCATCACTTACCAATTGTTTTACCTATACCTTTCATTTTCTTTAGTTAAAGTTTAGTATGCTTGCTTAAGCCAAAAAGTGACAGTATATCAGTTTAATCATTTCAATGGAACATAAAGTAAATACCATTGAAACTACTACGAAAGACTCTGACTTAAAAGTTTAAACAACTAAAAATTAAATTAAGCAAGAGTCTGGCTTTCAACCCTTGGATAAATTATTGTAAAATACATTATTTTACGCCTTACTTCTCATTATGTCCGAGGCTGTTTGCCGTTCTCCTCTCTGTCACCGGACTACCGTCATTGGTCTCCGGTCTCCGGTCTCTGGTCTCCGGATTCCGGACAGGAGGTGTTGGCTTTAGAGTGTTCATGGCTCGTTGCACCACCACCCACACCACACCCACACCCACATCCACACCATGAGGCAGCCGCCAAGAGCCGTCACCTGTCGCCGTTTGTCATTGAGGCTCCGTTGCCGTCGACTGTCGCAAAACCTCTAATTAGTTGGGTCTCAAAGAGACATTTTGCAACGATGATTACGGCGGGTTGGCGGCAATTAATGCGCTCTTGCACTGGCCGCTGAGCTGAACTCATAATTGCGTTTTCCAGTGTGATAAAAACGCAGTGGGTTAATGCTAATTGCAGACGCATTAGCCTCCCGTGTATTTTCCTCTCTTTCCTCTCGTTTCCCCTCTAATTTCCCGTCTCTTGGAAGTCATCTAATTAGGGGCCTTTGGCTTAGATCGAGGTGTTTTTAGAAAGCCAACGAATGGCATTTCTCTCGCACAAGTTATTCAAAGTTAATGAGAGTTAATGTGAAGGATTTAATGTAATTTGTAGTGTGAAATAGATATCCCTTGGGTTTAATATTTCCCTTGAAATGCAAACTAAATGTTAAATAACTTCCAGCTGGAGAATCTTCCTTGTTCTCTCTACTGTAATTTATTAATATATCTTATTACCACCCTAGGAGCTTACTTCATCTATTCAACAATCTATTATACAATGGCACGTGCTGATTGATTGTTAATTTCCCCACAACGAGTGCATCCCTTGGCCAGTCAAGTAACTATTATTAAATTGTGATTTATCCAAGTGTGAGACCATCAAATCGGTGCGCATAAATTAGATAACCGCCACTGAGGCCCGGACCCAAGTAAATAAGTTATAAAATTTAACGAGCATAATTAAGTGCAAGCTATGGGAGGCATGGCAGTTGGCCGTTTGGTTAACTGACTGACTGGCCTTTTGGCCAATAAATCGCAACTGGCAGCCGCCTCGTGGCTGTGGCCAGAGATTATGTAAATGGCCCAGAGCCACTTGGCCAGTTTGTGTATGATTGTGTGCACTTTTGGTATCGAGCCTCGTCCATTAGAACGGTGGCTGCCTTGTTGACAATAGATAATGCCGAGGGCCGTAAATTTATGCAAAGCCGAACCTTGCCCTTGAGACCTCGGATACTTGGTTCCGTTCATCATAATTCAAAGAGATCTTCTGCTCGGTGAATGCACTGTACAAAATAGTTTACATTTCTTAATAAATAAAATAATTAATCATAGGTCGATTGGAGGTATTAATTAGTTCATTAATCATTTCATTGGAGTTTGCTAATAGAAATGTTTTGATGTGTTGAGGTCAC